GACTATGTGACTGTGCAAACAGAAAATCCAGGAAAAAACATCAAAATATTCCTGAAATAGCACCGTACACCAACGCTGTGTGCAAAAATCCCAGTGGGATGCAAGTCAAACAACAACAACAAGAAAACTTAGATTAAGGCCATCAGTCTAACTCCGTACTACAATAAACAAAAACATGGCCAAACCAAAAAACTTTTAAAAATCACCAAAATAAAGTCATAAATGCAATGCAACAGTGATCATAGGAACGGAGACGAGAAACAATAAAATAATAAAAATATTAACCAATACAACTCTCACGACGTTTCGACTGCAACACAACACAATCATCATTTTTATATTTTTATTATGTTATTGTTTCCCTTCTACGTGACTTTACCGAAAGAACCAAGAATATGAATCCCTGTAGTCACGAAAGCTTTAAATAAAAAATGGCTCTTCTTCTTTGAAAGGTTGCCCGATGACTTGATCGTCCCGTCATTTCATGAGCAAATGCATTTGCACCTTCCCCACACGGCGACTCAGCACCTGGCCTGCAAACCATTAGTCTGCCAGTAAGGGTTCGATGATTGCTCCGTGTCATCCAGTTTGTCTATTGTGCGGTTCATTTTCGAATTTGGAAAATGTGGAACATGACCTCGGTTGATGACGTTTGGCTTTGTAACAAAACGTTCCCATATTGCGTGTAGCGCGGTTGTTTCAGTTGTGTGTTCATATAGATTAGATAAAACTATTTTAGAAAAAAATATTTTGTCTTGGTCCAGCAACGATGTACGATAATAACCAGGAAAGTTAAGTTGTTTGCTCCGAGTGGGAAGCCAATGTTTATTAAATTTAGAAACTGAAGACAAATTAGTGTAAAGGCAAGATTTGTTTTATTTTTACCTGTACGTACACTGTATATGCATTTGTGTGAGCTGTGCGATTCTGAAACAGCAGCGGAAATCCAACACTTAACAATGTCAAATCGTATACACTCTAATGTTGTGTGATGCATTGTTACCCTAAAATGCGTGAATAATGCATAGTATACGGCATAGGTTGCTAAGCAGTTGAAGTACATATTGGTAGAGGTGCAGCGACAGTCAATAATATATTTTTAACCTTTGTGTTGTAACTTTATTTGAAATAGGAAGAATCAGCAGGAAGCGATATCGATCTGAGAGTCAAATATTAGTTCGACTGTCTTGCTGCTGATGTGTCCCTCTTTAGCAAGGTGGCTGGAACAGTGCTGCCACCTTCTGTGTTGGTCAGATCAGGTGTCACTAGAAGGACTTTCAGTAGTTCTGTGACATCCACTTCAGTGGGCCGCTGTGGCAATCGTTTTGTCCTACTCTTGATTTCAGAATCGCTGGTGGAAGACTGGATACCTAGGATATAGCTGTGTGTCTCTGTGTGTGTGAGTTTGTGTATGTGTGTATATGATTGCGTGTATGCAGACTTAAATGAGTTCCTGGTGCGGTGTGTAAACATCACCACTGAGAAGACAAAGGCGGTCGGGCGTGGTGCTGGCCATACACCCACTCCGTGCGCCGTGCCGGCCTTCATAAGTGCTCGCTAGCAGCGCTTGTCCCAACCGTCTGTTAAGACTATACGGGGGATCTTTGTCTTTATATGTGGCGGCTTGCAACCACTTCCGTTGGCTAGGACTTGCATGTGCTGAGGAGGGGGAAAAGGGTGCCCCTAGCCTGGCACAATCACCGTGGTGACATCTCCGCCACTTAGTGGGAGGCCCACGGCTATTCACATTTGCAGGAATCTGCGTGTCACGCGAAAAAGTAGGAAGAAGTGGAAGCGTGCGTCCAGACCTGTTGGCCGGATTTTGCAACTGCTGAGGGAGAGGGAAGCCTGCACGTGTCGTCGTAATTGTTGTTTGCCCGTTTGCAAGCGTACGCATTTGGGTTAATGTACTAAATGGATGGCCCCTTAAGGACTGCTTTGTGACGTTATTTATTCAGGACCGTCTCGTATTCCCATGAATTGTGGCTCTTGATAGATTGAGTTTCTTACCGAATTCGAAAAATATGGCCGCTCTTGTTATTTTGGTTTCCGACACGTGATCCATTAGGATTTGTGCCCGTGTCTTTGTGGGTGATCCTGGCTGTTAGGAATGCTCGATTTCTTAAGTTCCTGGTCTTTCTTGTTTTTCCTTTTGGTATTCTCAGCTTCTTTTTTTTTGCGTCTGGTAGATTTTTTCTTATCCACGCTTTAGTCGAAGGGAGGATCATGTTACTGTAAATGTTTAAAACGCCAATGTCAATTTAAAAAAAATGAAATCCATATAAGACAAATCTCATTTTAAAAAAATGCCTTCACATAGTTGTGTCATTCATTAATAATTATTTCACGAGGATTCCCAAGGGTGAAGCCGAACTTTTTGTTACACAAAATATTAAAATAAAATGGATGAAATGTAACTCTCCTTTTCAAATAAATAGTATATTTAATGCCATAAGTAAATAAAAATATCATTTTGGACGTGTACGCTGCCATTTCAGAGACGCTGCCACAATGTAATGGTTAGCACACTGGAAATCCACCTCGACCTCTTGGAGTGGCATTTGAAACAAATGGAAAAGTTTATTTTCTTAAGGCCCCTCCCTCTGCTCACCCAGCAGTACAGTATATAAACGGGGTACAACCACAGCCAATCGCCATGTGGAGTGTGGTGTGTAATTCCAACCTCTATCCAAGATGTCTAGCCACTGTGGAACAATAGGTCTTACGCCCCATACAGGGTGGTCCATATGTATTGTGACCCCTATTTAATTCTAAACAAATGTTGGAATGTTTCTTTTTTAAAGTAAGGTTAATTTCAAACAGACATGAATGTGCAAAGGAAACAAAATAGGTAGGTTGTCGATCAATTGGGAGTCAAATGGCATCTGGATCACACTCTAGAGTGGCTCTCTAGAACTCCCTCTAGTGGAGGCATTTCCACCAGCAGTAGATAGACAATGGGTCATGATGATGATGGTGATATTTCAGATGAAGGTCTCTTCATGCCGTTTCAGTCATGGGGTGGGGGCTGTGTGACCATACTTCACCGCACAGCTCATTGCGGGTTAGTGTAAGCATTCTATGTTATGTACATGTAGAGTGACCAGGTGAAAAATGTCCTTTACCTTTGGCCAGCTGTACTAACAATTGTATATATAAATTAAAAAAAAACTCATTGTGCGGTAGTGGAAACCATGAGTACTCATAAAATAAACAGACTTCACCTCCACGGGGTTATAGGCTGGTGGAACAGAGGCTCACTTGAGTAACTTTATTAAAGGATTTCGTGTTTGGTATTGTGCAGGCATTAAACAACTCTCCTGAATGCAACGATCCTAGTCCCACCCACAGCAATGCAATGGCCAAAGCATAAGCAGGGTGCCACCTATTAGGGGCCGTCCATAAATGACGTCACGCACCTGTGGGGGGGGGGGGAGTCAGACATTTGTGACGATGTGTGACGAGGGGGGGGGGGGTGAGAAATGTGACGTCACATCAAAATGCGCAACTTTAAATAAATAAATAAACGCGCTACAATGGCAATAGTTTAAAGCGTGACGTCATTTATGGACGGCCCCTTTATAGCTCATCGGATTCCTCCAGTCTAGATCAATATTCTGATTCAATCCACAAGGCTCCTGCGCACGAGCTCTACTTTCATTGCTCCGTCTCTGCTGTCGATGAGCACCAAACCCGGGCGATTCACCGCTCCTTTGGCTGCCACTCTGTCCGAGGTCTTGGCCGTCTTGGCCGTCCATAAATGACGTCACGCGATTTTGGACGATTTTTGCCCCCCCCCTTCGTCACACAGCGTCACAAAAAGTCAGACCCCCCCCCCTCAAATATGACGTCACAAAGCTCTGCCCCCTCCCAAAAAAATAAACCATGCTTCAAATCGCTTTAAACTATTGTCATTGTAGTGCGTATTTAATGTCCCGCTGCACTCTGATGTTGCAGGAGAAAACATTTATGAAAAAGTATATTTAATTAAGTAGAACGTGTTGTCTATATTTATTTAAAGTTGCGCATTTTGATGTGACGTCACATTTCTCACCCCCCCCCCTTCGTCACACATCGTCACAAATGTCTGACCCCCACCCCCCTCCCCAAGGTGCGTGACGTCATTTATGGACGGCCCCAAAGTTATTTTTAACAGATGTCCAGTAAAATTTTGATTTAAAGCTTTCGTGACTGCAGTGAATCATATTCTTGGTTCTTTCGGTAAAGTCACGTTGAAGGAAAACAATAAAATAAAGAACCAAGAATATATAAAATAAAGAACCAAGATTATAGATGTCCAGTAGTTGTACAGATATCCAGCGGTTACAATACAAGACCGTGAGAGATGATGATAGCTTTGGTGGGGGGAGTAGGATGCCTTGATGCAGCAGTGGATCATGATGACAGAAGTGGTATATCTTCAGTGCTACTAATTTGTTGCAAATAACTAAATTATGTAACAAAAGCATTCATTTGAGGCTAGGCCATCTTAATTCGCTTGTATTGGCCGCTCAACAAACTTTGGAATGATAAAAGTTTGGCGACGATTGGCCTTCACCCTGAAATTCGATTAAAGAATCAATTAAATTTATTCACGTTCGTACCGTTTAGAATGTTAAATATCATTTGCATCGCGTGGAACAAGCGAGCCATTCAATTTGCATACGATTATAATAATCGATCAGCGCATTCGTGATTCCAATAATCGGTTTTAAAAGTCGAATCGATACATCGTACCACGCCATGTGGGGTAATAATTAATTCGAAAGCTTCAAATCTATTATTATTAACTAATTATATTATTAGAGGTAACCCCCCCCCCTCCTTAGCGCCGGATCCATTCGATTCCGTAAAATCCGCACACCGGTTGGTGAATCGATTCAGACCACGCCCCCCCCTCCTTTTTAATAAAATCCCTCCCCGTGTCTGTCTCCCCACCCCTTGCACGACCGCTCCGGCCCCCACCTCCCTCCCTCCCACGTGGTACTGCAACTCGCGCCCTCGTTGGTCGAGAGGTGCCACGCGCGCACGAGTCCACCCCCCACCCCGGCGGCTGAAATCCCTCCGCGCCGGTGACGCGGTCTCCGCCCGAGTGGTGAAGCGGCCTCCGACCGACGGGACGGCGTTGCCGCACTTGTTTCGCCTACGTGGTGAGTTTTTTTTGACGAGATGGATCGTCGTTTGAATTTATTACGCGATAACTTTTTTTTACACACGCAAACACAAAACAAACGATTTAACCGAATAGCTGCGGTAACAACACGTGGCGGGCGGCGTTACGGCGTTACGGCGCGGTGGTTTGAGTTGGACGTGCGTGGAGTCGTGGTCCACTCGTGCCTTGCTCCATGCGCGGGGTGTCTCTGTGTGGGGGCTGTGAGTCTCGCGTGAGTCTCACAACCCTCCCACACCCCCCCCTTCCCCTTCACGCAGACAAGGCAAGGCCCGCGTGGAGCCTGTGTGAGACTGGGTCTGCCGTGAGACTCGCCGAGGCTGCGCGATTGTTGAGTCTCTGTGGGGACCGTCGATGCGAGATTGTGTTCTCGCCACTTTCCTCTGGTCCACATGTCTCCCCGTCTGTCCACATTGTTCCTGTCTGCGTACCTGCCGTGTCCCGGTCTGTCGCCCCGTGTCTTGCGTGTTATGTCTGCGTCCTTCGCTCGCTGGCTTTGCTTGGCCCTGTATCTGCCTCTGTCCCTGTCTGTGTCCCACCACCACCTCTTTCTTGCCTGTCCTATACTGTACAGTATATCTGTTGCTGGGGATACGTGTCTGGCTGTTTCGGTCCGTGTGCACTTATCTCTCCGTGTCTTTAACCCGCCTCGTCTCCCGAACCATCTTCGTCTCACTCGGTCTCTTGCGACTGCGTCTTCAAATCCGTTACCACATTCATCCTCTCCGCCCATATCTCTCTCTGCTGCTATCCTTTTTTTTTATCTTAAAGCCGTTGACATTCCTACGCAACCGGCCGCTTTGCTTCCTTTCGCCGTCTTTTTCCTCTCTTGCATTTTTTTGTGTGCTTCTCCGCGCACGCCTCTCTTCTGCCTTAGAGTCGGTCGTTGTTGCTCCTTCTTCAAGTCTTTCTCTTCCTCCTCGCGTCGCTACGTGACACCGATGGATGTGTGTGTGTGTCGTCGTTCGTTCGACGAGCTATGGTGGTGTGTGATGTTGAGCGAACTCTCTCTCTCTCGTCCGGTTGACGGGGGCCAGGCACTCGAGGCTGTCGACGTGGTGGTGGCTGCTGCTGCTGGGCGGTTGATGTGTGTGATGGTTGTTGTGGTGTGTGTGGTGGCATTGACTAGTGTTGGTAGTGGTGATGGTATTCCAAGGTATTGGACGTGGTGGTTCCTGCTTGTGATGTGTGTGATGGTTGTTGGTGACTGCTGAAATGGTTGTGGTGTGTGGTGGCATTGATTAGTGTTGGCAGTAGTAGTGGTGATGGTATTCGAAGGTATTGGACGTGGTGGTTCCTGCTTGTGATGTGTGATAGTAGTGGTTAATGATTATGGTGCTGGTAGTAGTGGCTGTAATGGTACTGGAGGCTGCTGACGTGGTTGGTGGTAGTGACGTGTGTGTGATGGTTTTATTTTTGGTGGTTGTGGTGGTGGTGTTGGTTGGTGATGGGTTAGTGTATTGGAGGCTGCTGACGTAGTGGAAGCGATGTGTGTGTGTGATTGTTATGTTTTGGTGGTGATGGGTGAGGTCAGTGATGTGTGTGATGGCTGTGGTGGGTTTGGTGGTGTTGGGTGAGGATAGTGATGTTTGTGTGTGATGGTGGTGGTGGGTGAGGGTAGTGGAGGCTGCTGACGTGGTGACTGCTAGGCTGTGAAGACGTGGCGCAGCTTCGAGCTCCGCTCCCCGCCCCGCACTCCACTCCCATCACATGTGCGCCGCCTGCCACCCCCACTGTACGCAGCGCGCACTGTATGCACTCTCTCGCAGTTAACTTTACACCGTGCAAAGTGTACACGTGGCACGTGTGCAGTGTGCATTTTGTGTACTGCACTGTGTACACGTGGCACATGCGCAGTGTGCATTGTGTACTGCTCATTGTGTGTGCTGCACTGTGTACACGTGACATGCGCAGTGTGCATTGTGTGTACTGCTCTTGTGCGTACTGCACTGTGTACACGTGGCATAAGTGCAGCGTGCATTGTGTGTTACTACACGGTGTACATGGGCAGTGTGCTGTGATCTGCGTGTATCGGACTGCACGTGGTACATGTGCAAATGTGTGTACTGTGTACTGCGTTTACTGTACTCTAATCGCACTACTTGTGAATTGTAAATTGCGTGCATTGTACTTTCTGCAATACACACGCGAAGTGTAATTCGTATCATGTACATAAACGTATACTTTGTGTAATGAAGTAGTGTACCATATGCATTGTGGATACTGTATTGCGTACATACACATGCGTGTGTACTGAGCAGTACGCAACATGCAGTACAACGGACACATGTACAAAAGTACACTTCATCCGGATGTGTGTATGCTTGCCAGATTAATGTTTGCATGAGTAAGTGTACTCGCACACATTAATCGATGGGCCCCCCCGGGTTCCATCTCTGAACATTTGCATCATCAGCTGTAGTGACGTGTCAACGATTGCGGTTGCCCGGTGTGTTTTCTTAAGCGGGCCTTGAGTGGAGCTCCTCGTATGCCACTTGATTCAGAGGTGGCGAATGCAAATTGCATTATTCCTATGGCAAGTCTCCATGCGTTGGGCAGTGCAAGTTGCACAGCAACAGTCGAATAAGCAATGAGTTAGATGCGGTTTTTGGAATGTCCTCGGTACAATGGACCTTTCTCGCTGCATAGCATTTACCACAGCTGACTTCCTTCAAAGTAGTAGTTATTTTCTACCTTGGAGGGATGATGGTGAACCCTTGACCTCATTGCAAGTTTAGTTTGGAAACTTTTGTGTTTTCATGCTGAACATTCTGTACTGTACATGCATATGGGATTTATGCTGTTGTCACCCCCCATAGCCTCGATTCTTGTTCAAGAAATGTTCTGCATTGAGATGTTTGGCCAATTCTATCTTAAAGAGTGAGGAAATTGGGGATTGAAGAAAGCTTCGGATTATCCAGTAAAGGAACATTAGAAGCTCTGCACAGATAGATTCAGTAATGCATTGCAGTACTACCGTCTGGCTAGCTCTGCCAAAAGCAAGCAATGTATGCCTGTACTCCCTTCCACTGTTTTAAACACAGCCCTTTTCATTGCTAATGAACGAAGCGTATGCTGTAATGAACACGCTGTGTATGGTATAAGTATGTTGAACTTGCATACATCAGACTATATACCATCTAACATGTGTGCAGGGTGGAACATACGATGCATTATACGTTTGTAGATATCCTTTGCATCGCTTGGATTCACTGAATCTCAATGAGACAAACGTAGATAAATGTATGGACACACAGCATAGTGCTGAGAGGACGCGAGTATGCACACAACACGATCATCCACGATGTATCTGCTACTGGATGAAATCTATTTCCCAAAGCAGTCGCCATCTCTCGCAATCCTGTGATGATGCAACAATCAATCTAAAACCACACGTTTTTGCGGTATAAATTCACACGGTCCCTGATTTGTGTATGCAGCATACAATGCGTTGTGATGCCCGCGATCTTTTGGCAGAGCGGCATTTTTAAAGTGTGGCTTTATGTTGCTTTATTGGGGGTGTGTGTCTGGTGGTGTGGGCAGGAGGTTATGCTGTTAAGAGGCAGCGGCTATGCAAGCCAGCGTCTTTTCGGTGCTCACAACGGGAGCGAGATGCGGAGGGGGTCGTTGGGGAGCTCTGGCTGTGGTTGCGTGGCACGTGGCTCAGCAGAGAGTGCCACGTCGCCTGGCTGGGGTCCTACGGGCGATGGGCTGTAATGCAAACAACTGATCCCGCCAGTGGCTGTGCAGGGTCGATCCTGCGCCATTGCTAAAGAATGGACCTCCCCACCCCCCTACCCCGCACTCGAACTTGAGTGCCTACTTAACCCTAAATGGCTCCTGCAGTGCTTATTCGTAGGTGCCAAATGTGACACAGTATATCATCATCCATTGTCTATCCCCCGCTTGATGAAGACCTCCATAAGCTGCTTGCATCTCTCACGATCCTAGAGCACTTTCCCACCGTCTGTCACGACGTAATAATCCACCCAGCATCTGCGCACGTGCTGATTTCATTGCTCCATCTCCCTGGTGAACGTGCTCTCGGATGCATGCAATTCCTTGGCTGCCGTTTTCTTATTGTTCTTGATCATCGGTTTCCGTTTAGAGATGTGGCTATTTTATTTATACAGTATACGAGACCTAACCCAAAAGCCTATTATGTATAATATTGGTCGTGAAGGCCTACGTGTTAAACAAATGTGGCTTGATGTGAAAAACTATTTTGGTAATTATTTAAGATGATTAGTTAATAGCATTGTGAAAGAATAGACCATCCCTATCATTCACATCATACTCGAGTATGTTATAGAAAACAAAGTTCTGCTGCCTGGTACATGGATGGGCCAATGCACTATGGTGACGTCACTCCACGTTTGTGTGACATCACCCGCATCCCACAGCATTGAGCCACGTTCGTGCGTTGCGTACCCTCCACCCTGGTCATGTATCTCACGCAAATGTGTGGGCATTGCCAATTGATACGCTAGCTCACTTCACCAGTGGCAAAGTTAGAAGGTGATTGTGTTTGAATTGTATGCCATTGTGAATCTATGGCATTGTTACAGGAGACTAGCCCTACAATTATCTAATATAACAGGCAGTATGGCAGAAATGTTTAGTGTTGAGAAATGATGATATAGCCATTTCCAGTGGCAAATTATGACAACAGTTTAAAAAAATTGATGCAAAAGATTATGGAGTGAACGAAATTGGTAATGCAACCTGTCAACCCCTTATCAGTGCCAACCTTATTACAGACTAATTCAATCCTTATTGGTCACCCCGTGCCCTTATAAATCTCAACGTTCATCCTACAAAGTCCCATCACAAGGGAAAAACACAAACAAATAGACCAAAATTATGTTTTTTTGCCCGTATTGAAACGGCTGTACGCCGTATGGCCCTAAACTCAATTTCCCTGTACAAGAATACGTGTACACCGTATGGGTTGACGGATATGGTAATGCATTATAATGGTCTGTGAAACAAATGGGCCACTTGTATGGTTTTTGACCTATTCCCCATGGTAAGGAGCAGTCCCCAAAACTATTCAACTAACTTTAGAGATAAGTCAGTGCCCTTGGTAAAGAATGGGGCTGTTTTCCTGGATCACTTTTCCACATGGAGGTCACTTTTGGCATTCCAGTACTGCCAAGCGGCATCATGTCTCCCGGAAACGCTGCTTCCTCACTCCAATTCTGCAAGATGATACTGCACTGAGCGGCATTAAATGCTGCAATATACACACAAGGTTAAATTGAGTTGCGTTTCATGGGGTGACTGAATAGAAGGGCATGCATGCATTGTGCTTTTAACCGTTTTCTTCATTTTCTTGGGACAAGTTGGAACATTTTCTCCTTTTTGAGCGAAGTATGCATTCTGTATTTGGATTCGGATAGGAAATTGCCATTGCTGCATGACTAGTGCCTTATTTTGAGATCCACGTTTTTCTTTTTTAAAAGATAAAGCAATATAATAAATCGGTAATTATTTGATGCTTTGAATATTACGTAACTTTAAAATTTGTAGCAATTTTTTTTTCGTTAAACTAAAAATGCATCGGCTCGTTGATTTGAATCTTATGTTACATGCATTGGAAGTCGCTACATTCAGTCAAACTCTGGTTGCTGGGTCTGTGGTGCCACGCGCTAACCGCTGCACTACCGCTCCCCTTCCGCCACCCACTCATTACAGTGCCATGGTGGGATCCACTTTCCCCACACGAACAAACGCGCGCCCCCTGCTGCTACAGGACGCATATTTATAGATCGGGTTCCACTCGTTAAGCAAACATTTTGCGGGTTTTGTGAACAAATAGGTTCCTAATCGAGATGCACCTGTATAAACATCTGTTAAAGAGGTTTCGGCCATATAATGCAATGGTCCAACCACAATATTTTGGTTATGCTACTGCTCGTATATGTATGTGTAGTGGGTTCAACTGAGTCGCAGACGCATTTCTTGGAGGCAATACATTTATTAAAACCAACGCACGGGGTACTAACCCCTTAACAAGATAACCTATGGTGGTGGACCACCAGGATCACTACACTAATTACACTGGAACTAGCTACAACGGACCGGTCCCCAGCTTGGGTCCATGTCCACGTGTTGGTGACTTGTAGAACGTAGATTCTTCAGGATGAACAACCGCAACCGGTCCCTCTCAGGGACCCGGCTTATATTCTCCGTGGCGTGGCTGGCTCCGCCCTTAGCCACGACCAGCTTCTCGAACCCTCGAGCAGGATCTCGACCCTGACACGTGACCACCCCTAGCCCCCACCTGGGGCCCCTGTGTAGACTTTACCGGTCACGTGTCCTCTAGGGTCAAGCAGAGTGCCATGGCCTATAGTAACCCCATTCCCGTGGCCGGCACCCTGACACCCCATCCTGTAGGGGTCGGCACTGCACGCAGAGCGTGGAGCAAGTCGCAGCAGACATCGTGCTGCTCACAGCAAACATCGTGGCTATCGCGATTTTCACCTGAAGAAGGGCGCTTGTTGCGTTCGAAACGTCGTGATTTGTTTTGTTTTATTTCTGCCTATGTGGCTTTACCGAAAGAACCAAAGAGTGGATTCCTGCAGTCACGACAGCTTTAAATCAAGGTTTAATGATCTGTGAGAAAAAAATCATTTTCCATGACTGTTGATAATAGGGATTAGTACATTCTTTTATTTCAGTTATTTGTTTAAAAAAGACAAAGAACATCGTCTTGTTTTCGTCTTTCTAATCCTAAGTCTGCTTAGGCACACAATCTACAGCATGTATTTATCTCGTGAATTTCTGAGCACGTTGGAGCTGTGGGTGCCTTTTTACCACCTCTGCATCGTCATGGAAAGGTGTATCCTTAGATCTGGGCTATCTGCGGCTGTTTGCTTATCTGTTGATGCATTGAATAATAGGAAAGTTCTAAAGGCCCTTTATGGCTCTTAACTGGCTACATCTATTTGTGAAATAATGGATAAGAGAAAATGCCAGTCTGCTGATTATGGAAATAAAAGCATATTAGCCCAAGTCGTGTATTGAAAGCGTTTATCTCTTCACCCCTGCTCATAAAATGTAAATTTTTTAATGGCAATCTATAAATACATATTTCAGTCCTCTGAATAAGCTATTTTTTGTCACATCCACAAAAGTACCTATGAAAGTGGGCTCCTGGTACGGAGCATCAAGCCACTGACCCTAAAACAAACTGGCTGCATAATGAATACTTTTTTTTGTCTTACAGGGCAGACAAACCAGCCACACTGAAGCCCATAAGGTAGCTGAAACCGGACGGACTCTCTGGCAACAGTAACCATTTTGTAAGTATAACTTGTACATTTTATTTATCGTTGACAAATATGTTCTTAGGGCTAATATGCCTCCCGAGTTTTCCACAACCACCAAGTGATTTCTGTGGGGAGTTATCCAGTGCATGGTTCTGTGGCTGTGAAGCGGAGTAAAATCCACGTGACATCATTGTTTGTAAAAGTAGGCCTTCATGCACCGCAGGGGTAATCCGGAATCAAAGTTTGGAAATTACGCCCAACCGAACCGCTGCTTGCAAGAGTTTCACCTTGATGATAGAACAGAACTTCCTTTTTATGCCAGTATTTCAGCTAATGCTGAAATTTTGGACAGTCTGAGAGTTACGTTGATGCGACATGGCTCGCGTTTAGTTGGTTGGGGACTGATTTTCATTTTAAATGTTAATTCAATTATTTTACAAATTTAACATAGCAGTGCCATTGATGTCATTCGACAAATAAGCCATTCAGATTTTTCGTGCAGCACCATGCCCGAGGACAAGGTGATTTCACGTGGACGATATTTCTGGTAGGACTTAAAAAAAAATCCCAGTTATATTTGTATCTTTACACATGAGAGTCAACCCGTTGTTTTACATTCTCAGGGCTGGAATTAAGCCACATCAAGTGGAAAACCAACTCTTATGTGTTATTTTTGTATGCCTCTTGGTTGTGAACGGGTTGAGACGAATACACTTGCTGCAGGAGGCTGTCGGGATTTAAACTCCCGGGGCTCAGCAGGTGCCAGCTCAGTGCCTTGACCTCTTGAGCCAACCCTGTGACCTTGGCATAAGGAGCACGTTTTTGAAGCCGTTGCCTTCAAAGTTCCTCTTGTTTGATTTTTTTCTCAATTCAACGTTAATCCAAGTAAATTGGACACGTGTTCACACGTCTAGACAAAATAACGAATAATGTGCCAGGACAGACCAACACGCTGCGTGCCTTATTTTGGCATGCAAGTGCGTACCACACCACATTTATCTTTTTGCAACTCTAACATTCCAAAGATTGATTAACCTTTTCATTTTTGACACACCAAACACAAAATGAAGCACAATTATTCTAAACGCTGCCTTTTAACTGAAAAAACATGCAAAATAGGCTGGAACTCTGAATTACGGCTATTGTCCAGAAGGTTAGCCGATGATATGTATATTTATGTTAATAAAGCAGTGTTATAAATGTGTTTTTGTATGATTCATGATTGTGCGCCAATGCAGTTTTTAAAAATACAAACAAGCAGTTTAATTGGCATTGTGTTAGATATTGTGCTATTTTAAAAGATTTGCAGCTGGAGATGGTTGTGTGGCTTAGAGGTTGGAGCACGGAGATGGAACCACCCTTTCCTAGCGCCTAGGTTCAAATCCAGGTGACTGTGATTAAACTGGATTCAAGCGTAGCTATTGATACTTTCAGCTGGGTCGGCAATGAATGCACAAAAGCCAATGACTCCACAAAAATATGTCGCATTTAAACGTTTTGCATTTAATTTGGATGATTTACACCTGACGACTCTTGGGAACATTACTCTGTAGCAAGGTGGCAAGGAAAATGCTGCCCTCTGCTGTGTAGACTAGAGGTCGCTTGAAGGGATCTCAGGAGCAATTCTGTGATAGCTGCTTCTGTGGGCCATCCAAATGGCTTCCTTGTCGCAAGGCATGACTCTGATGGCACGCAAATGCATTTGTTGCCTCTTGACAAGACTCCGATGTCACAATCGAAATATAAAAAAAGACTTTCCAAATGCTGTTCTGTTGAGTTTTTTTTTTGTATTTTGCCAGTGGTGTACTGTACGACTTTGCAACCGGATATCGACTATGAGTTCGGACGCAGTGTTAGCACCTGAAGGCTTCACCGAACAGAATGGCAACATTAGCAGCCCGGAGTTGGGAGTCACTAAAGGTTAGTAGCTTGCACACACTGACATGTACTGGTTTCATAGTTGTGGTGTGCATCCGCTTATACGTGTAAATGTTATATGTTTGCTTAAAAAAAAACACTCGGGTGTCTAAACATTTTGAGTTGTAGGTGAACCTGATGTTCGGACAGAAATTCATCATCATTTTTCTAAATTATGAACATTTAAATGCAAAAGCATCTCGACGATATGACATAAAGGAGGACATGGGTGTTGTAAGCATGGTATAGATTTGCTGCTTGCGCTTAGGTAAATTCTAATTAGATTTTTACGAGTATAAAAAAATCAAGATTGTGCTCTGTTAATTTTTAATCTTTAATGTTCGGAATGTGTAATGGTTTTTGCAACTCCCTAATTGGCACAACTTCTAAAAAGACAGTTTAACTCTATAATCAAATTAATCTATGCCGTAATAAAAGTATTTTAGCCTTAAGTGGTGAGGAGACAAGTGTGTAATCACTTCATGCCTTAGTATGTAACAAATGGGAATGCTGAATTCCAAGTGTAAATCTTGAAAATGGTGCTTGTTTCAAACGTTGAAATATTAACCCTTCGCAAAACACTTTACTTGTGTTCAGATACTCCTAATGTCTTTTCCAAATTGCCGGTTCAAAAATAGTGTTTTTAATAAATTACATTCGGCACCAGGTCGCATCCTTATCTACACCCAGCATGTGTTCATTGTTTACGAATTTAATTAATGTCAAACATTACCATTACGTACAAAAGAGGTAAACTTACATACAATACAACGCTGCCCAAAAAAAGTCACTGTACAACCAAATGTGCGATCTACATTCAGTGCACAGAATTTTAAACCAGTTGCGCACATACACACAGTTACACGTACCAGTTGCGCACATACACACAGTTACACGTACGGCATGTTCTTTAAGTTGGAATTTGAACATTCAGGGTCTGTCGGCCATCCCAGAAGCTTGGAAGTAATGCATTCCACATTTTGTGACCTGCAAGTGCAAAAGCAGCATTTTGCCAGAAGGGTGTTTTTGTGCATGGAATGTCAGAGGCATTGAATTGTACCCCCAAAGGTCAATCTTCAGAGCGGCAAGTCAGAAAAGCTAAGCCACGTCAAGTCTTGGTGGTCATAAGCTACATTCCACGTTTAATTCCTTGCCAGAAACCTGGATGGCTTGTAGTAGGAATAGCACAGCATGTAAATGCGTCCCCTCACAAATTAAATATTTCTTCATAATTCATCGTTCAGGGGGTGTTTATTTTTCCGAACCTGATTTCGTGAAAAGGTGCAGTTTTTAAATGTGGGCCAATATCCGACTGATGACATGTGCTAATATAACTCCTCTTATTAATGCCTGTCATTGATGTTACGAATATGATGAATTTGTCATGCAACTCCTGAACTGTAGTATACAAAGTTACTTAGTAGGTTTTTGGCGGTTGTGATGTGTAGCTCTCTGCTGTTATTTTTGCATTATACTGTGTTGTTTGGTATGAGCATTTCACTCCATGTGCTGAATATTAAGTTACTGGAGTAAATCTCGAACGTCATGCGGCACAGCATGCGGCACAGCATAAAAATGCACTGGAGAGGTGCAAAAATATAAAATAATTAACAGGAAGGTCTTGTATTTGTGCATGTGCCATTGCAAAACATTCTGACCTACCTTTGAAAGATAGTTTCGTTTAAAACTAGTTAGAGGCATTGAGGGCCAGTCTGTTTTGCAATGCCCATTTAAGAAAAAAAATGCGTTCGGTTTGTCTGTGCTTAATTCAAAAGCTTGTGCAAAGTTCAGTTTAGCTTAGGGAAAGCAATAACATAGTTTGTCACTTTTTTATTTTACAGTGGCGCGATAAGTTAAAAGCGTTTAGAAATGACAGTGACGTGCGTGGAATGTTTTGTGTGTGCGCGCGCGTGGCACAAACCCGCGTGCCTGCCGCAGGAGGGCTTGATGACGAAGCTTACATCCCGACCTACTTTGAGGCCTTCCCCCCTCTGCCGGAGAAGAACCAAGCTGATGTGCCTACAGCCCCACTCGGGGCTTGGAATAAGATCCGCCCACTGCGCTCGTCTGTCATTACTCAGGTGCTGGGAGCGTTCGGTCTGTTACAGCTGTCTGTTGGCGGAGTGGGGGAAGGGGATCGTTGTTAACGTTGGCTGTAAACTTACATCAGCACTGCATTTGATCATGAGTTGCTTGTTCATAATAAAGGTTTTTGGGTCCAGTCACGTAAATTTAACCCACCAACACCCATCGCAGCCAATTAGTAAGGTTTGTCACGTGAACAAAACTTGCTAATTGGCTATTACTTCACATCGGTGTGATGGCGAGTAAAGCCACAACATTTGAAATTTAGTTACAACGTTTGTCATTCGTTGTTTGGCCCTTCCATTTAACGTTACCTGTTTACATCATGCGCTTCACATTTTGCCTCCGTGTTTCACAAAGCTTATTCTTTACCCTCGTCGTTTGGCATTAGAATATATGGTTCTGTATATTTCACAGAGGTGGATTTGATTTACGACACCTCGCACACTCCTAATTTATTACTGTAAATGAAATATGTCAGTGTAACCAAGCGGTCATCTGAGAGGCTTGCACTCTGCTCCGATTTTTTTTTAGGTGTTCCATGTACCGCTTGAGGAACGTAAGTTCAAGGAAATGAATCAGACCCAGTTCGGAGAGGGGGGAGAGCAGGGCAAGATCTGCCTGGACATCATGCAGAAGACCGGCGCGCATATTGAGCTCTCTCTCGCCAAAGACCAAGGCCTCTCCATCATGGTGACCGGGAAGCATGAGTTTGTCATGAAGGCTCGCAAGGAGATTGTCGCCAAACTGCAGACCCAGGTACGCGTTGGTGACTGGATTGCAGTCGGGAGTGTTGTGCAATCTGCAGTGAAGGGTGGAATGGTTCACGACTTTCCCCGTTTCTCATTGGCATTGAAAACTTCCAAATGTATCCTTGGCCTGTTTTCAAGTGAGTTTGCGATTTAAGATTTGACATTAGTGACGATGGTAATGATACCGATATGACCCATGAATACCTACACTGAGTCTCGCAGACCTGTTCAGGAAAAGTATTGAAATGGCCATTGGTGAATGAATGTTTGGCATGTGGGAGGACACTGGAGTACCCACGGAAAACTCATACATATGAGGGGGGTGACACATTTCACGACCATCTCCTGGCCTCCCCATAGTCACCGATCCAAAGTACCAAGGAGGTTGAACTCTACTTCGATCTGAGAGGCTTGGTCATTTGGTTGTATTTTTGATTGTAACATTACAGTTTGAGAATTTGGCATTAACGATTGCTACCAACTCCTTGAAGCTGTCTCCTTATGTCTACGGCATTAACACCGAGCCAAAAATGCCGATAACTTCTCGTCCGACTCTCTTGGCCTTGGGAATAAAACTGAACCACAAACATTTTGAAGATTCTGAAGTCTGGCTGTGAGCCTCCAGGCATTGACACCGAGCCAATAATGATACGAATCTATATGAGGGCCATACGTCTGCTGTCTGGGAGAATAGAAACCGCACCGGTGCGGCCTGTGACCCAAAAGCAAATGGCATATGTTTACAATGTTTAAAACTCCACATGGTGTTTTTCACACAACCTCCAGATAATGGCACATATATAGAAGGACGTGTTCACGAAAGAGGAACAAAGTCATCTGGAATTGTAAACATGTGCAACATTTCCCAGTCAAATAGCAGTTCTGTCCCAAAATACCATTTTAGACTGACAGCTTTTGTAAAGAAGGCGATTGTGTATATTGTTTCTGTAGAAGAACCAGAGTAATAAAGGCTGATCCATTTTAGATACCCCACGAGTTTATCGTGGCCCACTTCTCAATGGTGAAAGTGACAGCTCCATATCTCGCGCAGGAATATTGAAAGATATAATGACTTGAGATTGGTGGGAGACGTGTAGAAGCTTTGAAATTAAGTGTCGTTTTCTCAAATTTTCACTTATTACTTTAGTGGGGTATTAATACATGTATTGCCCTGTGCTTGTACCTATGTAATGTTCAATAAAAAATATTTCGAAAGTAGTTCCGTGAGATTTCTATTTGCGGGCCATTCTCGAAAAATTGGTGGTTCATTGTTCTCTGGCAGTTACCAATCAAAACGTTTAATTTCACGGCTGGATGTTGATGGCACCATTGGAACAAACTTAATTTATGGAAATATACAAGTGGTAACTTGTAGGATTTAAACTGTAGTTCTCTGAACTTCAACCCAAGTTGTAAGATTTGAGTCTGGGTTCTTACAAGTATAGGTTCACTGCTCTGAAATGGCTGTATTATTTGGTAATAAGATGACGAAAAGATGACCAGTGACAACTGGAGCTTAATTGAGGTTGCTCTTGAACGCAGGCAACTGCAATGGTGGCCATCCCCAAGGAGCATCATCGCTACATCATCGGACGCAACGGAGAGAAGCTGCAGGATCTGGAGCTTCGAACGGCAACCAAGATTCAGATCCCCCGACCTGACGATACCAGCAACCAGATTAAGATCACCGGCACCAAGGAAGGCATCGAGAAAGCCCGGCATGAGATTCAGCTAACTTCGGCGGAGCAGGTACTCTCATCGCTGCACATGTATGGGCTCACGTGGAGTCAGTGGTGTGTGGTGGTTTCGATGCATTTAACAATGTATTCATTTACATCTTGACTTAAAGCTTTCGTGACTGCAGGAATTCATATTCTTTGGGTCTTTCGGTAAAGCCACGTATATAGAAAAAATAATTTTCAAAAAGTAATTTTTTCACCTGATGACGATTGCTTGTGTTGCGATCGAAACATCGTGATATTTTTTATTATTTTTTCTATCTACGTGGCTCTACCGAAAGACCCAAAGAAAATGTTTTGATTTGTTGATTTTTACATCTATTCTTCCACTTGTACATCTGTAGACTCATTTGTGTGTATGATACTACTTGTATTTCTATCTCTAAGACACTAGACTACCGAATGATGTTAGAACTACACATGGGAGGTGCAGCTAACTTCATCCATAAACAGGCGATCAATGAGTTGCCTAACTGTAACTGCAGTGAGGTATAGTCCATTACTCAAGATCCCAGATGCCATCAAATGGCGTCTTAAAACTCAACATAGAGTTATCAACTAATCCGTTGCTTTTCAAAGTCGTATGGAAGAATAACATTGTTTTAATCTTATACGTTCTATATTATTGGTTTCACGTGACTCAAGATTTTGAGTCTGCTGCCATTTTTAAAGATACCCAAGGTAATTGATCATAAAAAAGTAGCCGATTTATAATGTTGAGCCAATTTAACCGACTGATCGTCCCAGAGGTAATTGTGACAATGGTGGCGGCATTATTGTGCGTCCAGGACAAACGCGCTGTGGAGCGCATCAGCATCGACAAGGTGTTCCATCCGTTCATCTCGGGGCCGCACAGCCGGATAGTAACCGAGATGATGCAGGAGACGGGAGCCCGGGTCAACATCCCCCCTCCCAGCGTCAACAAGGACGAGATCGTCATAACTGGCGAGAAGGAGGCCGTGGCTCAAGCCGCCGCGAGGATCCGTGACATTTACGAGGAGAAGGTGAACTTTTTAAGGGCCTAATTTTTTTAATCGCGGATTTGCATTCACGGTTGATTTATAATGGCACGAAAGAGCACAAGGTCTCGCTTGTGTGAGAAGTTGAATGTGCGGTTTGATGAAATACAAAAAAAGCGCCTGTTGTTGTTTTAGACGAGAGTACGCAACCCCGGTTGTACATCTATCCTCTGTCAATCCACTGCTCGATGAGGGCCTCCCCATGCCGTGCGGGGTCGGTGTTATTTTACCGTTCTAACACCACACCGGTCAGTGTGGATTGGTGAAGGCGGGACGAGCATATTACAGCACAACAGTGGATTTTGCTGCACCGTCCTCCGCGCTGTCCCACGACGACTACCATTGTGGAGCATTCGAAAGGAACGCAAGTGGTTCTTCGAAGCTCAAATTAATCTCTTTGCAACCCGTGTGCAGAAGCGCAAGACTACGACCATTTCCGTGGAGGTGAAGAAGTCCCAGCACAAGTACATCATCGGGCCACGTGGCAACACGCTGCAGGAGATCCTGGACCTGACGGGCGTGTCCGTGGAGATGCCCTCAGTGGAAAGCAACTCCGAGACCATCATCCTGCGCGGCGAGCAGGAGAAGCTCGGCCCGGCGCTCACCCAGGTCTACGCCAAGGTGCGGGGTTTAAGGCTTTTAACGTTCCTGGTCAGCGGTTAGTCATGGTGCTAAATGTACTCTGGTGACCTACCGCTCCCCTCTCACCTCCATTATACTCCCCTCCATGCACTCTCCTTACTCTCACCTCCCTTTCTTTTCCTCTTTGCACACCTAGCTCTCACCCTGAATGCACTCTGCTCAATGTACTTTCCTACCTCTGCTCTCTCCCCCTTTCTGTGTTCTCCTTGATGCACTCTACTACCTCTCCACTGTCACCTTGCCATATTCCCATCTGTGCTCTCCTTACCCTCTTCCCCTCTCCACTCACTATGCTCCCCTCTGTGGATTCTCTTCCCTGCCCCATCGCATTGTCCACCTTCCATAAGTGAAACAAATATTACTCGAATGCTACGAGAGTATGGATTGTTGATAAGTGCTACAATTACCAACTGGTGTATATGGCACAATAGACTGGGGATTGTTATTATTCACGTCGTATGTTGGTTAAGAAAATTACAGTGGTATTACATTTTTGATGGTGTTTAATAAAGCATTAGTATTTAATAATGAACACTTGCCTTCAAATTTCTAGCAGTGATATAAATTATTGGCGGAATTCTTCTGCATCCTCTGCAACGCTGATAACGTTTCACTGCAACGAGGCAAGAGTCAACTATCAGATGGGTCGCAGCTGCTTAATGCATCCTAACTGGTAGTTCATAAGTCATTTAAATTTTTAGACCATTTTCATGGGCACAAGACATTCAAGTCTGCTTTAGGTTATTGCAATATATGCCTTTCATTAAGCTGTGATACATTATGTAATGTCTTGTTCAGTAGCACTGTTTCTAACGTGATTTGAGTAACAAGAGATGTGTTCATGTACCGTGCTTTGTGGTATTTTCCGTTGTTGTGGCCCAGGCGAGCAGCGTGGCCTGCATGGATGTGTATGCCCCAGCCTGGCTCCATCGCTTCATCATTGGCAAGAAGGGGCAGAACATCAGCCGCATCAGCCAGAACCTACCCAAGGTAAGTGCTGCCTCCCCTAGAGGATTCACATCAATACCTTTTTTTCCCCCACTGTACAACCGAACCATGCTGGGGTTGTGCTGAATCAGCCCAGCTGCCGACATCTCACGGAGTGAACAGGAACAAGAAGCATTATGGATAACGCATTGATGCTGTGTCAGAGTTGTTACCGAGCGTGACGTCACACACGGAACGAAACGTGTCATTGGCCCAGCCTCCTCTGGCCCTTCATGGTCCCGAGGCAGATTCAGATGTCGTGTGAAGCCAATGTGTATCGGTTTGGTTCTATAACTCGGCTCTGCAAACGGCCAGTGAAATACCACTCGGACCGTGAGGGCCTGTGTAGGCAAACGGATGTACCAGTACTAGAGGGGTACAACTTGCACCAACTTGCACAGCTGGTTTCTCCTGCGACAAGTGCGTTGTGCACAACTTTTAATATTTTTACACACGTAAACAAGTGTCTCATCGTATAATCTGGCTGCTATTTGTCTTCCCACCAAATAAAGCTTACGAGGTGGGTGGTAATTTTAGCAATTCCCACAGTATGTCTATGCCAAGTCGACCCTGATTTAGGGGTGAGAACTCCTAGGCTAACGGCTGCCGGGCTATCCCACCTCTGCTGACCGCATGATGTTGTTTTCCCCACTGTTGCATGTTATCAGGTGCACATTGAGTTCACGGATGGCGAAGATAAGATCACCATCGAGGGTCCAACAGAGGAGGTGCATCAGGCTCAGGCTCAGATGGAGGAGATCATAAAAGACCTGGTGAGGCCTAAGGGTTCCTGGAAAACCAATGGAAGTTATCTTTTACATGGATAATTAACCCAAGCTGGAAACTTTACGTGAAAACTAACAATGAAGATAACCATGGCTCAAAACTGAAGTGGAGAGCGGTGTTTAATGATAGTGGCGATTTTTAGTAAAACATTGATTTGCGTTATGACCGTGTGTATGGTTATTACACATGTAAAGATTTGCCCCATCCGTGGGCGATTTGATGGATTTATCTTGATTCCTGGTCCCCAATCTGTTGACGGATTATTATTTTTTCTCTTGCTTTTATCATTTTCTTTTGTCTTTGTCTTATTTGTACATACGTTTGTTTTTTTGTTGTTGTTGCTCTTTTATCCTAAATGTAGCAGCATCAAATTTGCAGAATTTCTTTTATAAATAATTAATTCTTGCACACCCGATTCTGTGCATGTTTTGCGAGCGTAACAAATTTTAATTCATAAATCGATGCATTGTTAATGATGAGTAAATGATTGTTCGAAGGAGTAGTACATGTTTTTGCCTTGATAGAATTAATTTAAAATATTGTTAAGATATGAGTATATTTGTCATCAAATGAATCAAAATTGGTCAATTGTGAACTTTTCTGATGGGTGTAACTTAATATTCTTTATCTGTCAACATAGTTGCAGAATTTTAAAGATTGTTAAATTGTTATATATCATAACGTTACCCTTGTATGATCGTTCATTGATTTATTACATAGTCCATATTTTTTTTATTTTGGTCCTAAATAGGCTTGCGCAGCTTTAGCAGGTTTACTAGATTAGATATCTATTTTTTATGTTCTACTACAGTCAGACTAAATTAACCTTGGTGACAAAAAAAAACCCGTTTACCCTAATTACAATTGGACTTGGATGCAATTTTTTTTACAAATTATTTGTTACAAGAGCAAGCTGTAGCTAAAAAAACCCGGGTGGCTATGTGTTATCGTTGGTCTGACGTACGTTTTACCAACTCGTGAGACTGCTACAGTGCAGACGACAGGCGCCGTGAGAGGCCACGGAGAAAGAAACGCAATCCCCCAGAGGGTTCGTGGCAGTGCTGTGAAATTGGCACGCAAGGAAAGGGGGACTGTTTAAAAGCTTTGGTTTTAGTGGGAAAAAAAAATATTGGTAAAATCCGGACCAAGCAGGGTTGTGATATAATGTGTATGGAACGAAGGAAAAAACGCAGCAGCAGCAGCAGCATGGAGCTCGTTCATTTCATACAGCTGATGTTGTTTAATTAGTACGCACTGTGCCAATATGTCCTTTTGTCCTCTTGCAGTGCACTGACTAATGTTCTTTAAAACCGTTGTTCCTAAGCAGTTTTTCACACCTGACTATGAAATTGATTTTGGTTGGTTGGATGTGAGCCGAGACGCCAAGTATTTTCATTTTTGTTTTCTCAGTGTGGTCGTATGGATTTCACGGAGATTACAGTCGATCAGAAGTTTCATCGCCATCTCATAGGAAAGAGTGGTTCAAACAGTAAGTGCGTAATATTTCCAGGGAATGGAACGGCGTTTGAGTTAAATCGCATACATAATGTTTTTTTTCATTTAAATTACATTGCCTAACTGGAGCGTATTGGTGCGTGGGTGTTTGGGTGTGGATGATAAGTGGGGAGCAGTGGCTCAGTTGATGGTGCACTGCACTGCAAACCTAGTAGTAACCCCGGTTCGATTCCCAGCCACGGCTAACATCAGTGGCATTATAGCTGAACCAGTCCTGCGTCTCCCCTGGCTTAATTCCATCTTAAATAAGTACCTGGTGTGGAGCCAAAGGCAGTCAGTTAGGTATAGTGCTGATCACCTTACCTCCTCATGTACCTTACTAATCTCCAATGGGTGCTCGCTAACAGCACTTGCGCCCATCGTATATAAGGCTACACTTGGGGATCTTTGTCTTTTATGCATGGTGTATATTAGCAATGCAATATGTGGCCATGCATTGCAATTGTATTAATGTTTTATCTGGCAGCAAGGTTTACAGTTCAATCACAAAGCTGAGTTGCATGATGCCATACAGACACTCTTACAGTTCATATAAATGGTTGTGCATACATCATGTTTACCAACCTGCTGGTTTTCTTATCACCATCATGCTACAATGGAACATATAAATGCGAAAACAAACCTTTTTCTACAAACAATACCTAACCTTTGCAATAATATATGCTCCGGGTGAGGCCAGTTGTGTTACCATGTTAAATGCCATGCAACCCTTCTGTACACGTGTGTGTATCCTTCAAGTTAACCGCATAAAGGACCTGTACAAGGTGCTGGTGCGAATCCCTCCGGATCATGATAAGAACAACTTGATTCGTATCGAGGGAGACCCGCAGGGGGTGCATCTGGCTGCCAAGGAGCTGCTGGAGATGGCCACTCGTATGGTAAGGCTCTATGGGAAAAAAGGATATGTATACACCAAATCATTATTACATTCTTATGGCACAAGGCTATCATAAAGGTGCTATATTTCAGACAATTATAATCTGCATTAGATTCACATTAGGGGGCAATGTTGCCTGTGTGGCTTTACCCAATTTCAATAATTTGTTCACTTTGTGGGTAAATTTCGAATTTTTTTCAATTTGGATCATGATGTCAGGACACGTGGCTTACTCTTTTTTTTAATAACGCCACAGGATCTTTTGACATCCGCTGTGAAGCAGACGGCGCATATTCTTTGGTTTAATTCACCCGCTGTATTAACCAGGGCATCCACTGGGTCCGAACCACGAACATTGCCAGCTAGTCTGCAAACACACCACTCCTTGACCTTGTTATCGACCCTCCATAAGCACACTTCACATGGGAGAGAGAGGGGCTTTTTACATTACGTGTCAGAAAGTGCCTGCGACCCTATTTCTGGAAATGTGCCCGATTTTTGAATTATGAAAACCAAGCAGGTTTGAGCCTGATTTGGCTGATTACCATGCATTACACTGGTGTCATAGGCTGCTGCAGGGCCATGTTGACAGCAGAGGCCAGTGCAGCAAACTCCATAGTAATACTGTACGTCTATGCTTTCCACCTTGAACACACAGACGAGCTCAGTGAAGCATAGTCTTATGAACCCCACCATCCGGACGGCGTGAGGAGGCCGTCATCCAGCAGTTGATAAACAGCCCTTTGTTAATCCGCTGCGGGGTGAACGCCTCCCCACTCGGTATGAGGTTGTCTGACCCTTCTTCACCTTGCTGGTCAGTGCAGGTTGTTGAAGCGAGACGAGGCAAGAAACAGTTCAGATATCAACATCCACCGAGGTCGGTCGTAGCCAGGAGTCCCATTTGCTGTCGACAGGTTTTTGTTTAGTTCAGTCTGCTAACCAGTGTGCCACCGCAACCTTCTTAATGCGTCTCATACGCAGATCCACATTTAAATTGTATGTTTAGTAACAGTACTGTTCATGGACTTGGTCAGGTAGTGACAGTGATGTATGGTTTAATTTAGCAAGTGGATTTTTATAACTCGCATACGTACCTGGGTTGGTGCATTTAATCAGCATTTTGTATCATGTTCACTTAATATATCCCTGAGGACCCATACTGTAGGGAAAGTTAAGCTGGTATAGTTTTACTCATCTGGAAATGTATCGTGAAAAAAAAATGTGTTCTAATCATTGCCTATCTCTGTTTCTCAACAGGAAAATGAACGCACCAAGGACCTAATTATTGAGCACAAATTGCACCGTGCCATCATTGGCCAAAAGGGAGAGAGAATCAAGGAAGTCCGTGAGAAATTCCTTGAGGTCAGTTCTGAAATGTAAAGGTGATGGCGTACAATTAATATCCGTCGTACAATTGCGTCGCCTAAGTGGTTTTTCCGTTGTCGGCATTATTTTAAAAGGTAAAGGTGCAGCCTCTCAATTTTCTCTTTGCGCCACTGCTGGTAAGGTCTCCCTCGAGTGCATTTGGCCTACTCGTTCAGACTGGCCAGACATTCGTGGAAGTAATGAGAGTACCCACACTTTTTGCCCCATCACCTTGCACCGTTTGTTTCAACTGCTGCACAGGGAAATCGAACTGGTAACCTCTGAATTGCAAGTCCAGTGTGCTGACATTTACACCATGGCGGCATCCTCAGCTTGACTTTACCAACATTTTATTTTGCGCTGTCAAATGTTTGGTGTGTTTTTAAAGGGTTTTGCTTTCCATGTGTTGTGTGAAGTCCCCTCTGAGTCTACACCATTTTATAGGCAGTACCGTATTATTCATCTCGCACCCATATCAATTAATTTTCTTCAGTTGCCCCTTTGTGTGTGTTGGTGCTCTTGGCTATCATCTAAATCCGTTCGATCATTGGAGGTTGGTATTTTTTCTGGGAGTGTTCTATGCATAACTATTAATGTCCTCTGCAATGTGTCAAAATATGTATTGGCTCATTTTCCTGTTTCTGTCTTGGTTAACTTAAGCATGCACATTTCCATAATTGTTTTTATGAAGTTTACGCAACATGGGCCAGTTTTTTTACATATACAAAATAAATGGAGACAATCAGATTTGCTGAAAAATAAGCAGAAACGAACATTCACAAACATGTTAATTAAACCTTTATTTTCAACATGAAAAGTTCCGTTGTATATATTTTCATCTTGACTTGTAATCTCGATTTTCCCTGTGTTCTTCCAACTGTTGGGCAGCACTCCTCTCATTTTTCATCCTGAACTCGATGTTGGAAAAAATCCATACTCTCTCCCCCTTTCCTTTATCGCTGCTCAGGCTTTCCCGTGATGCAGCCTTTGTTAACATCCCAATAAGAGAGGGGTCTGTTCCAAGCGGGTGTACGCATTGTAAAAACCTAAGAGGGATAACATTGGGACTGAGCTGCCACCTTAATGAGATTCTCATGACCTTGCGTTCGTAAGCTCACTTTTTTCTATTGACTGCCGTCATTAATGATGCGTAATTCGGTCACGTAAATGCACCTCGACTGTATTTCTAATCGGGTTTGCGACCTTTGGCTGAGAAGCAGGTTTAAAGCCCCCATTAGACAAAAAATGTCCGTTCCAGCGGAGAGATCACGGAAACGTGGTGTTCTGTTTTTTTTTGCCAAATCCCACGATACATCGTAGACTATTATAATCCCCTTTTATATTTGTGAAACAAAAAAATTACTTGTGTTCTATGTACATTTATCTATTCAATAGGTCAGTTTCTGTTTATTGCATTACCTTTTTTGTGCAAAGAAGACCTCTGCGAGCTTCGTGTGCGAGGACAAAACTCGACACGTTTATCCGTAACGCTGCCCTGAAAGTGGAATGCTGGACAAACATTTTAATAAAGCTGCTTCGGTCAATGGAGTGACTTGATATCGGCGATGAAAGGGCCACTGCCAGAAATGGCTTGTTAAGGGCAGTGCTATTGATGAATGTGCGTTTTTGTTATATGCGCTTAAGTATCACTGCCAATGTTATCTCACTTCTTTCGGTTTAATGTGCACGAGGGGACCGTTATTATTTGTATTTCACTGGTGGCGAGAGGCTATAATATTGACAGCGCACACGAAGTCCTACATTTTGTGAATTGTTGCTGGTCTTATGTCAACGGTGCAGCTGTTGTGGCATGCTTTGGTGTAATTGGTTGCACGAATGTTCAGGCAGTTGCAATCCGTTAAAACTGTTGACTCGAGTGCAAAGTCGCCTAGTATGCCGATTATTGCTTTGCTTTTCACACATGCACGGTGTGTGTGAACCGCAGCGGAGAATGGCCTCTCACTTCCAGTTGTTCTCTTCTATTTTTCTAGGTCATCATAAACTTCCCCGATCCAGCGCAAAAGAGTGACATTGTGCAACTGCGGGGCCCCAAGAACGAAGTGGAGAAGTGTGCCAAGTTCATGGCAAAACTGGTTGCCGAGTTGGTGAGGATCTTTTGGCGGATTGATTTTGAAGTATTGGTAGTTACAGCGCTGAGAATTGTAAATATCTTGTTCTATAACCACAAGGCAATATTTGGCCAAAGAATAAGACATTGAAATGAGCCGTAGTTGACTGGTTCTCGCAACTGCGCTGTCTACCGATAAGCTGGCCACGAATAACATCGGTGTCTCGTGGTATCTGAACCTGCCTTGGTCGGCTTATTGTTGCCGTGTAAACTTTAGCACTGGCAATACAAAGGCATGGTCCCGGCCAGACCATCCTGTCATGTGGCTTGTCGGCCTCAGTAGATCTGCAATTGGCAGACCAGCGCGCCCCCATCTATTACGAACGGCAATTATGAAACATAAGTTGTTTAACACGTAGGCTTTGGCGACCAATATCATCCATAATAGAGTTTTTTTGTTTGTTTTAGTTCGCATAAATATATAAAAGTGTTGTTTAAACCCGCCAGCACCCGACACAGACAACTATTAAGGGATTGTCACGTAAACAGAATATGCCAGCCAATTCGTCACAAATCTGGCTGTCGCCTGATGAAGCTAGTTGTAATTACTGGCGAAACGTCGTACTCGGATTGTAAATGTTGTGGCTTGGCTCTCCAACACACAACGGGTGTGCTGTACTCGTGACGAATTGGCCACCTTCTGTTTACGCGACAACCCCTTACTAGTTGGCTGTGTCGGGTGGTGGCGGGTTTTAACGACACTTTTATATATTTACGCGATCTACCCCAAGAAAAAACCTTTATGGAACGTAAGTTGCGTTGCATTTTTGTGAATGTACTAAGAGACAGGAGACCCGCATGGGATAGTTTATTTTTGTTTACAGCCACTATTCAACATTTTAGCAATGCTATTGACAAAATATGTGATGTCTCCCTATGGTACTCTTTTTGCCAGTATCATAATGAAGAAATGAGAAGAATAGGCTTTCTATGTATGTTGAACTCCTTTCTGACAATGACACAGGTGTTAAGATGTTCAACCACCAAATGGGGGATGCCTATTACAGGGCATCAAGTCTGCATTAACCGCACACACTTACTGCCAGATAGAGTAAAGCCTATTCTTCTTTCATCATGCGACATGATGCATCCCGCATATCTGTGCTTGTATTATTAGATTGTTTAGCCGAACCGTGCAGGTTATATGTACAGATTAATAAAATTACGTGCTATCTTTTTATGCTAATGTGCGCAACATCTGACCGTTTGATTGCAGATTGAGAACAACTACTCCATCAGCGTGCCCATATTCAAACAATTTCACAAAAATATTATTGGGAAAGGTGGTGCCAACATTAAGAAGGTAAGATGCAATAAAATCTGGACGGCATCATGATTTGTTAAATCGACTCAAAATGAAATGTAATCAGTAAAAACATTAGTTAAGTAGACAATTCTGTAATATGAATAATTTAGCGACGTTAGTTTTGTAGAGGTGTTAACTACGCGCTGTTGCGTAACCTGCGTTGCCACCAGGGCGGTGCAGCATTACCCCTGGGTACAACGGTTGGGGTCAGTCGAGGTGAAACGGATCGTGGCCAGGGTTTGGTGCGAACCAATCAGACGGTTCCACGTGGGAATGTATGATTGGTTCTACCTGGCCATGAAGGGGTATAAGACGGGTGACCCAACGGACCTCGGGGAGTTCTCTCCCTGCACGAAGACAGAAGACTGGGCTGAAGCCTAGCTAGGACCCTGGACCAGCCTTCCAGCCCTTCTAAGGGCTAAGGCTCGGCATACCCAGTGGTCAGGACCCACCGGGCCAGCGGTGGGTCAGATAGCCTCCCCTAGGTCCTAGCCGGAGGACTAGGATAGCGGTAGACGTGTGAGTCCCGCCAAGTCCGGAGGTTGTACCTCCTTAAGTATCAAGGAGGTTAGCGGTAGACGTGCGAGTCCCGCCAGGTACGGAGGCTGTACCTCCCTAGGGTATCGGGTGAGGGGACCGAATATCCCTCTGTGTGTGTTAAGCGTTGCATAAGGAAATAATACAATGAACAGAGTGTGCCTCCTAAAGAAGTCTGCTCGTCCTTACAACACTACAGTTTTACAAAAAATACTTCAGCCAATTGATTGAACGTCAGCATTTTAAAATTAACGTTAATTGTTGGAACATATTACAATATGTTTACAGTATGCGTGTTTTGTTGATGTACGAAGAAAAATAGTAATTGTAATTAAGGGGTTAATGATTACATAATGCTAAGTTATTGGTAAGCTTGTGTTCCTAACTATTATGTATAATATATTGATTTCAAAGAACGTGGAAGTGATTTTCTTGGTTCTTTCAGTAAAGTCGTGTAGATAAAAAATAAAAATTACAAATAAAACTAAAAGCAAAAAAACCCCACGAGGTTTCGATCGCTACACAAGCGGTCTTCATCAGGTGAAGAAGACCGCTTGTGTTGCGATCGATACATCTGGGGTTTTTTGCTTTATTTTTTTTAATTCTCTATCTACGTGACTTGACTGAAAGAACCAAGAATATGAATTCCTGCAGTCGCGAAAGTTTTAAGTCAAAATTGAACGTGGAAATGCTATTAAAAAGGTGTGGTCTATTTTTCCACCAGGTGTCGTTTTGATGTAATCCTATTATCTTATGTCGATGGTGCTAGTTAATTGTGTGAAAGTCACTTTTGCTTTGTTGAAAATTCCTGAGAAAGGTGCAATGCAAGATCAGGTCATGAAGCTTGTTTTGGATGACTGCTTAAGCCCCTCAAAGTGTAATGGTGCTAGGTATCAAGTGACTACAAAGCAATGTGTGTTTGGCTGAATTAGTAATTAATAGGGGGTTAAACCTTTTTGATATAGATCATTCATTTAGCTGTTGCCTTGCCTGTCTATATCTTGCTTGCCAAACCAAACGCTCAAGTCAATGTTTTTTGCTGCGACCATTCCCTTGCAGATTCGCGAGGAAACCAACACCAAGATTGACCTGCCGACCGAAAACAGCAACTCTGAGATGATCGTCATCACTGGGAAGAAGGCTCACTGTGAGGCGGCTCGTGAAAAAGTCCTGGCCATTCAGAAGGAACTGGTAAGGAATTAAGGATGTGCCATTTGTTTGTCACGCAGTGTCATTCAAGCGGTTTACAAGTGTCGCTTATGTTGTCGGAGATGTTACGATAAGAGTAATTGTTTGCATAAGCTTTCAATGTCTCACGAAAACTCTTTGAAATCCTGCATTAGCTATGCTACAACCAAGACTTGTCCATTCATATGGCTGGTTTCTAGTGTTTTTGCAAGTGACTTTTCAAAAGGTGAGCCATTTTTTTAAAATGAAAGTCGTGCGCTTTTACGCGGTGACTTGGTCGCACGAACGGGCCTTGGGCTTGCAAATTTCCACGCGTGTTCTTTCTCTCTCTCTCTCTGCGCTCTCAGGCCAACATCAAGGAGGCTGACGTGACCATCCCGGCCAAGCTGCACAACTCTCTGATTGGAGCCAAGGGCCGCCTGGTTCGCGCCATCATGGAGGAGTGCGGCGGCGTGCACATCCACTTCCCGTCCGAGGGGTCCGGCAGCGACAAGGTCACGATCCGCGGGCCGCAGCCGGAGGTGGACCGCGCGTGCAAGCAGCTGATGCAGCTTGCTGAGGAGAAGGTACCGGCGCTAATGGCCTGCAGGCTTTTTAACTCCTCGCCTTCGTCATTCTTACCCTTGGTGCCTTCCCGTCCCCGTGCAGCACACCGGCCAACGCAGCTTCGCCACAACTTCTGGTGTTCAGCCAGCTTAAGCTACGTCGTCCCAGGATAATTCGATGACTGGGCCCGTACTGGACATCTGTGAGAAATAGCTTCCTAGCTCATTGGATTTCTGCCAGGATAAATAATGATTCTGAATCGTTGTTGGGCATCGTGCGTATCCAGTTCTTTCTTCGTAACCCTCTTTTCTGTTGTGTTTTCTCTGTTGCATTTCATTACCTGCCTTTATGATACAGATCCCCAAACCATCTCTTTCATCATCTTGCTCATCATCATTATTTAAAATGAGGCAATCAGGCAATCCTGTTCAGACCAAGGTTGTCTTTTGCTTTGAAGATGAGGAATCAAACTCAGGTCACAGAGTTCATTGCAGAATATGTTAACTCCTGTTCTACTCCTCCCCTCTGCCATTACATTAATTTGCATTCATTACAACTTCCTAATCCTTGGCACTATACTGTTTACCAAATTCCAGTGACTCAACCTCAACAGCTGCCACATCAGTGCCTGTAAATATCGTAAAGTTTGGCTGCTGCTTCTGTTAAAAATAGAAAATGCCGAGTGATCCAGTGTCCTCATAGGAGGAATTTGTGCTCTGTGCATGCTGTGTGCGTTGCAGCAAGTGAACAGCTTTACGATTGAGGTGCGTGCCAAGCCCGAGTACCACCGCTTCCTGATCGGACGTGGCGGCGCCAACATCCGTAAGGTCCGAGACAAGACCGGCGCTCGCATCGTGTTCCCGGCTTCCGACGACAAGGATCAGGAGCTCATCACCATCATCGGCAAGGAGGACGCGGTGAAGGATGCGGAGAAGGAGCTCACGGCTCTCATCAAAAATCTGGTGATGCTCCCTTGCCTGCTAGTAAATTAACAGCAGTAGAGTGCTCCTTGAAAAATGTAATGTGGATATTTAGTCTCTGAAATGAATTTGATTGGTGGCTTGCATGACTTGGGAAGCTGGTTTTTGCATGGGTTGGGACAATCTATCTAGCTAGCATTATGTTACAGCGTTGGGTTCGAATCTCAGGTTCCTACCTGTGGTAAAATCAGTTGCCTTACAGATAACATTCTGGTCTTGAATACCCAATAAATATATGCATGGTACGTATGTTGAACTTCTTTCGCACCGCACGTAGCCAACCATGCTATTTGGAGGTGCGGGAAATGAAGGCACCTCCCTAACAAGTATGAGCGGGAAAAATAGATAATGGCATACCCTCCCAGTATTCCTGAAGTTGTGTTTTTCTTAAATCGAAATGTCTCGCCGGTGCCAGGATGACGTGGTGGAGGACTCGATGACCGTGGACGTGAAGCACCACCGCCACTTTGTGGCCCGCCGCTGCCAAGTTCTGCGCGACCTTGCCGACGAGTACGGCGGTGTCACCGTGAGCCTGCCGCGTACCGGCGTCAAGAGCGACAAGGTGGTGCTCAAGGGAGCCAAGGAGTGCGTGGAGGGGGCCAAGAAACGTATCCTGGAAATCGTGGATGATCTGGTAAAAGCTCGCATTTTACTATTTGAATGTGTACGTGTACAGCGCATGGCCCAAAAGCTTGGTAATGGCCTGGGGTGCCACGGTGGCGAGATGTTAACTACCTCGCCCGGTATACAGGAGCTCGTGGGTTTTATCGCGACCCTGACGCCTGCTGTATATTTGGGAGTCTGCGTGTTCTCGTGGTCGCGTGGATTTTTCTTCGGGTTCTCTAGTTTTTCCCTCCACATTTAGAAACATGCGTCTAGAACATTTGGCCGCCATAAATGTCCACGTGATAAGCTGGTTCGTCCAGCTATCATTTGTGGCCAGATCGTTTCTGAAAGAGCTGTATAGCTCAGTGGGCCTTCCCTAGCAATAATGGAAAGAATAGAAAATAGAATGGAGGGAATTTTACTTGGCCTCACAATGTCACTTCATTCACAGCAGGGAATGGCTGTGGAAGAGACTTGTCACCAGACTTGATTCTTAAAAAACCCTTAAAGTTGCCTTCTACTTTATATGATAGCGGGGCACATTTTTGCACAATATAGCTTATTCGTGATGTTGCCTATTTGTTATCTGTGTTCTGTTTATTACGATATTTAGCTTGCATATTTCTTGAGTAACTGTACAACTGCCTATTCTACTGGCTTCCTATTAAAAAAAATAACCGCCACCTGTTCCTAATCAACCTGTTTTTCCACATATGCCACGTGTGCAGGAGTCTCAGGTGACCATCGAGTGTGTGATCGCTCAGAAATATCACCGCACGGTCATGGGAGCCAAGGGCTCCAAAGTGCAGCAGGTAACCAAGGACTACGACGTGCAGATCAAGTTCCCAGAGCGGGAGGACCTGCAGCAGCAACAGCAGCAACAACAGCAGCAACAACAGCAGCAGCAGCAGGGTATGTTGAGATTTTAACATAAGATTTCTGCTCTCCATTTAAATGATGAACGTCGAGTTCATATAACAACATCAAGTTTGAATTGATCGCATGGGTCTTGGGTCAGACCACTTACCTGCCACATTCTAGGCCGCCAGCGTATTTTCTACTGTAATCTAATGTAACGTTAGCATATGATGTGCTTAAGCGACAATCAATTTTGAACAGATTTGTTTGTGAAATGCCTACTATTGTCACTGTTACGAGTAATGTTACATGTGGCCTTGGCTTCACTGGATGAGGACGGGGGGGGGGGGGGGATGGGGGTTCCACTTTCACCGTGCATCCGACGTTTACGATTGACAGTGGCTCCGTTTTGTGTGCTGTGCTCGTTGTCGTGGGCACAGAAGTCGCAGAACAGCAGCCGCAGCCGCCGCATTCGGAGCAAGAAAACGGCGACGTTAACGGAGAAGCGGCCAACACCACCGACCCGGCGACTCTGAGACGCAGGGACGTGATCCTCATCACTGGCCGCCAAGAGAAGTGCGATGGCGCGCGTGATGCCCTGCTGGTGAGGCCTCGCGTGTCCACACACACACACACAGAATCCGTGTATGAATCGATAGTGAAGGAATCCGGTGAGCTATCGAGCTCTTTATTTGACAGATATCCAGTAAGGGGCAGGTAAATAACGTGACGAAGATCAACGATACAAAAACACGATAGTAGTGCAAAGTACAAGAAAGGTAATGGAATCGCCCAAATGTGTACAAATAAAACTAAACCATCATCCTACCAGGCAGAGCCAGTGCAGCACAATCACTGCCACCACAGAGCTTTGTGTATTTACCCAATGTTATTTAAATTGTCCTATTAGCGTCATGTCATGAAATGAGGTATGTCCCGGGGGTGCACAATTCTGGTCCTCAAGGGGCCCCCCCACAGCATCTTCTGATTGTTTTAACTGGGCTCTCTGATTTCATCTAACACTTAATAGAACCTGATAATTAGCTCAATCAGACCTTTTTTTTAGCTGCTCCGCACTTGGAGATTTGAAGCTGCCCATTAAGCGTTCAAGATTGTGGCCCGTTGCGTGCCGGAGTTTTGTGCACCGCTGATCAATTCATTCTGGAAGTTGCAAAGTAGTCCATATGTGATCGAGAATGTCCAGTTGAAGGTGATACCACAAGTTATTTTCCTATTTCTCTTCAAGTGACCCCTCGATTCACGCCATAAGGCTGCATTTTTCACACCTGCCTTGCTCCAGATAATTTATTTGTTATTTTCTATTCATGACGTGGAATTTTTGCACATTACATAATTTTGTAACAATTAATATTGTGGGTTTTTTTTGTACATTCATTGGAGATGGGGCTAAAAACCACCAACTCAATGCACTTGAGAAACATTTTACTCGCGTGCAGCTACCTCGCAACGATAGCTTTAATTATCAGCCTAGCAGGAGCCATGTGCAACAGAGAGGCATTGACTCTTGGGGTTTTGTTTGTGGTACACGTGGGAAGCTCGCTAATCACGGAGCCATTTGCTCTGTTGACGGTACAACTCACTCCCTGTGGCCATCTGGTTATTTCTTGTGGGAATTACCACAGCATGCATCATGCTTAAAAATCGGCATTAAAAATTTCACATCATTTGCAAGAATGTAATATTCTGCCAGCATTTTAGAAAAAAGAATAATAATATCTCTTAATTGACTGTATGATGAAAAATGGAAAACTGCCCGTTTCTGTAAATATCCTCCATAAATATAACTCGTATAACAAGTGCTGACCAACATCACTCTTTCGTCCAACTATATTTAGTGTTTGGTCTAATGATGGTAAATCGTTCCTAACATTGGAATAATGTGGATTTATCAGGCTTGCCAATGACGACAAGTGCCACCCCTGTGCTTATTCAAACAGGAAGACCTACTTTTTGCTTTCTTTATGAAAAAGCACAGTCATATTCTTAGTTTTTTCGGTAAAGTCACGTTGAAGAGAAACAACAAAATAACAAAATATATATAAAACAATAAAAAATTCTCACGACGTTTCGACCATAACTCAAACGGTCATCATCAGGTGTGTCGGTTTGCATAAATTTATTTTGAAAACGGCATATTTATTTATATATATAAAAATAACGTTTGTGTCACGCGCAACGATATAAATAAATATGCCGTTTTCAAAATCAATTTATGCAAACCGACACACCTGATGATGACCGTTTGAGTTATGGTCGAAACGTCGTGATAATTTTTTATTGTTTTATATATATTTTGTTATTTTGTTGTTTCTCTTCAACGTGACTTTACCGAAAAAACTAAGAATATGAATTACTGCAGTCACGAAAGCTTTAAATCAAAATTTAAGCACAGTCATGTTTTTGTTTGTAGAAATTTCCTTTTTTACATTCTGCCATATTTATGCCAGTGCATTGGTCATTTGTCTTTTTTTTTAGTAGTTTTCATTAACGATTTACACCAGTATTTGTCAGTGTAGGTCAAACGTTTAGTTGTCGTCTGTGTTGTGTCACGTGTGTGTGTGTGTGGTGTTAGCAGTGCAGTCATTAGCGCGCTGTGATATAAACCCGGTGACTGGAGTTCGATCCCCGGCCATGAGCACAATAACAGCAGTGAATATTTAACAGGTCCTGTGCATCGCCGAGGTGAGTCGCCGGTGCGGTCTGTAAACGGCAGCACTGGGAAGACAAAAGGTCGCCTGGCGCGGTGTTAACCACCTAGCCCCTCCATGTGCCGTGCTGGCACAGGTGCTTGCAAACAGGACTTGTCCCAGCGGTTTGTTAAAGGATGTACGTGCGGTATTTGTGTGTGTTGTGTGCAGGCTCTGGTACCCATTGTTGTGGAGGTGGAGGTTCCCTATGACTTCCATCGTTACATCATTGGGCAGAAGGGTACTGGAATTCGCAAAATGATGGAAGAGTACGAGGTGAACATTGCCAATTAATTAATTTTGTATGCTTTATTTATAACCAGTTTGAAAGCCCATTGAGTCTTTCTAATTGGCTAATTCTTTTTTTTCTTTCTACTTTATAAATAGGTCAGAGCCTTTTGAGACTAATCTATTCATTTAACTCGGTTATTCAAGTAATTTATTTATAAACTGGTGAAAGCCAATTAAAGGAGAATATAGATTAAACAAGGCAATAGAATAACCATATAATAAAAAGTAAACTATATATTCTTGGTTCTTTCGGTAAAGTCACATTGAAGGAAAACAATAAAATAATAAAATTTATATAAATCAATAAAATTCTCACGACGTTTCGACTGCAACACAAGCAGTCGTCATCAGGTGCGAAAACCAATGGCAAGAACATTTGAAAGAAGTGGCGGTGAGAATGTTATTGTTTTATATATTTATTATTTTATTGTTTCCCTTCAACGTGACTTTACGGAAAGAACCAAGAATATGAATCACTGCAGTCACGAAAGCTTTAAATCAAAAAGTAAACTATGTGCAGCATCTTCATTAATAAATTACGTAGGTACACAGTTGCAATGCTTTATGCTTGGCTGAATTGATGTATTTTGTACGTATACATTTTTTTCATGTTGTGCTTTAAACTGTATTTACATTGTTAACTGAATCTGAATGTTCTCTCCTGCCCCACCTACAGGTTAACATTGCTATTCCACCATCGGATATGCAATCGGATGTGATCAAGGTGACTGGGCTGTTGCCCAATGCTGAGCGTGCAAAAGCCGGGCTTCTGAGTCGGGCTAAGGAGCTTCTGGCAGAGCAGGAAGATCGGGTGAGCATTCTTGGATAAAGGATTGTTTGACCATATTTCACTCGCACTGCTCAATTCACTTCGCACTGCTCAATTAAATGGTGCAAACTGCTAAAACGAACGGTAATAATGGATATGTCGTGACTGGGTTTTTCCTCATCCTTGTAATTATTAACATCGAGTATGAATGACCTCGCCACTGGGCCAGTTTCAATAAGGGAATTCGCTGAGTTCATGTGACCTTGATTCTAAAAGGATAATTAGAAAAAAAGAATGTATCTTGCTATCATTAAAACAGTTTCCTGTGACGTACATTCTCAAGGGAATCTTTAAGCAACATTTGCTAGCATCATAACAGAAATCCAACGTTGTAAGAAACTCCACGCAAATTTTCCAAGCATTGCCTCCTTTTAATTTTTACCAAGTTGATGCAGCCGTCACCCTGGTTAAGAAATGGGACTTGATATTTCATTGCAGTGGTATTCGCAAGCATCAGAATCCCTCATTCTTGTTTTGGGTCTGCGTTGGTACAACCGTAATCCTTGTGTATGTCACGAAAGTCACCATCTCTTTGTGCACAAGTCTTGAGGCCCTCACTCTGGTTGAGCTTAACCCAAAGTGACTTCCCGCTCTCCTAGGCTCTGCGTGGTTTCAAGCTGACGGTGTCCGTGGACTCAAAGTACCACCCCAAGATCATTGGAAGAAAGGGGGCTGTCATCTCCCAGATCCGCAAAGACTACGATGTCAACATCCAGTTCCCGGAGAAAGACGGCGAAAACCAGGTGACGGGTGCATTGTCTTTGTGCTCTTGGCTTTTTGCCATTCTCTGGTCTAGCACTGTTTTAGACTAGGCTCAAAAGAAAGCTCTCTCTGGTGTGGATCAATCCGTTTGAAACAAAATGCATATATTAACAGAGTGTTTTGTGTTTGCATGTTCACCGCAAGTACATGTGGTTAATGCAAACAAGATTCCTTGAAAAAGGATTCTGTTTGGTGGTTTAACATCTTAACACCTGTTTTATTGCCAGAAAGGGTAAAACCTATTGTTCATATTGTTATAACAGGTGATGCGTGTTCCACGAAAACGATTGGCCCAAATTGCCAGTTCCGATTAAACGGCTCTTTTTCGCATAGTATATACGTTGATGATAGTTTATGTAAAATGTATGTATATGCTCTTACAGCAGGGGTATGTGGCAGGGCAATTAAAAAGAATGTGCTTTTTATTTATCTGGAAAAGTTTTATCTTTATTTATTGATCAACCTTTTAAAAAAATATTAGTTTTTTTCTTCTAGTGATATTAAACAAAATAGTGCATGTTTTATTCGCTTGTTAATACATTTGTAAAGCTCTCTGAAATTGCAGCTTATGTATCTTACATCAAATCATAGATACAAGCAAACCATATAATGTTCTAGTTGTCCCTTGCAAAACATATGGGTAATTTTTCTGGTGTCACTTATGAAATGATGTGGTCCCATTTGGCAGGATGATCTGCAGGAGATTGAATAACCACGTCAGTTCTCAGTATAATTTATCTTTATTACGAGAACGTGCCAGTGGTGGAAGGAGTGGCCGTACCTCCGTGCTAATCGGAGGTGTGGGGGAAGGACAGCAAACTAAACAAACTAAACAAAAAAAGCGGTTATGATGAAATTAGATTTTAAAGTGCGCAGCTCCAGTGGGTTCCTAATATTGGAAGGAAGAACGTTCCAGACGGCCACAGTAGCGCATCTGAAAGCGCGCGCGATTCGGTGACCGTTTGCACCGATTTTGCCACAGGATGCCATCACCATCACTGGCTATGAGCGCAATGCGGAGTCTGCGCGTGAAGCCATCCTGAAGATTGTGGGCGAGTTTGAGGAGATGGTCAACAGGGACGTTACGCTGGACCGCCGCGTACACTCGCGCCTCATCGGAGCACGCGGCAAGGCGATCCGCAAGATCATGGACGAGTACAAGGTGCCCTCGCGAGCAATGACTTCCTGGGGCGCCACTGTGGCGAGATGTGTTAACTATTTTGCCTGCTATACAGGAGGTTGTGGATTCGATCCCAACTCTGATGCCTGTATTTGTTTGCATGTTCTTCCTGTGATTGCATGGATTTTTCATCCGGGTCCTCCGGTGTTTCCCTCCACATTTAGAAACATGCGTTTAGAGCCACTTCGTTGAGTCAATTTTTGGCCAGGTAGCTTCTGAAAAAGGGTTACATCGACCAGTTGGTCTTACCTGGTAAAATAACAATACTTTAGATAGAGTTCAATAGTTTTTTACTCGTTTCTACTTTCTTTGCACACTCATTGAGCTCGACTATCCTATAATTTAAGGAATCGATTTGCTTTCCTGACTATCGGTTTGATTACTCGAATAATTGGATAAGACCCATGGGGGTGGGGGGTGGTGGGATAAAAGTCTCACCTCTGTCCCCAAGTGCGCCGCTGTACGGGAGACGCTGGGTGGGACTTGGTGACGTTATTCGTACCACAGGCAACATCGCTCTCACCTTTGGCTTGTTAGGGTTGTTTCCCGCACTCAATATTCAACTCCAAAAGAAATTCGTCAAGGTAACGATTGTGCTTCAGCGGGACAACCACCATAGGGAGCGAGTGGTGATGATGATTCGGAATCGGAATCTTTATTTAACCTGGAGGAATCGGATGACCAATGAAGCTCTTTTTCACAGATGTCCAGTATGGGGCAGGTCTGCGAGTTACAATTCCTTATGCTGTGGTTGGATGTTTTGCAGCATTGCAATTACTGTGAAGGATTTCGAGGCCATCATCCAACAGTGGATAGAAAAGGCTGATGATGATGTAATGCGGTTACTGCATCATTAAAATGCACGACCAATGCATTTGTTGCGCTGTTGTTTCCCGTGATGACCAAACCTGAACGCTGCCCTTGGCCTGCGCAGGTGGAGATTCACTTCCCGCAACCAACTTCCGATGACCCAGACCTCGTGACTGTGACCGGTCTGCCTGAGAACGTCGACAACGCCGTGGACTACCTACTCAACCTCGAGGAGGAGTATGTAAGTCCCCGCATGAAGGTCCACGCGTCGCAAACGTCTCTTGGAGCAGGAAGAACCGTCGTATATTTGTTGTCAACGTTTAACGTGAACGGTTTGATTGCGTTGTTCCCCCCTCCCCGTGTCCGACAGTGCTGATTGATTATATTGTATTTCTAACATTTATATCCGAGCTGGAATGTGGCTGAACCGTGCGGATGTCCTATTGTTGTATCTCATCAGGACGCTTGGGTGAATGGTCTCCACCATAGGGATGCGGAGGTTTTACGCAACTTTAGTTTAGCAGTGCCAACAGATGATGAGCATCGGGAATGGTGGTTAATATTCGAAGTTGAAGCATTTGTAGAGCAGTGTTTAATTGGCTTTACTGAATTTGGGATGGAGTGATGATGGTTGTTAAATTACATTGACGAGTGTTACTTCCAAAGCACAGTGACTGAATATTAAACTTAGAAGTGTGCTGGCTCAGAAAATACTTTACGAAAAGCATTCTTCTCCTAGAGTTGGTGCCAACAAGTTAGATAAAAACAGACCATTTCTAGCAACAAAGTTATATTTGTCAACACAATTGTTGAAAAAAATTTTGACATAAATATTTCTGAGACTCATATTTAGTTTAGCTATAAAAAAACCTGACCCCTTTCATGTAGATATTTAATAAAAATTATGCATACATTAGATTCTATTGTATTCAATAAATGCATGTATAGTCTGAATTTTTTACAACGGGTTAACTAGATTAAATGTCACCAGCATGAAAGGGAAGTGTACATGGGTACTCATCCAGGAGAAGTCTAAACCACTGAGGATTGGTGGCTATAATGTACAGAGTACTGATGTATCCTAATAATAATGAAACCGGTCTATTTGTCTAACACTGCATCACTGCTGCCTGTCACTCAATCACATTTGCTAAAATGTATTCCTATGGTGACATAAGACACGAGGACCACAATGCACTTCATAAAATGGTGTTATTTTTGCATGAGGCTCAGAAGCAGAGTGCTTTTTTTACATGTTTTTGTGTGTTTGAAACCATTATTGATAAATTCGTTGGCTCTCCATCCATCGTGCTTTCAGGATAGATAAAATTAGGACCAGTTTTGTAAGATGTCTTTTGAGCCAGAATGTTTAACCTCACCACCCTGGAGCTAAGAAGTTATCACAGTCCCGTAGGCTTGGGATTCGGGAAGTTTTGGACGAGTGCTGACTTAGAATATTCGCCGCTTGTCGTTCTCAGCTGATGGATGTCGTGGAGAGTGAAGAGGCGCAGTCTTACGTGAAGCCGTCTCGCCACGTCGAGGCTCCCAAGGCTCCTGCCAAGGGCTTCGTGGTGCGAGATGCCCCATGGGACCAGTCGGCTTCCCAGGTCAGTGTTTTTCACACATGGCCCCATTCTGCTGCTTGTGTTTTATTTTTAGAACCACTTACTGATAAACCTAATGACATTGATCCTTCGTGGAGAAGTGACCACTGAAAACTGTTTCCGTCATTTGCTGACTTGTGCACATGGTGTGGTGTGTGGCTCTAGGCTCCTGACATGACCAGTTCCGAAGAGTTCCCAAGCTTTGGTGCCGCCATCGCTCCCAAGTCTACTGTGTGGGGACCAAAAAAATTCTAAACATTGAGATTGCTTGTGGCAACCCTCCGAGTCAGCCATTGTAGTGTTTCCCTGCCCCCCCCACCCCCATCCTCTACCATTTGCTTGGGGACTAGCTTTTTCCTTTCAAGACCCCTCTTACGATTGCTTATATCTTGAACAATTGATTGGTTGGCAGACACACGAAAAATCTCTCTTTACCCCCGTTTGACCAGTTTCTTGATCGCCTTGCCCCAGTTGGCATATCTATTCAATTGGCCGAAAGTTGGTTCTGTTTTATTTTCAAGAACGAGAGCAAGGCCATTCACTGCCACAGTGTGTGGTGTACCTTGTGAGCGTAGCATGTTTTGAGCCTATGATCTTCCATCTTCCCACTGCCCCCATTGCCCCCCCCGAGTGTTTACTCCCAGTGCGTAATTTTACCCTCACTACTGCGATTAAAACAGAACGGCTACAGCAGACGCGTCTTATGACGGAAAACGAAGTGAAATAGGATAAATCATGCGGAGTGAGTGGGCACAACACTAAAGTTAAAGTTGCAATCATGTCAATGTCCTTTCATTGAAATGTATTTTGGGATTATGTGAATGTTTTGTCCTTTTACTTATAAAAAAAAACATGTAATGTAAGGAAAGGAACATCAATTCCAGTAGCCTTAAACCTGAAGTGAGACGTTGTTGGAAATATGCACAATAATAAAAAAAGCTAAAAAATTTAAAAAGTATTTCTGTATGAAAAAATACTTCAAAATACTATTAAAAGTACAATTAGAGAAGCGCTTGTGTCTTGTCATCAGTGCCCTGCCACTATACATGAACACACACACACTTTAAGATGCTTAAAATATATTTGATATTCCTGCAGCTTGGTGGTGTTATAACCAATTGCCACGAATTTGTGCATGGGGTGTGTGGTAAGCTCAAGATACCAGGACTTGAGTATTGCTGTATGTTTTTTTATTTTTTTCTGGAATTGCATGTTTTCTGACCATCAAAATAGAAAACGGCTGTTTCCACCATAATACGTGTGCCTACTCTCATTGGATGAGGACTCATGCTGTCCATGATGACAGTTCAGATTGTAACTTGAGCAGGTTACCAGCGGACAACTTAACCCTACTTGGCAGTTCAGAGTTGGGGCCCAATTCCAAGTGGCATCAAAAAGCCCACCATTTGGCTGCTTTTTGGTGAAACGTGTCAGCTTCCATAAAGCAAACTCAACTCCTCTTAGCCCGCACAGACATGGGGTACATCTTCACATTTTCTTGCTCAGTGCGAAGGAGGGAAGAAAATATTACTTGCTATGCTGAATTTGCAACCACTTCTAGGTCCATTTCATCTCATAAGAATAGTTTTTACCCTTTCTGGCAATCAGGTGTTAAGATGTTAAAACACCAAACAATCCATTGTTCAAGGAATCTTGTCTGCATTAACCACACGTACTTTTGAACATGCAAAAAAAAACATGGTCTGATAATATATGCATTAAATCTTGACTTGAAGCTTTCGTGACTGCAGGAATTCATATTTTTGGGGTCTTTCGGTCAAGCCACGTAGATAGAAAAAATAATCAAAATAATAATATCACGACGTTTCGATCGCAACACAAGCAATCGTCTTCAGGTAAAAAAATGGGGGAAATCGGCCGAGATAGGCCGTTTATAAAGTTGAGAGATGGGCGGCGCAGCTAATGTTAATGTAGGAGAGGTCTGTAATCTGCAGTATACAATCAAAGAGCTGTTTACAAATGGTTTAGAGATGGGCGGGGCAGCTAATGCCAATGTGGGAGTGGTACTACGGAGCTGTGGGGGGTGGCCATTGTGTTGTGAGAGATTAGCATGTCAATGTAAGAAATTTGCTTGTAAAAGTAAGCTCGGCGAGAGCTCAGTGCAGTGGCCATACGGAGGTGGAAAAGAATGGCAAGCCGCCATTTACTAACACGGCTAACGGTGGCTGTGTTAGTGAATGTAACTCGGGAGAGTTGAAAATAACTGCTAACATAGGATAGGAACATCACAGCCAGTTATGACCTAAACTGGTTAATAACGTCCTTCCAATGATTGCTCAGTTTGTACCCATCTCCTCGGTTGAAATTGTGTCTGTTTATATATCTGGATGGCTTCATGAACGAATCTTTGCTAACGTTGAAAAGAAAAAAGAAACAGCCACTTTTTTCGACAGAATTGTAATGTATAACGACTTATTGTTAGTAGCTCAGCTGATTGGAGAGTATATTGAGTTTATTGATAACATTGATGTAGTTTATATTTTAGTTTTTTTTTATCAGTTTACTATATGGTATTCATTATATAGTGTAGTGTATACCCAGTTACTTTATGTTAATAGCTCAACTTATTGAAGAATATATTGAGTACATTTATTATATTGATGTAGTTTATACTTAGTTCTTTCACATCGGCTTATTGTATGATAGTTGGGTGGTTGCAGTTCTTAAGCGTCAACATACTAAATGCCTCTGTTGATATGTAAACTCTGACTTTAACATAGCTACTTCCGTGACCAGTTACATGCTAATTCATCACTAACATCATGCTAATCTCCCAGTTATATGCTAATTTCTGACTTTAACACCCTGCTAATCCAACACATTAACACAGCTACTTCAATGCTAAATTCTTCTGTTGATATGTAAACTCCTTTGTCAAGGCGATCTGCTCCTCCCACCCAGCTTAAAAGACGCTGCCAAGCTCAGCAGTGTTCATTGAAGTGCTGTCGTCCTGACAGTTCTGTTCCTTCAACTGAAGAAGGCTACTTGTGTTGTGGCCGAAACGTCGTGAGAATTTAATTTTATGTTTTTATTATTTTGTCTCCGTTCTACGTGACTTTACCGAAAGAACCAAGAAGATGAATCCCTGCAGTCACGAAAGCTTTAAATCGAAATTTATCCTGTTTTATTGCTAGAGGTCCCATGTTGTAGCTGCTCATTTCATTTGCGGGCAAGCATGGCCTATAAAAATTGCCGTGTGGTGTGATAATTGTGGAAACCACTGGAGCTGTATGCACTTCTACATTGTGATTGAAAACCTCATTTCTTTAGAACTTAATTTTTGTGTTTAGTTTGTGTCCCCCCCCCCCTACTCGCCTCCAATTAGCATGGCTGGCTACGTACGGTGCGAAAGAAGTTCAACGTGCACAAGGTTAAGCCCTAAAGACTGCAATGCTGGTGTCTAGATAAACTTATCAATGGAACATGGTTCATAACATGGCCACGTGCACACTCCACATGCTTGGAAAATACAATTCGTCATTAGATCAGAAGTCGCCCAGCAAATACTAAGGCTGGAGCCGAAACAAGATAATTCAAATATTTGCTTCAACAAGCGATTTATGAAGTAGGCCGAATGCATGAATAACTAAATCAAAGGCTGAGGGTCATATGACATTGTAATAGTCTTAAAAGTAGTTCAAAGCAAAGGCACAAAAATAAGGTATCCATTTTTTTCAAATCTAGGTTGAAGGAATCCAGGCAATGGATGGTGGAGAAGCCCAAATGATGAAATTAACTGAAATTGAATTGATACTAACAGATATATCCCAGGGTGGTCTTACAGGTATCGTTGAACGACAAAAAAACAACACTAATATGCGCGGACACTTTAAACATCGTAACATTGCATTTATTTCATGCACACAAGGCAATTATCAAAGCGTTGTAAAATTGTGGCCTTACATGTCAAACATGCGTATGTTAGTTACAATGCCGCCGTATGCAAACCGCCCTTTTTGATCATTTGCATCGCGTTGGAAGCTGAAAAGTGCTCTTTTTGTTGCCGACCATCGCGGATTTATGTCAGAAGCTTAAAGATAAAAAACCAGTGATCTACTATCATAATTTGGCCAATTTACATTGCATCAATGTAATCAATGTGTTGCATGCTTATAGGAAACGGCCGTTCTTTAAAATGTACATATCGCGGATATTACGTAGCAATTTACAGTCGCGTTTTATTCAACAGAGTAAACGTTTCGCTGTGCACATTCCGTATAAACGGCGCTAATCCGAACGTGCTCAAAATGAGTAATGTGTGTGGCCAACGTTTAGTCCGTCTCTCGCGAAAGGTCCTGATTGTTGCCCATCTCCATACCTAATATTACAAAACATAAAAAAAAACACACGATTTCATCATTTAAGTTCTCCGACGACGTCCGTTATTTAAGGTTCATCGTCGTGACTCCGGTTAGTGCATGTCTATTTTGTTGCAGCATTCGTTTTGCGCACGTGCAATTTAGAATGATCACCAGCATGCTGCTTGCATAGATATCCCAGCATACTTCCATGTTCTAATTTGTATATACAAGTATACTGCGCGATTGACGTGCCTTCTGCGTCTGTTCTCGCGAGGCAAACACTCGTTGCTTTGCACATTTCCCCGTTATTTCGCTGCGTAGATTATGGATGAGCGGTTCTTCTACGTCTTGAGAAGGTGATGCATGCATGGAAAGGCATGGGGGCGGCTAGGTTTGGTTGCCGAACCTATCTGATTGGTGTGCTTGCCACTAAATCAAGTTGCCCACAAATGTGATTCCGTTTCAACTTGGCAACATCGGGAGGCCGAAGAGGAGGAGTTGGCTCTTTCGACGTGAAATTGACATTGATGTTCCCTTTTAACTTTGTCTGAACGCGTAGACCGTCGTTTGCCCAGAGTAATAACCACAAACTCAACATGGTAAATGACCTGCAGTTAAGTTGCGTAAAAAAGTAATATTTTAAAATACACATGGATGTTAAGGTCTCCGTTACAAAATAGAGTGAATCTCAATGACCGTGCAACCTGGTTAACATTACATCGAGTTTAATTCGCAAAAGACACCAGGGAAACCTGATGTTGCATAGTCCTGCATTTTGCCAACTCTTGTAAGCCACCACCACCACCACAAAAAAAATCATACTTGTTAAAGTTAGGAGGAAAAGTGAAATGTCTTTAAAGATCCTTAAGTGAATTTCATTGTTTTCATTATTAGTTTTGTTCCAGCAGGAATTAGTTTACAAATGTGGGCTTTCTTACTGACATGTTATGCATCATTGCAATTGCTATAAACTATAGGCTAAATAAAAAATAAACTTGATTTGAGCAGGTAAGGCCCACTGAACTATATAGCTCTTTTTCAAAAGTGACAGCCACGTGATAGTCGAGGTGCCTTATGTGGAAATGTATAACAGCCACATACTCTAAACGCGTGATGTTGATTTTAAATGTGGGGGAAAAACTGGAGGACACGGAGAAAAAAATCCACATGACCACGGGGAAAACCAACATGAAAACTCCAAATATACAGCAGGCATCATGTATACCCGGCGAGGCAGTTAACATCTCGCCACCGTGGCCGACCACTTTTTATTTTATTGGTTTCTACAGACTAGATCGTAAAGAAAATGTTCAATGCATGTATTGTAAGCTTAAGAATCTATCAACTGACAAATCGATACATAGTTCCACTCCTAATTAATCACGACCCCCCCCCTCTTCTCAAATACCCTATATGGGCCCAGTTTGTTTGGATAAGGCGTTTCGACTTGTGATTCTGCAGCGTGGTCCGTGTATTTCCTTCTTGAGTGTCCTTCCCTCCGTGGCTGTTGGTAAAACATCAAAAGGCCTTCATGGGGAAAAAATAGTATTGATGTTCAGTGAAGCCCTTTGTAAACACTAATTATATTATTCAACACAATTAACTATTGATGGAAAGTGCAGCCAAACCTTAATTAATTCTATTACATATAATTGTTTTCTCACGTTACCCGTTGTTTATAGTACATTTCTACAGGTTTTATTATCTTAACATTTAAAATGCACACAATTTCATATTAATGTATTGCACCATCGTAAACTGCGTTAATGCGATTCGGAGTACGGGGTATTAACACTGCTTGCCTCGCAACAGACAAAAAAAACACTTTCAGAATATACCACGCAGGCTCTGGTAGCTCTTATACACCTGGTGTGCTCTCTGTACAGGTTTCCTTCGTTGAATGCGGGAGATGCGTTTAAAACATAGATGGGGCGCACAAAGCGAAATCGCATAGCATGGACCACAGTCACCCAACCCACAATGCACCGCACGAGACAGCTGCCTGCCGAGTACACACACACACAATGTTGTCCCACCACATCGCTGCATAACGAGTGAATTCAAACCGCACGTAGTGAGTTTTGGGTAGAAGTTGGTTGGCCGCGTTTACTCGAAATCGCACGAACTGAACCCAGATAAAGCAAAGGAAACCTTATACTCTTTGGTTCTTCCGAAAGAACCAAAGAGTATACCTACGTGACTTTACCGAAAGAACCAGAGTATGGATTCCTGCAGTCACGAAAGCTTCAAATCAAAAAGGAAAACCTGTATGTGACCTCATCTTAACCTCGGATGCTTTTTCCGAGTCCGTTTTTTGTTGTTGTAATTTCCCCCCAAATGTTTATACCGAGTGTGCTATGAGCCTCATGTCCCGAGACGAAGTATATTTTCATATCCCTCGCAGAGCAGTGCAACTCTTCGTGTGGGATTACGGCCCGTGGAAGTGGGTCCCACAGAGTTACCTCCGAGATCCTTTCGAGTGACCTTCGGTCCACACAGTAGGGGCAGCACTTTCCACCTGCTCGGCAAGCGAGGAATGATGTTCGTTGCGTGACAGTAAAAAAACTATATTTTAATTCCGAGAGCTGGAATTTGGCCAAATTGAAGTGCAAAGCCAAATTGAATGTCGTGATGTGTTCTTTTTGTGTGCAGTCATTTGGTGGCCGGGTTGAGAACATCAACTCGCCACACTTGAGGACCCAGTTTAATCACAGGCAGCTGCCTGGAATCGAACCCAGACTAAGTTGGCAGTTTTGCACTCTGACCTCTGAGTGACCTCTTTTTTAGTAATAGTAATAGCCTTCACCACACACAGACTTCCACTCTTTTACTTTCACAATGGCTTTCCATGCACTCGCTATATTTTTAAAATATAGCATTAAAAAATATCCATAGCAATTTATCCTGAAATGACCATGTGGATAATCCACAAAGTGAGTCGCTCCTGTACACATCTCTCATATGATAATTGAAGTACATTCCTGCTACAAGCCTTTTAGTGACATTGTAATGTTTAGCGTGTAAGATTAGGCCAGGTACTCTCTATAAGGGCTCTCTCAAGCTCCTTTGAGTGGGAGGCCCTTGTGTCAGAAGCGGTGCGATCAACCCATTTCAGGGCTGCGCCTTAATCTTCACCTAATGTACAACAGTGCAATTGACTTGTACACGTGGGGAAATGCCAAGCATTACATTCCATCACTTCCTCGTTTGCCATAGCAGGAAGGTACAAATGAGAAATTCCTATCCCAATTTGACGCCTAAACTTCGTCGCTCCACGTGCTGGGAGCTTCTTCAGGCACTGGACACTTCGGAATGGCTACTGAAGAAGCGCCCCGGACATGCCGAATGACGCGCAGGTGCGACCTGATGCGGAGCACAACCGTGAAAAACTACGCAGCGGTAAGAGACAGTTGTGATCGTGTTTAAAATCGACCCATAGCGCTTAAACATTCACGAACCCACCTGCGCAAACGTAACGCGCGCACCCTTTGCATCTTGACATTAAGGACGGGTGCGTTCAACATTTGAGCGCAACGCGAGAAGACGACCACTCGAAGCAACGGCTGCGTCCGGCGAAATGTTAAATCGGCGGAGTGCGTATCGAGCGCGACCGAAAAACATCGGCAAAAAACGTGGCCATCCTCGCGCTGCATTTGCGACCCTATCCACCATCGAAGGAACCTAATTCGAGATTGAAAAAAAAATGTTTTCAACGGTTTTACTTAACTTGACTCCTATGTTTGTCGTGGTCAAATCTTGTCACCAAAATTTCGTCCACTTCCCGTTGTCAATTCCACATTTTGCGCACGTACTCAGATGCGGTGACAATGCATGCCTGTAGTAAAATCAGCATCAATTCATCAATTAATTGCCTCCTTTCAAGCAATTACAATTTTTGTATGGACGCCTTATTAATTATATATGTGTAGGTCAAAAACGCCGTGGTCCCTAAACTGTGGATTCGGCTCGCACAAAACGCACGCGTCATTCACGTACTTCTCGGCCGTGAGTTAAACGAAGTTTTTTCGGTAAAGTCACGTTGACTTTACCGAAAAAACTAAGAATATGAATTACTGCAGTCACGAAAGCTTTAAATCAAAATTTAAACGAAGTTGTTAATAAAACCGTTGTTAAAAAAAACCTTTTTTTAACAACCTTTTTTTAACGAGTTTATTCAGAACTGCTTTTCTGTGTTCAGTTTGTCCTTCCCTACACACCTCCGATTAGCCGTGGTTGACTTCGTAAGTCGCGAAGGAAGTTCGACATACATTTACTCTACACAGCGTGCGCGTAGTGCCCGGGATACCGGGGCCGTTGCTCGTCGTCGTTTTCATATCTGGGTTCGGTCATTCGCTTTGCGGCAGCGTGGGGGAGAAGGAGAGGGGAGGGGGGGTGGACAACGTTCTCCAAAGTCAGGAACGCTGCGCCGGTCCCGGGGATCTCCGCTTGGCTTGGGAGCCGTGCGGTGGAGCCGGGGATGCTTCACGGCAGCGAGAGGGGCGGGGAGATGGACGTTCGCTCCACATGTGTATGCAATTTGCCAGAGAGCAGAGGGAGGGAGCTGTGCAACCGCTTTGATTAGCTTCGTTCCACTCGCTCATGCAGCTGGGTGGAGAAGGCCGTGCTACAAGAGAGAGAGAAGAGCGAGGCAAGAAAATATATAATAACGTTAATTGCCTAACGACGACACAAACACAGCACAATGTTTTCGTGTTACTAGGCACCTGGACACGGGCGGGATTAACAATTCTCCCGTCCACCAACTTGACCGAAAGTCACCCCCCTTTGTCCTGGATTCCCCAGGATCATCATCTTTCGTAGCTATCCTGGGATATCTCCCAAGTTCTCCCGGCACATTGCCAGTCGCGCAATAATAGACCGGCTCGAGACGATGCATTGACATGAAGTTGACCCCCTCTTAAGAGATACTCTTCATCCCACGAATATGTCCCGGTTGTTTTGTAGCTCACGGGTGGCACGATTCAGGTTTGATTCAACTCAAGAATTAATTCCCCCTCACGTGTCAGCAAGTGGTCTCGCTTCCCCGTGAACCCGTCACGTATACATCTACGAGTATATATAAAAAAAAACCAGTGCCATGGGAAGCTTGTATCTAGAGCTGAGATAACTCGCATAATTCCATACAGCTTGCGTTGCTCCCAACCCGCCCTGTACTCGATAGCAGTCATCATTAACCTGTACATTTGGAGTTTGCATGTTCTCCCCTTGGTCACGTGGATTTCTTTGCTACTTAAATCTATTAAACTATTTAAAAATAGTTCAACATCTGTGGTGTCTCCTCGGCCCTGCCCCGGGGCCCCACTCCTTGGCTCTCAGCCTCCCCCCCCAAACTCAAAATGTAATAAATCCGCTCCTTACAGGCAGCTGTAGGAAATTACAGACACGAAGACTATCATTGCATTGCCCGAAACCACGGTGGAAATGCCACTGGCGTGTCGGGTTTCCAGCACTCCCCTGTAAGTTATTCAGTGCGGTGGTTGGGGTGGGTGGGGGGGAGGGGCAACTCGGAGGTCAGAGCACGGAGCCGGCACTGCTGAAACCCTGGGTTTGAATTCAACTGGGGAGAGCAAGACACAAAGCACTGAGATCCATTCCGGTGGCCCTGTCAACGGGGCTCCGGCGATGCACCACAAAGCTACGGCCAACAATTAGCCGAATTTTAACCCTGTAATGGCCCGAGAATTTTTTTTTTTTAAATGAGGGAAACCAACTTCATTTATGCGACTTAATCTAGTTTAAATTTACAGAGCGCCTTCACTCGAGACGCTTGGACGTAGATTAGAAAACGATGACGCAAATGGAACGACGTAAGTGGCAGTGGCGGACAAGGGTTGAGGAATGAGTGACACCGATAGAGGGGTAAACGTGTAAATTTCGATTTAAAGCTTTCGTGACTGCAAGGATTCATCTTCTTTGGTTCTTTCGGTAAAGTCACGTAGAATGAGAATAAAATAACATGATAAAATTCTCACGACGTTTCGGCCACAGCACAAGTGGCCTTCTTCAGGTGAAAGGAACAGACCTGTCGGGACGACAGAGCTTCAATGAACGATGTTAAGATTCGTAGCGACTTTTAAGCTGGTTGGGAGAAGTGAGGCACCTTGACAAGGGGGTTTACATATCAAATAGCTGAGGGATTAGCTTGTCCCTCAGCTATTTGAGGGACGACAGGCCTGGTCCTTTCACCTGAAGACAGCCGCTTGCGTTGTGGCCGAAACGTCGTGAGAATTTTATTGTGTTATTTTATTCTCATTCTACGTGACTTTACCGAAAGAACCAAAGAAGGGGTAATGTGTACTTAGGGATCACGAGAGGCTAGGGGAGGGACAGGAAGGAGTGGAGGGGACGGGAAGGAGTGGAGGGGGCGAGGGGAGATTTTTGACGTTTCTTGTACAAAGCACTGCTTTTCTGCTGCCCTGCCGCAGTGTAGCACGTGTGGGCCACTTTGAATTCGGAGGCTGCGTTTTTTGAAATATTAATATGGAGAGGTGGCTCAACATTTCACTGTTATCATATTTGCTCCAGGTTGATACGATACTTATCGCCATCTAGCGGTAGACGCTGTTACATTTTGAATTCATGAAATATCAGTTAGGGATTTTTATTGACCGTCAGCCGTAACGAGAGGTTGTTGGCTGCTCGTGTTAGGGTTTGTTCTGATCTGTCCTGAGATCAACCAACATTCTTTAGCGACACACGGGTGGATCGCGACCCACGTATTGGCCACTGCTGGAACACTGACGACTAAAACCGGGTCCTTCAGTAAAGGCAGTCCTTGATTTACGAACAACTCGACTTACGAACGGGTCAGGAATGGAACTCGTTCGTAAGTCGAGGACTGTCTGTACAGGAATGGATAGTCTCAGCCCAGTCACCAGTGTGGGTGGGGGAAATGCTGCCCCCTGTGGACCAGAGGTGACTTGGAAGCATCTCAGAAGTAGTTGTTTAACATCCACCTCCGCTGGCCGTTCTCTAAAACCAGGGGGTGTGTTTCTGAATTTCCTGCGAGAGATCCGAGTGGTTATTTTGTATAATGACAGAATGCCGATACCACAATCTGGGTAAAATAAATACAAATATTATAAGCACGATTCATGAATGCAGAGCATTTCCCAGAAGGCTAATGATTGCTGCCCTGCTTCTTGGTGCATTAGGCATTCAGGCACGCGGAGAATGATCTATAACACCATCGCGATGTTCACTTGTAAAACTAAAAGTTTAGATTTCTTTTGTGCCGGATGCCATAACATGTTTTGTTTTTATCTCGCCGTTTTCCTCTCACTTGACCTTGACAAAAACGAATTAAAACATCACGCACCGTCCGGCCGTTTCATTGGTCGTCATCTGGGTCGTGATCCATTAAGTAATTCGAGATGACTGAGCTAGTGTGGTTTGAATCATCAACTCCCCTGGAAAAAAAAAATCACAATGATGTTATTCATTTAATCAGTTGATTTATCTGTTCAGTCTCACGCTCTCAACGCCACTCCTCCTTTAGTACGACCGCATTCGCGTACAGAAATCAATCCTCCTTGTTGCTCCATTGCCACAGGGAAACAAGCGTAATGTGATGTGTGTGTGTGGCAGATTCATTAACGAAGTATACCACCAGAAGTTTCTCCTGATTGTCGGCCAGGGCCTGCTTGGCAAGGTAACGCTCCCTCTTCATCTTGATCTCCAGCGACTCGGGAACATCGGGCACCAGCCAGTCGATCATGCGGGAGATGAAGAACACTACATGCTTGACAAAGACAAAGATCCCCCCGGGGTGCCTTAACAGACTGTAGGGGCAAGTGCTGTTCGCGAGCACCGATGAAGGCCGGCACGGCACACGATCGGGTGGGTGGCCAGCGCCACGCCCGACCGTCTTTATTTCCCCAGTGACGATGTTCATGCATCACACCAGGTGGTCATGATGATTGTGACTCAATTTTATTTTTTGTTCGTTACGAATATTTTACTTCCGGGCAAAATATTTTTTGAAATCCCAAATTCAATCAGTTGGGCGTAGAGAGCTATTGTCAATTAAATCAGCGCTTTGCAAACAATGTCTCCTGGAGTGATTAATGGCATGGCTATTATACGTCATACTCGTTAACTGCAATGCATTTGTTTTTTCATTGTTTTATTTATTGACCAGTTCAATAGCTACGTCAGTTGTTGGTGCCACTCATGCTCGTATCACGTTGGGTACTTTGACGATAGTTCACAGTGAAATTCTGCATCCACTTTGATGTGGGGGGGAGCAGTGCCGGATTATTATTATTCTAGTAGCACAAGTAGCTACATATGTAGCTACTTGTGCTAGCTACTTGTAGCTACATATGTAGCTACTTGTGCTAGCTACTTGTGGCTACATATGTAGTACAAGTAGCTACACATGTAGCTACTTGTAGCTACATATGTAGCTACTTGTGCTATGGGCCCCGCACTTTCAAGGGCCCCGCGCTAAATGCTTTCAAGCTATCATTTCCGGTTCAGTGATTCTGCACTTGCTCTATGACTATAGTACTATACCGCCTTCAACTTTTACGAACGACTGGGTGTTTAAGGTGAGCGATTTGTCGCATTGTCTGGCTGTATAGCAAATGAAAAAATACAATTACTTTACTGTGCAAGTTAAAAATGAGTCTTGTAATATTTCTGTTTTTTTTTTATTTAGCGCCCCTTTATAACATCATTCTGCAGGCCCCGCACTAGCTTAATCCGGCACTGGGGGGGAGCACTCGGAACAAAGCCTATTACCCGTATTTGTCTGCATCAGTGACCCCTTTCATCTGCATAGTAAAGCAGGTTGTTGAATACATGTAATAGCATCAAGCTATCACCATTGCCGAGTCACTGCAATTATCCCGTTAATGGTAATTGTGAGAATATGAGGAAGAGGGGCTGTTGTGGATCGATTCGGGTACGGGGATAACAGGCGGAACGGACGATAGGTACAAGCACAGGAGGAGTTTCGCCACGTTGACTAAAAAAATCCGCGTCGGGATTTGCGTCGCGATCAGTGGTGTGAAGGAGACGCCATACCTCAAACGCGATGATGAACCCCAGGCGTATGGCGAGCAGCTTCCAGTAAAAGAGGGTGTGCTTTCCATCCTGGTCTCGATAATCCTTGTACCTTAAACAGCACACAGCACACGGCCAGCACCATCACTTCACCCTTCATATATAGAGCCATACAAAACGGTACGTCGCGGGTTAGTGCAGTGCTCTACGAAACCAGTGACTTGAGATGTTAACTACCTTGCCTGGTATACAGGAGGTCGTGGGTTTCATCCCGACACCGATGCCTGTATATTTGGAGTTTGCATGTTCTCCCCGTGGTCGTGTGTATTTTTCTCTGGGTCCTCCGGTTTTTCCATTCACGTTTAGAATCAACGTGCGTTTAGAGTATTTGACTGCTATAACATTTCCACGTGATAAGCCACTCCGTTGCGCGGTCATTTGTGGCCAGGTCGTTCCTGAAAAAGAGCTGTATAGCTCAGTGGGCCTTACCTGGTTAAAATAAAAATAGTTTAATTTAGTTTTAATTCCCGACCGTGGCGAACATCAGTGGTGAGTGACATCTGAACCGGTCCTTGGCCTCTGCTTAGCCAAGCAGCACCGGCCAGTTCAGATATTAACTTGGTACTGATATGTTTGCCGTGTTAGCCATGGCTAGGAATCAAACTCAGGTTACTAGGTTCAGAGCCCAGTGCTCCAATCACTGCGTAACCACAATAATAATGCCCACTCCTATTTATCTTGGATAATCTCACTGAGTCCCAAGGTTATTTATCTTTATTAGATTTTTGTTGCACACAACATAGGCCCATAACAGAGCGCTGCGTGACAAAAAAAACAACCGTACGTGGAATATCTTCCAGGCCGAAATACCCGACGTGTTCTGATTGATCAAGGGAGGGGGGGGGGGGGGGCAAGGCTCTTTTTTAACAAGAGGGTGCTGCATTGAGATGGGTGGCCAGTTTCACGAATTTGTGTTTGGCTTGTCGGAGGAAGCCGCAGCACCCAGAGAAATACCCACAAATACGAGCAGCTACCACAGAAAGCTCCACGCAGTTCGAGTCAGGAAACGATAGCTGTGCTACGATCTACTACAACACACGGCTTGTTTGTATATCTGCAGCTAGTCTGCTTCCCAACCACTCATCAGGCTTGACCCAGCTTAATAATGATTCCATTGACATCAAGGATCTCAAAGCGCTGTACAAGACACAGCAGCAGGCACTCAGCACGACGATCACTCATGAAACCAAACACTACAAAACAATTAAATAAATACGAAAAGCCAATTTACTAAACGTTGAACAAATACAACTATGTTAACCCTTTTCCCTTTCTGAGACGACTTCAAGTTGCAGGGTGGGTGTCCCGCTCACCGATGAAATTCAGAACGCGCAAGCGGCTCAGCGTTAATTTTATTTAGTCGAAGCGCCGTTGTTTGTAAAGACACTGCACTCACAGCAGAGAAGTGTAGCGACACAACCGCAACTCTATGATAGCAGGCGCCAAATTCTGCCACGCCCTCCCGCATGGCCTTGTGGGAGCCACGGTACCAATAAAGTTATGTTCTTCTAGTTTTTATTCCATTTCCATTCCAATGATGTACATGTACGTCATAAGAACGGGAAAGGGTTAATCCGTTTTACACGCCCTCCCGCATGGCCTTGTGGGAGCCACGGTACCAATAAAGTTATGTTCTTCTAGTTTTTATTCCAGTTCCATTCCGATGATGTACATGTACGTCATAAGAACGGGAAAGGGTTACTCCATTTTAAGACGAGTCCACAGACTCAGAGATCCCAACATCTCATGGGTGAGCATTCCAGCTCGGCTTCCAGTTCGCTCCCAGCGGTGACGTTGACCACGCAGCTGCTGGAAGCTGCAAGGGCCCGGGCATCACCTGCAGTGTGTGTAGTTGTTGACAACGTAGTCGTCGGGAGCGTACGACAGCGTAAAGTTGATGTACCCTCGCAGGTTCCTGTCGTACGTGTACTGGTAGAGCAGCTTTGGCAAGAAGTTGGACGTGAACGCGATGAGGAAAGCCTGCGCGACACACGGCAGGTTGTCAGTTGTGGCCACGTTACAGTGCGTAATGTGTCATGTGCATTGGGCCAGCATGGCCATGGCAGGCGCTGCCGCCTTCTCAAATGAAAAATAAAAAGAATCGCCCAAATGCGAACGGCAATAGTGGGATGCATCGTGAGCTCGTGTCGTGTCCACTGTGAGATTATGGGTCTCTGTGTTAGTTTATGGGACTCAGTCTGAGCCTATTGGTATCTGTATGAGTTTATGGGCCTCTGTGTGAGCCTATGGATCTCTGTGTGATCCTTTGGGTCGTCTTTGAGTATTCCCTGAGGGCAGGAGCGGAATTCACCCATTGTGCCTGAAACCAGCAGCTGGATTTCCAATTACACGGATTTATGGCTGCTACTTCAATTGTAAACCGTGGCATCCCCAGTGCCAATGGGCATCCCCAGTGCCAATGAACATCCCCAGTGCCAATGAACATCCCCAGTGCCAATGGACATCCCCAGTGCCAATGGACATCCCCAGTGCCAATGGACATCGCCAGTGCCAATGGACATCCCCAGTGCCAATGGACATCCCCAGTGCCAATGGACATCCCCAGTGCCAATGGACATCCCCAGTGCCAATGGACACCCCCAGTGCCAATGGACAATAAAGGTGTGAAAATAACAGTACCAAAGTTACGGTAAAATGATCTCGTGACAATCTTCATACCGTGAACTTTGACATCGTACCATATTGCATCACGAGCTATGATGTCACACCTGCGATTGGCGATCGTGGCTACGTACGGTGCGCAAGACGTTCGATGAGTCCAGTGATCCGGGAACACCGACTCACGTTGATGATGACGGAGATGTTCACGAGGGCGTCGAGGATGTTGAACCAGACCCCGATGTCCTGAGCCCTCTCGGCCACCGGGCGCCGGTACTCGCACACAAACTTCTGGGCGTCCAGACGCAGCTCGACCCAGTTGTTGAGCAGCGCGAAGAGCGGCGCGAGGGGGAACGCCGCCACGAAGATCGTGATGAAGCCAAACTGCAGCACTGGGCCGGGAGGGACACAAGACGCAGGTGGTTATATATATATCAAAAAAAGAACCACAGCAAGAAAATTTGAAAAAAGTGGCGTTTTTTTCCTCAAATTTTCTTGCTGTGGTTTTCACACCTGATGATGATTGCTTGTGTTGCAGTCGAAACGTCGTGAGAATTTTATTTGTTTTATATTTGTATTACTTTATTGTTTCCCTTCTACGTGACTTTACCGAAAGAACCAAGAATAGGAAAGACCTACTTAGCTCTATATCTCTTTTTGAGAAGTGACCTGGCCACAAATGATAGCTCAACGAAGTTGTTTCTCGCGTGGAAATTGAACGCGGCCAAATACTCTAAAACGAATGCTTTACATGTGGAGGGAAAAAAACCGGAGGACACGGAGAAAAGTCCACGCGATCACCAGGAGAACACGCAAACTCCAGATCGGTCGAGACGGTGGTGGTGATGAGTGGCCAGATATCTGAATCAGGCAACCCATGGCACCTGGGTCTGACCCGTGACCTCCTCGACACTTCACGTGGTTTTAAAGTGCACCTCTAGCCTGGCACAAGCGCCATGGAGAGGTCACCGCCACTGAGTGGCAAATGGCGGTTGTTATTGTTGTTGATGAGTGGCAACCCAAATGGTCAGTGCTATGCTGCTTTGGAAGTGGTGCACAAGGACAATTAACAACAAAATCAACACAATTGTCTAAATCACTGCAATTAAAACATATATATTGGTGGTATTTTGGACGAACCTTAAAATAATTGTAAAAGTATTACAAAATAAGCGATGTAAATTATATTTAAAAAAAATCTATAAATGTTGGTGGCACATTGCGTTACGGGAGAAGAGGGCACAATCCACCTAATAGTGTGTTCCTGGGCCCAATCACGATTTCAATGAAATGATTTTAACTGCCCGAACTTCCCAATACACTTGAGGCCTTTTAGTAATATTATGATTCGGGGTTGTTCTCCACATGTTTCTCAGACTTTTCTGCCTCAAAAATACAGGACAGTTACAGATCCCTTTTGCAATGGCGATTGGGACCAGGAATGCCCTGCGAGGTGGATTGTGCCTCGTCCTCCACAATGCAATGTTCCAGCAACATTTAATACATTTGCTCTTAATATAAATGTAGTTTATTTCGTAGCAATATATATTTTTTATTATTAAAGGGTTTGTCTGCTCCTCAAAATATTGATATGCCTATTTTAAAAAAAACTAGTTATTAGAAAACGTTTAAAATGTAATTGTCATCAGGCTCAGTGGTGTTAAGTGCAGTCTGCAAACGTTAACTCTGCCTATGGCACCGACAGTGGTGTGCCATGAAGAAGGCCATTACCCAAAACGGCACCAAGTTTTTTAATATGTAGAGAATTTTTCGTTATTCTTAGGGGCACAGTGTTATTGGTGGATGTTGTTGGGGTTTTTTTTTAGCTGACTTGACGTTGTAAATGGTCTGTAGGCTGCACGCTGTCTGCCCTCCTTTGAAGATTGCCAGCTATTCTTGATTTGAAGCTTTCGTGACTGCAGGAATCCTTACTCTTTGGTTCTTTCAGTAAAGTCACGTGGGTATAAAAACAAAACAAAAAAATAATATATCACGACGTTTCGATCGCAACACAAGCGGTCGTCCTCAGGTGGAAAAAAATATAGAATCTATCAGTGGAACAGCTGAACCAGCGAGAGAGCTGTTACAACGAGATTATTTACGTGGCGATGGGCAAGCAAGTTATCCAGTTCGCCTCAACAATCCCGCTCAAGTGTATCGACAGGGTTCAGGAGTTGCACGAGGTGGGGCCCGACACTGACACGACAAGTCTTTAATCTACGAAAGGTCAGTAATGCAACAATAGTGGCTATATTTCTCGATATGTTGTACCTGTCGCTCTGTATCCTGTAACACGATGCTGTACTGTACTTACCATGAATACACGGCAGAGCCCCATGGTCAGTGTTTGTCCTCACAATAGGCCCTGGCAGGGGCCAGGCAATGCGCCAAACATATTAAAAATGGTACCAACTACACTGGCAGTAAAACTGGTCATTGGTATGGTATCTGTCGTCCCGACAGGTTTGTTCCTTTCACCTGAAGAAGGCCAATTGTGTTGTGGCCGAAACGTCGTGAGAATTTTATTTTATTATTTTATTCTCATTCTACGTGACTTTACCGAAAGAACCAAAGAAGCTCTACACAGTCAAGAAGAGGCCCAACTCTGCACGTGTGTGTGTGTAGCAGCTAGCGCGCTGCTGCGCTACGCACCCAGCCTCCCGAGTTCGATTCCCGATCACGGCCGATAATCAGTGACGATTATCCGAACCGGTCCTGGGCCTCCTCTAGGTCGACTCAGCCTCAAATGAGTACCAAGTGAGGTGTGTGTAAACATCACCAATGGGGAGACAAAGGCGGACGGGCGTGGTGCTGGCCACGCACTCCGTCGTGTGCCATTATAGGTGTTGGCTAACAGAACATGCCCCATTAGTCTTTTAAGCCTGTACGGGGGATCTTTGCGTTTGTATTCGCTGATTTTGCTCTCTGGGCCTGTGTAGGACCAAAATATATGAAAGCACATTTTTTCCCAATATCGTGTTTCTACCGTGGTCATTGGTTAACCAGCCTGACAGCACTTCCAACTCACGCCAGAACAAAGCCCGTTTTATCTCGGACGTGACCTCGGGATTAAAACCACCATCTCGGGCAGTGCTGACCTTGCTGCCTCTCATGTGCTTCGGGCCCTCTGGCACGTCAAGGCACATCACAACTCACCGCTCAAAGGACAACAACTCTGAAATGTTATAGCCAAGTGTCCACTCTCGTTATTACAGAAGGGTCCCCACTGTCACAATGGGTGCCAATAAAAATGCAAAACTTTTGTATCTGCCAAGCTTTCGTGTTCCACAATACACTGCATCCCCATTAATGATTAAAGACATCATTACGGTGATGCTGCGTTTCCAGCGATGCGCAAGCACAAATATATAAATATATAAACCAGGGACGTGCTTTCAGGGGAGGCAGAGGAAGGCAGAGCCTCACCTGTCATACTCCAATGAAAATAGCCGTTACGAAAAGTAAAAAAATTGAAAAACTAAATATTAAGATTTTCCCACCGATCTGTGTTATAAATGTAATTTCTGTACGATTCCGATCATTTCTATAACAAAAATCGCCAAATTTGCGGAGCTCCGCTGCAAATACAGGGAGAGACGAGAGGTGATTGTGCAACCCCTCAGTAACTGGATGGAGCGCGGGCAATAAGCGCGTGCCTGTTACTATCTCTCTGTGTGTCACCAATGTAATGTTTGTAGACCCCTTCATTTCACGTCCTCGCCTTCCATACCCACCTCCGTGAGACCACGCCCCCCTCCGTGAGGCCACGCCCCCCTCAGTGTGTGAATCTGGCTCTGACACTAGCCAGTGACTCCCCCAGCCATTGACCTCACCGCACGCCACTGCTATAAACATTTTAACACTTTGGTCAAAAACACTGCCTTAAAAGAACAAAAAAATGCTAAATATCGATAAAATATGAATTTTCGTGGTCTCAAGGGGTGAGTGAGGAGTGATGGACGAAATCGCCACCCATTTCCCCCCCCATGATCTACCACCGCTATCCCGACTCAACTCCGCTTTGAGCTCCCACGGTCTGACCCAGTGGGGTAGTAATCACATTATCGGCTCAGCGGTGTGCGGCAATCGCTTAGGTGGAGTCCCAAATGTTTAATTCGTCTCGCACGATTGCACCTCGGCTATTGTATACCGCGGCTCCTCTTGCCTACTAATCACATCGTCACGCTCACGCTCACGAACATTTCACGCTGTAGGGACGTTCCGCCTGCGCTTAAAATGCAGCCACTACAGCTCCGTCGTAGCTTTTTGCAATATCCCCTTACCGCTCTAATAAAATAAAAAAATAAAACGTGGGAACGTAAAGGAAATGCATTTTCACGACGATAAATTTGAACCGCTTTTTAAATAAATGTTAGTTTTTTCACGATGTTGAAAGCATGGTTGTCTTGGAGGGCCCCCAACTCGTAGTGTTGGCCATCAATTGGGGGCGGGATGGGGGGGGGGGGCAAGGCACCCCCTCTCTCCCCCCACGCTAAGTTACGCTTCTGGTCTGACAATATTCTTTCGGTCTTTCGGTAAAGCCACGGAGATATAAAAAAATATCACGACGTTTCGATCGCAACGCAAGCAATCGTCATCACCTGGTGACGATTGCTTGCGTTGCGATATTAATTCCTGCAAAGCTTTAAGTCAAGATGGTCTGACGATAATCGGGGAAAGCGGTCGGGGGCAGGGGGGTGGTAGTTCGGACTGAAGGAGGTGGCGGGTAGCGGTGAGAGTGGAGCCGCGGTCGCCGGCGGCTCACCCATCTCGAGGTACTCCTCAAAGAGGCCCTCGCACGGGATGAGCTCGTAGTCCTCCTCCCAGCGGCTTGACTCCGGCGCCACGTGCGAGCCGCGCAGCGCTGCCAGCTTGCGCTTCTGCAGCCACGCCTTGATCTTCCTGCGGCAGGAACGCGGGGCGGGGGGAGGGAGCGTGAGCCAAACAACCCATTTCTTTACAACTGCTTTGTTCTGTTTAAGTTTGTTGTCCTTCCGCATCTCTCACCCCCGCACCTCGTCCGATTAGCGCGGTTGGCTACGCACGGTGCGAAAGAAGTTCGACACACGTGCATCGTACCACACATGCGAAAATCGATCATTTACTAACTACGCAGATTCTATGAAAACGACATAAAAGGGATAAGGTAGAGAAGCAGCCATGCAATTAGTTTCTTACACCACTGCTGGCGGAAGGGAATCCACTGCAGGATACTCTAGGCGACCCCACTAGAAGGTGTTACTAGAGGGTATGTTGGGACAATCTTCCACGCTGGACAGACGTTTGCAGACGTGGGAGCACCCACACTTTACCCCACCACACGCAATCTGCCAATCGGCTAACTGCGGTGCCCCCACTTACACTGCTGTTGGCCATCGCGTAGGATCGACGGTGACTGACTCAAGGACGCCTGGTCATGATTATTATTATTATATCCATGCGTCTTCACGTGGCTCAGTAAAGCGACCGCAGACCTCGCACGCGGAACACTGAAGAGGTGGCTCACTGACCCATTTACACTGCCGGGTGCACAGCGGTGGGTTTGGGTGCTTCCTTAAGGAACTTGCACCATTGTTTAAACTGCCGCGCCAGGACAAAATGATCTGTTTTAGGGTTAGGCTAATGGAGCGGGGACAAAACCGTGCGGACAACGAGGGGGGACATGTGACAAAACGGTACAAACAGAGGGTGAGGGTAACGGATGAAATTAGCCAACAACGGGGATCGCAATCTCGAGCCGGCTACGCCGGCAGCCGCGGACGGGGCGGGAACGCGCCACTCACGGGAATACGAACTCCTGGATATTGTTGATCACCTGCTTCCCCACCATAATGATGATGAGCTGCTGCGCCAGCTCAATGAGGCATCCTCCAGGCCCGCACTGCGGCGGCACACACGACGGGCACACGCGTGTCCGCACGCCACGCGGTAACGGGAGAACATCAAACGCACACCACTCTGTGCGTACACTGGGCTCTCCTCGGGAACTCTGGCTTCTGTGTGAACTCATGTCCTCTTTGAACATTCTCTGAGGGCACAAGCGGGATTCGCCCATTGTGCCTGGAAGCCAGCGGCTGGATTTACAATTACACAAATTGCGTACTCGGCTTTCCTGTGTATTTACGACTCGCGAGCTTTCCCCAAGTACTCAGAAACTCCGGTCAGTGGCCAACATCGGCCGGCCGTTGTTAATAATAATAACAATTTGAAGTTGTAACATGTACAGTATTTTCTCACTTTGGCAAAGAGGGAATGACTCAGAGGCACGAGGAATCGCGCGGGAGAGGCAGCCACGTGCTGAGTCGGCGGCAAATTCCCTTCCCCTCCAAGCTCTGTGGTCCTCCATATATTAAGGTGTTATCAGTCAATTTAGAAAACCAGAGAACCCAGAGGAAACCCACGTGTATGAGGAGGAAACACTATCCTATGCAGACGAAACAGATTGTAAATGTTGTGGCTTGGCTCTCCAACACACCGGTGTGCTGTACTCGTGACGAATTGGCCAAGTTCTGTTGACGTGACAATCCTTACTAATTGGCTGTGTCGGGTGGTGGCGGGTTTTAACGACACATTTTTATATTTACGGGATCTAACCCAAAAAACCCCCTCTATTATGGAAACAGGTAGAGTCCACATTATTGGTGTACCGCCTTCTGGCGAGCCAGGGTATGGCACCTCAACATCCAGGCGCAGGGAATTCCACCAGTGCTGGACAATCCGTGAAAATGAGTTTCATAGCTCATCGGATTCTTCCATTCTAATTAAAGACACTGATTCTGATTCGGTGCCGATTGACAGGCGTGCGTAGCCGCCACCACCCGGTGGTGTTTGTTGACGAGCGTGAAAAGTTTCTTTTTCGTGAGCGGCCGAACAAAGAGGTGCAAGGAACGTACGTCCTCATTCCTGGTGCCCAGCAGCTTCTTGTAGTGGCCAGGGTAACCCACAAACCTGCGCAAGGGACACACGTCACCATCATCAATCAACAGTTTGTATCGACGACGTCATAGTTGAATGTTAAGGTCCTTCAACCAATCCAAAGGAGCAGGAGAAGCTGCAGGGATTGCAGCGATAACGCCAGCGTGTGCGTGGACGGCGGCACCTGTCGCTGATGTGTTTGTGCACTTGCCCTGACCAATACTTAAGCCCGTCATCTCAATGCTTTGCGTTTGGTCAACTGGCACGGAAAAATCTATCCAACAAGCTGAGTTGTCTACGCATGTGATCATATTAAGTGCGTTAATTTTAAGCTTTCCACAATTATGATTGCAACCGTGCTAATGGTCGGATGTCAAGTGACAAAGTCTCCATCGGGAACTCCCGTACAGCAGTCGTCCTCTGCAGGGATGAGCCTTTGCCAAGGCAATGTGGAATGTCCACACTTGGCTCAGTGCGACAAATTTAGACGAGTACTGGCCCATTGCACATTTGCCAAGGCCAAGTCACTTTGACTTGGCCTTGGCTGGCAAGAAAATGCATTTATTTCTTTTTCCTTTTCGCAACAAATGTCTAAAGGCAAAGGTGCAGCCCTGTTATTGCTCACTCACTCCACTGCTGGCAGAAGGACCTCTACTAGAAGGAGCTCTAGACAGAACCATCTAGAGCAGTGTTCTTCACTCATTTTCAGTGGGGGGCCACTTTTGCCGATAAGACATCAGCGTGTGAGGGCTGCCACATATTTGAAACCAATGGGATTGACAGCACGATGATGTTGGGGTGTTTTCACATTTGTGCATTGTCAGGGGCCGCACTGGAGGTCACCAGGGCCGTCAGTGGCCCGCGGGCCTTGCAATGAAGAACACTGAGATAGAAGTAATTTGGCCTATACTACCACACTGGCCAGACGTCTTGGAATAAGTGGGTGTACCCACACTTTACCCCACCATGTGCAAAATACCGATCAACTAACTACGGTGGCACCTATTTTCTGTACATTGCTGGGTCAACAATGGTGGCTTATTTGAAGAAACTTGCACGAATTGTTTCAACCGGCGAACCTCTAGATTGAAAGTCCAATGTGCCACACCTTTGCACCACGGCCGTTATCCCAACGAGCGAGCACTCGTGTTGAAACGGTTTCAGAGAAGTGGATATGGCGGATTTCATCGCTGGACACAAGGACGCTACACAGTACAGTGAGGGAAAAAAGTATTTGATCCCCTGCTGATTTTGTACGTTTGCCCACTGATGAAGAAATGATCAGTCTATAATTTTAATGGTAGGTTTATTTGAACAGTGAGAGACAGAATAACAACAACAAAATCCAGAAAAACGCATGTCAAAAATGTTATAAATTGATTTGCATTTTAATGAGGGAAATAAGTATTTGACCCCTCTGCAAAAACATGACTTAGTACTTGGTGGCAAAACCCTTGTTGGCAATCATAGAGGTCAGATATTTCTTGTAGTGGGCCACCAGGTTTGCACACATCTAAGGAGGGATTTTGTCCCACTCCTCTATGCAGATCTTCTCCAAGTCCTTAAGGTTTCGAGGCTGACGTTTAGCAACTCGAACCTTTAGCTCCCTCCAAAGATTATATATGGAATTAAGGTCTGGAGACTGGCTAGGCCACTCCAGGACCTTAATGTGCTTTTCTTGAGCCACTCCTTTGTTTCCTTGGCCGTGTGCTTTGGGTCATTGCCATGCTGGAATACCCATCCACGACCCATTTTCAATGCCCTGGCTGAGGGAAGGAGGTTCTCACCCAAGATTTGACGGTACATGGCCCCGTCCATCGTCCTTTTGATGCGGTGAAGTTGTCCTGTCCCCTTAGCAGAAAAACACCCCCAAAGCATAATGTTTCCACCTCCATGTTTGACGATGGGGATGGTGTTCTTGGGGTCATAGGCAGAATTCCTCCTCCTCCTCCAAACACGGCGAGTTGAGTTGATGCCAAAGAGCTCCATTTTGGTCTCATCTGACCACAACACTTTCACCCAGTTGTCCTCTGAATCATTCAGATGTTCATTGGCAAACTTCAGACGGGCATGTAAATGTGCTTTCTTGAGCAGGGGGACCTTACAGGCGCTGCAGGATTTCAGTCCTTCACGGTGTAGTATGTTACCAATTGTTATCTTGGTGACTATGGTCCCAGCTGCCTTGAGATAATTGACAAAATCCTCCCGTGTAGTTCTGGGCTGATTCCTCACCGTTCTCATGATCATTGCAACTCCACGAGGTGAGATCTTGCATGGAGCCCCAGGCCGAGGGAGATTGACAGTTCTATTGTGTTTCTTCCATTTGCGAATAATTGCACCAACTGTTGTCACCTTCTCACCAAACTGCTTGGCAATGGTCTTGTAGCCCATTCCAGCCTTGTGTCGGTCTACAATCTTCTCCCTGACATCCTTGGAGAGCTCTTTGGTCTTGGCCATGGTGGAGAGTTTGGAATCTGATTGATTGCTTCTGTGGACAGGTGCCTTTTATACAGGTAACAAGCTGAGATTAGGAGCACTCCCTTTAAGAGTGTGCTCCTAATCTCAACTCGTTACCTGTATAAAAGACACCTGGGAGTCAGACATCTTTCTGATTGAGAGGGGGTCAAATACTTATTTCCCTCATTAAAATTCAAATCAATTTATAACATTTTTGACATGCATTTTTCTGGATTTTGTTGTTGTTATTCTATCTCTCACTGTTCAAATAAACCTACCATTAAAATTCTAGACTGATAATTTCTTTGTCAGTGGGCAAACGTACAAAATCAGCAGGGGATCAAATACTTTTTTTGCCTCACTGTAAGTATGATGAACTTAATAATAGGTTTTTTACCCTTTTTTCTGGCAACAAAACTGACACCTTTTTACAAGGAATCATGTTTGCATTAACTACAATACCTCCGGTCAGAATGCAAACAAAAAAACAACTCTGATAATGTATGCATTGTCCCTGAAATTGATTGGTGTGGACCAATACATTTCAGGGACAATGCCACATACATTATCGGAGTTGTTTTTTGTTTGCATTCTGACCGCAGGTATTGTGGTTAATGCAAACATGATTCTTTGTAAAAAGGTGTTAGTTTTGTTGCCAGGAAAAAAGGGTAAAAAAACCTATTATTATATTTTGCTACTGGCAAAGGAGGCCTCATGATGATATGATGAACTTCCTTCGCACCGGTACGTATCCCCACCCAGGCTAATCAGGAGGTGCTAGCCACGATCAGCGGTGGGATGCTGTTGTATGGTTCCACGTACCGGCCCTTGAAGAAGGCCACGTAGAACGGAGAGGAGTAAAAGTTGACGAATTGGAAGACGAAAACCTTGAAGGTGAAGGCATCCTCATACTGCGTCTGTGTTCGGTGCATTTCTGGTGGACAGGCAGAGGGACACTCGGATTAGGGAACGTATGACGGTTAATGACAACGTTCAATTTGTTTTTTTTTGTTCATCTTGTGACTAAACAGTAGCCCAGTACAAAGCACCGGTCACAATAAACTAAAAAAATACATTTAACTTTACCAGGTAAGGCCCACTGAGCTCTTTTTCATAAGCGACCTGGCCACAAATGATAGCTCAACGAAGTGGCTTTTGATGTGGAAATTTATAATAGCCAAAATACTCTAAACGCGTAATGTTGATTCTCAATGTGGAGGGAAAAAAACGGAGGACCCGGAGAAAAATCCACGTGACCACGGCGAGAGAGAATCGAACCCACGACCTCCTGCATACCGGGCGAGGTAGTTAACATTTCAACACTGCAGCCCAGTGGCAACATTCAGTTTCAGTTTGTTTATTTTGGTATAGCCCTGTGAGCCATTCGGCTCTTGAATCGGGTGCAACCACAACAAACAAAAAAACAAAAACACGAACAAGAAAAACATCTTAAAGTGACTTTGTGACTGTGCAAACAGAAAATCCATGGAAAAAAAACAGCAAAATATTCCTGAAGAAGCACCGTACACCAACGCTGTGTGCAAAAATCCCAGTGGGATGCAAGTCAAACAACAGCAACAACCACAAGAAAACTTAGATTAAGGCCATCAGTCTAATTCCGTACTACAACAAAACAAACACGTCCATACCAAAAAACTTTTCGAAATCACCAAAAAATAAAGCCATAATTGCAATGTAACAGTGATCATAGGGACTGTGACCGAATTTTTTTTACAATAAACTACTTAAATAACATGTAACACCAAACCCTAGAGCCATAGCTGGCTGCATGAGTTACTCCACAACAACAGAAGCATCAGTCGGAGTATCAAATTTTTCAATGCACCTTTAAGATCAGCACGCTAAATCAAAATACAGATAATACTTTGCAGCGTCATCCGGAGCGAAACATTTTATTTTATTTTATGCCAATGAATAGCAGTGGCAGCTAGGGGTGTACAACTCCTCTTGAGCAGTTTTGAGAGAAGATCTCATTGGTAGCGATTCAAGTTGCAGTTTATTGGCAATAGCATTCCAGATCCTGGGGACATCAATAGCAGTGTTTGTACGGCAATAGGGAATGTGAAGCTGGTAAATGAGCGAAGACTTGAGGTCAAATTTGTTCTTTGAAACAGAGAGGAGATCCAGCAGGTAGTCTGCGGATTTTTTTGTAAGTACATCGTGAATAAATAAGATCTGGTGCACAAGCCATCGAACATTAAGAGATGTTAAGTTTGACCCAATGTAGAGATCACAGTGGTGAGTCCTATATGGGCAGTTCAATGCAAATCTTAAGGCCGAGTGATAGATGGAATCAAGCTTCTGCAGTACAGTACTTGGGGCTGATTTATACACGATGTCACAGTAGTTAAGTAGAGGCAGTATGGTAGCTTTTATCAATTCCAAACGGAACATAAGGGGGAAGCAGTGCTTGTGTCGATATAGAAAACCAATTTTTATTTTTGTATTTTTACCAATGTAATCAATGTGATCTTCAAAATTCAGTTTTGAATCCAGGATGACCCCAAGATACTTATAGATCTTGACTTGCTCTATTTGATAATTATTTAAGGAATGTAATTGGGGAAAAATAACTTCCTGCTTTAGTCTTGGTGAGAAGCATAGCACCTTGGTTTTGGAGGTATTTAGGACTAGTTTAAGAGCAACTAGCTGATGTTGTAGTTTGTTGAAATCACCCTGTAGCTTAGCAATCACGTCATCCAGAGAGCGGCCAGCAGAAATCAGTATCGTGTCATCTGCAAAAAGATTTACCCTGGAATGCTTCAGGTCAATGCCCAAGTCATTGACATAAAGAGAGAACAAAAGGGGGCCGAGGATGGAACCCTGTGGAACCCCTTTTGTTATCTTAACACTATTTGATCTCCACCCATCTGTGAATACAGTTTGGGTGCGAGAAAAGAGGTAATTTTGTAACCATTTTACTGCGTTTTCAGAATAACCAAGGCAACTTAGTTTACTAAGCAGGGTGTTGTGGTCTACTGTATCAAAAGCTTTGGACAGGTCAAGAAAAAGACAGGCACATTACTGCTTATTATCAAGGCTACTGTAAATGTGATTCAGAGAGTCGAATGCAGCAGATGTGGTGCTGTATTTTTTCCGGAACCCAGATTGTTTTAGATGTAGCAGATTGTTGGTGGACAGGAAACTCCTAATTTGTTAGTTCAATCATTTTTCAAAAAATTTCATCAACGGGGACAAAATTGAGATAGGTCAGTAGTTATTTAGGTCATCTTCAGGGCCCCCTTTGTGAAGTGGACGGACATAGGAATGTTTCCATTCTAGAGGAACTGATGCTTCTTTGATGGACAGGTTGAAAATATGGGCTATAGGTTTGTATATTAGGTGACCAACAGTTAGTAGAGCAAAGACGGGAATACTATCTGCTCCGGTAGAGGAGGACCCTTTGAGATAGGACAGTTGTTTCAGAACATTACTTTCGTGGATTGGCTGGAAACTAAATTCGTTTAATGTTTGGACAGGGGTGTAGGGATTTGCATGAGCAGGGGTGACCCCCAATACATTATCAAAAAGATTACCAGCTTCAGAAAAATGAAGGTTAAAATTGTCAACTATTTTTTTGGGATCTGAAAAATATTCCCCATTTCGGTTAAGCTCAACGGGCAGATTGTCTGTTTTGGATGCCTTTTCGATACATTTGATTGTTTTCCAGAAAATCTTGGCATTTCCATGTGATTCCAATACAAGGTGGGGGGGCAGAAACTGTCTGAGAAAGTGTGGACCGCAAGTGGGGAAACAATGAAAGTTTACATGGGGAGGGAAGGATGAGGGGAAACATAACTTAACATAGTGAGGGTAGAGAAGGGCACAAGAGCCGTGTGATGATCGTCTCTCAAATGGCGTACTAGATTGCCACCCGTTACTTTGATAACGTGTGGCTGCCCGTACAACGGTAATTCACCGTTCCATTCAGCCCCCCGGTTAAAGGAGAGGGTGTCCCCACCGCTGGCCCCAACGTACCCCACTTGGTGAGCTGCTCGGCGAGAGACGAGTAAACTTGGCCCATCACCAGGATGAGGATCAGGTTCACCATCGAGCTGCTGATGTTGGCGATGTTCGCTGCCTGCAAAAAAAATGTACATCAGTAATGTCCACTTTCCGTTACTTATGAAATATAAACGGATCCTTAAGCCAAAGTAAGACCTCATTCGTCAGTGGGTCAGGAATATTTGTTGTAGGCATAGACACGAGACATTTGATTTAAATATTATTTGGGTCTTTCGGCACAGTCACGTAGATAGGTTCAAAGAAAATAACAAAAAATAACCAAAAACTACGACGTTTCGATCACAACACAAGCGATCCTGATGACGATCACTTGTGTTGTGATCGAAACCTCGTAGTTTTTTAAAATTATTTTTTGTTATATTCATTTAACCTATCTACGTGACTTTACCGAAAGACCCAAAGAATATGAATTCCTGCGGTCACGAAAGCTTTAAGTCAACATTTAACATTTGATTTAAGCTGCAAGAACCCGATGAGCATCTTCTACGTGGGCACCGGTTTAATTACGAGCTACTCCTCACTCGTCGAGGGTCGGTGATACAGTTCCCGCAAGACTGCACCCACGTCAACAAGTAAGCCGGTGACAACAAAAATAACACGACGCATTCTATGTGTTTACCACTGTCATACGCTGGTGAGAAATTAATACACTCTATATCCTCATTAACATACGTTTTGCATAATCTGTCTTTTTGTTTCAGCCAAGCCTCACCTCACCTCCCCCCCACCATTAATCCGGATAATCGAGAGTTGACTGCCGCTGTTTGGGGTGTTGTGCTCCGCTGTAAACGTTCACGAGCTCAGGACTTGATGCGCAATTTATCATCGACCTAACACGAGATAATTCACAGCCGCTTGTCGTACAAGTGCGGGTTTCGTTGAGTTGGGCGTTGACCGTCTCCTTTCTCAAAGCTTTCGCCACGCACTACTGCGGGCACCTTCGGGGGTTGAACCGCGACCGCTCAGCGAGCCTCGGCCTCGCTCAGCTCCTGCAGTTGTCCGCGAGACAAGAAATGCTTAAAACACGCGGCCCAATTGGAAATGCCACACGCGGACGCCGTGATCGTTTTGCCGGTCGGTCAAATGGAGGGGACTCACCTGGGTCATGAGCACCGCATTGCCCGTCTTGTACATGACCACACTGACGATTCCACGGTACATAATCACCGTGACCAAGAAAATCATCACCACCGACAGCTGCAGGCAAAAAAAACAGTGAAATGTTAGTGATGGGTTTGTATGTCAGCACAACTCTACTATGATTTAAATAAAAAAAATGTTAAATATCCAACAGTTAGGCAGATGATTTATTATTTAATCACCCATAATAATTCACAAACGGTGCATAATAATGGTCCATGAGTGTTGTAGTTAAGTAAACGGCTGAGCTTGAAATTACCACCGTAGTTAAGACATCAATACTAAGCTGCCAACATATTGATAGAAACCTGGCGATTGTGTATATTAAGGCGACTAATCGTCCTGCATTGGCCAGGACAGTCCCGGTTTCAAGACGAATGTCCCGCTGTCGATTGGGAAAAATAAAGATTTCAGATTTTTTTTCTCTCTTCCCGGATTAAAATGTTTCTGGCCTCATGCTTGACACTACCTACCTCATTAGTGGGACATGGCTGGCAGAGGAGTAGGCGTGGCCTATGAACAGTAGGCGTGGCTAGCGTCAGAGCGAGGCCACTCCCCTCGTGTGGGCGGCACTAGCGACTGAGTGGGCGTCTCTAGATCCAAGTGGGCGGGGCCGAAAGACTGAGGGACGGGCCGCCAGCTCAATGTGGTCCTGGTTGAGCCCCCCAGAAATCCGGTGCCTTCACGTTGCTAACGGGTTTTTTTTTCCACTCCACATTTAGAAACATAAATTGAGGTTATTTAGATTATTTAGCTACGGGTATACATTTATACATCAGCCACTTTGTCGAGCGATAATTTGTAGCCAAGTTGCTTCTGAAAAATGAATGAATACCTCAGTGGGCTGTATTTGGTAAGATACAATTTGTAGTTTTATTTGTATATTTTAAAGTGATTTGTTAATCTTTTCCCTAAACTTTGCACTCCTATCATGTTTTTTTGTATTGTTTGTTGTTGCAACGTTCTGACCCGCCCCTACTGGACATGTGTGAAAAAGCGCTTTACAGCTCATCGGATTCCCCCACTATAAATATTCTGATTCTGACGTGGGTTAAGCGTGAGGCGGACGCCGTGCCGCCCTGACCATGAGAATGATGACCATGGTGCCCGTGATGATGCGCGAGAGGCGGTCTCGCTCGGGGAAGTATGGCTCCTTGACTCCCGTGATGGGATTCCGCTCCATGCTCGGCGCCATCGCCGCAAACTCCGGCCGAGGTCTCTCCTAGGTCGGGGAATACGGCCACGTCAACGCCAGCAGTGTTGTGTTGGTGGGCGAGGGGGCGCACGGGGGCATGCGATTTGCCGTCATGGATGCCGCACAGGGCTACTGCAAAGGAGCAGCTAGAAGGCGCAGCTCTCAGAGGCAGCTGGGGGGAGGGGGTGGTGACGTGGCCCGGCGGTTGGGGAGTTCAAAGCTTGTTGCAGAGACGCATAATTCTAATCCAGCAGCAGTAACCACGATGATACGTACAAACCTATGGATGTTGAACTTGTTTCCCACCGCATGTAGCCAACCGCGCTAATCGGTGGTGCGCGAGGGGGAAGGACAACAAACTGAACACACAAAGCAGTTATAAAGAAATTAGTTTTCGTAATACCACACGAGCCATCTGCTTCACATTGGACTTTAAAGATCACCCTGTGGCGCCATTCGCAAGGGTTGTTCCATCGTTTGTCGGCGTCATGATCTAAATTTGCCAACCTTGAAAATCGCCCACAAATAACTCGGTCGGGGGATTACACGTGTCGACCATCACCCCCAACTGGCAGGCTAAAGAATGTTTTTGCAGGCTTGTATCCAGCATCCAGGCACAACCCCACACATATGGCGAGATAATACCCAAGGCTCTGCATCTCTCCTTAAAACCCCCTCCCTTCCGTTCCTCTCTTAAAGCCTCGCCTCTTCTCCACTGCCCATTCCCTTCCTCTTACCTCCCCCCTCAATTTCTTCCCTCCCCTCCCCTTTCCTAACCCCTCGGCAACACCGCTCTATCGTGGCCACCCATTCCTCACCCCTTACACGCCCCTGCCATCTATATCACTTTTTGCTAACACCGCTTTTTTATTATGTTTTGCGCCTTGATGAAAGGCGCTCTAGAAAAAAAAACAACATTTCAAGAATTCCATTGCTGGTCCTGTCACCTGACGGCAATGTGCTGACACCTGTCAGCAGCAAGTTGACTTCACCTTCTATGCCCTACACATGCAATTACGTAAGCAGCCTGCTTAGCTTGTTGCCCTTCCCACCTCCAATTAGCACGGTTGGCTACGTAGGGTGCGGAGGAAGTTCAACATACATATCAAGATCTGATAGGATCAGGCAGAGGCTTTGCACCGCATGGGAGGTGTACCTCCTCCTCTTCAAAGTCCATGCAGTCCCAGTGGTGAGCGAGGATGGCGTTTTTTCTCTTCCAGTACTCGAGGAAGGTGACGGCCCAGAAGGACATGAAGACGCTGAAGAAGACCGTGCCGGGGTGGTCAAAGAGGTAGCCCAGCTGTGGCAGAAGATTCCCGATCACAGGGCTCGTCACTCAATGATTAACGTATTTAATTTTTTTTAAGATATAACGTTTTTTTCGTGGTTGCTGAGCACAGGCCCCCCAAAGGCCCAAAACGCCAAACGACCGGCAACAAACAGCACTACCGAATGCTTAATAGACGAGTTTATAGGTTTCCTGAATTGAACAACGTTGTGAGGACTTGGTCCAAGAGGGAATTCTTATGGGAGGGAATTCCAACGTTGGGGTTATCACATAGCAAGGTTTATTGTGGGCAGCAGAGGACAGAGAGCAGAGGGCAGTGCAGCCAATCTATTTCCGGAGTGCTCTATGCTCCCATATTTAATGCTCCCTGCATTCAACAGCCTTGCAGGGACCAGTTTGGTCAAATCATTCCCCCGCATGCAGCGAGGCATGGTGAAGGCCCTCGTCTGGAAGCGGGGCTCGACAATGGAGCTGTACGCAGGTCTCCCCCTGGTGTCACGAGCCTGTGATCGGAGTCGCGTCGCAGACATTTTGGCTCTGATGCAATGGGAGTCCCAGGTGGAGTCTGGACACGATTATGGGCTGGACGGGGGGTCGGGAGAAAGTGAAGCAGAAGTGGGGAGACGCGGCGAGACGGTGGCTCCAGCAGCCACAGCCAGCGAAGCCTCCCACGTGCGATTGTACTCTCTACACTGAGCGGCGAATTCACCCTTTCCCCATTCCGATGGTCGTACGTGCACGTCAAGGTGGCAGCACCAACACTCTACGCCATTTAGTTTATTGAGAAAAAAAAGAACAATAACATTACGGTTTCAATTGGGAAGAAATAATTAGATACCGAGTGGCAAAAAAAAAAAATCTCCAAAAGTTTGTATTGCCTACTTTACTCATTGTACCCACACTGGAATCAATGGCTAAATGACCAAATCATTGCACGCAATGCGTCCGGTCTCATCAAGTCTAGTCATAGTGATTACGCTAACACCGATGCCCACGTGGTGCATTAGTTAGCGGCTCAGGGGTCGTCGGCTCCACCTCCCGGTGCGGCAGTTGAAGCAACGGCGCGTGGATTTTTCCGCGGGTCCTCCGGGTTTTACCCCCACATTTGGAATCAACACGCGCTTAGAGTATTTGGCTGGTAGAAATTTCCACTTGATAAGCCACTTCGTTGAGCTATCATTTGTGGGCAGCTCACTTCTGACAAAGAGCTGTATAGCTCAGTGGGCCTTACCTGGTAAAAATAAAAATAGTTTACTACATTAGCACGGTTGGCTACGTACGGTGCGAAAGAAGTTCAGCGTACACACGCACGTACAAGCGGTCGATCGGCAGGTCACGTGTGGCAGGGTCAAGCGTGGGTACTCCCGCCTCTTTCAAAGACGTCTGGCCAGCGTGGAAGAGTAGGCCAATTACCCAGCCGCTACAGCTTCTCTCTCTTGAGAGAGAGAGAGCTCCCTGGAGTGGAGCGTAGGCCCTTCCGCCAGCGGTGGCAACTAATTGCGGGGTGTTGGCACCTTGACCTAAACCTTTGTGGTACCTACGCCTGCGACCGCTGCCATTGCTGTGGTCGCCGCTAGCGCCCTAGCGAGAGGGATTTTTCGCGCCTCGCACCTTGGCCATGGGGCAAATGTCGGAGAGTTTCCATACGGTGCACGCGTCGCACAGCGGGCACATGAGGAACTTGTGTCCACTGCTGCAGATCTCCTCCCTATGGGTGGGGACGGTGGGGGGGGGGGGGCAGGGGAGGTGGAGGGGAGAGGGATGACTGCGATGCACGTTTTGTCAAAGGGGGACGCAGCTGTATTCCCGCGGGGCAGGGAAGAGTAATGTCTACGCTGCGCACAGTATGGGCGATACAAAACAACATGGATTTATGTTGTGCGGTGGCGATTTTAAAAAAAATTTGAAAAGGTGTGGAGGCTGGACATTCGTTTCCATAATCTGTACGTTGATTGAGTGTGGCCCTCCCTTCCATGCGTGGGTTGTTTTTTCGGGTACTCTGGTTTCCTCCCACGCGCGTAAGACACTCATTAAGAGAGTTAGCCAAACATCTCAATATAGGGCGACAGAGCTTGGGCAATGGTTGGTGCAGGTTCTGGCTGCCTTCCCGCTCGTCTGTGGCTTCCCGTGCCTCTGAATCATTCTCTCCAAAGACTAAGCCTTGACTGAAATGCAATATGTTCTCATCTACTAGACTAAGACTAAATGCAGACTAATTAACACTGAAATAGCATCCATATTCCACTGCGTCCCAGGACGCTGCGCAGAAAAACAGTGTGCATGTTTATTTTAAAGACAGGCAATCGGTTACAGGCGGGGGGGGGGGGACACAACAGCTTGGACTTGGGTAGGGAGTCGACAGTGCAAATGACTGGATGAAGGAAGTTCCAGGCTATGCAAGTCGCTCGGGAGAATGAGTAGCCTCACACTGAATAAGACATCGGGTCAGATCGACCCCACTGTGGCTGGGTGGTCACGTTGCTTAGCGATGCCGCTTGGGCAGACCACTTTCGCCACACTTTGCCCCACCGTGAGTTTATGCACCGATCTATTCCCTGCAATGTAACCAAGTTACCGTTACTTACTATGACTTGCTGTTGTAACCACATTGCCTAGTCGAAGGGTGGGTAGTTCATAATAATACTTTCATTTTATATAGAGCCATCCATGTTAATAGCAACTCATAACGCTGTACATTAATCACACACAAGGATGAAATCTCATATACAGCAATTTTTTCTCAAGATCAATTCTTCAGCTCACGTTAGGTGCGCTGGATAGTATGGAGGAATCGTGTGTTATTGGGTTAATGTGACCTCTTGCAACCGCCAGTGTCTGATATTTTTTTACGGCAAGGTTTAAACAAAAAGCAACGCTCTTGAATGGAATAGCGGCCCTGAAACCGTGAACAATTCGTCAACTTGCTGCAGACGTCGATCGTTGGGGCTCCAGCTGATAGCGAAGGTTGAACGTATTTAACTAGAATTGATTCAGAGCACGAAAAAAATCTTCACAAGTTATGGAGTAAATCGCATATATGGTAGGACATGGGGAGGCACCAGCGACTAGTTTGTACAATAAAAATCGGTGACCATATATGTGGGAAAAAAATTGTTCTTCAGACAACTGTTCTAAACGTTTAAACTTTAATCTTCCCATGATCATTATTAATAAATTCTAAGGTGCGAAATGTTTTTATTGGCAAGATTCAGTAAGAAATTCAACGTGCAGTGCTCATGGTGACACACCACAGGTTTTAACAAAACCGGACGGATTGCACGGACGCTTGGCGATGGCACCTTGGGCATTTGAGTGATTTTGCAAAAAGACGGCTCCCGCGGAGAAAAAGTAGTTCCGAGAAGCTAGCCACGGTGCTTTTTTTCTCTCTCGGAAGAACACAAATCGAAGCTTGAAATAAATAAATAAATAACACCCCTGAAAAATGTAGTTACCCTCTCCCTCCCTCCACCCGCGGGCAACAGAATAAAAGCATAGGCTGAAAATATCTGAACTTCCACAAACCTGCAACACTCTGATCTAACGTCCATTACCTGCGACCAACGGTTTCCAATGATAGCACAGAAGAGCTGCACAAGACAGCACGCACTCACCCGGGGCCCTCGCTCGTGAACGGCACGTCCCAGCCCCAGCCTCTGCAAGTTGCTGCCGATCAATTTGAGCGGAGCCTCGTGAACTTCAGCCGCGAGACCCTCGAATTGCCACGATGGCATATTGCCACGATGGCATACAGCCTCTGCAAGTCGCTGCCGATCAATTTGAGCGGAGCCTCGTGAACTTCAGCCGCGAGACCCTCGAATTGCCACGATGGCATACAGCAAACGGATCTTCAACGATACTACCCGGCCGGCCACATGGTGACAGCAGTCTGCGCCGGCGGGGTGTCAGACAATACATGGGACAAACACTGACTCGCAAGGCGAGGTGAGGTCATAAGGCTTGTACATGTGACCACTCACCTATAACCTCTTGTCTCAAGGTCTCTTATCTATCTCTTGTTTATCTCTCTCATCTCATGTGAATTGTTGTTTAATATCCACAGCTCTCTCGTATATATATGTTGAACTTCTTTCGCACCGTACGTAGCCGACCATGCTAATCGGAGGTGCGGAGGACAACAAACTGAACACAAAAAGCAGTTCTAAAGAAATTAGTTTTCGATATAGATTTTAAAGTGCATAGCTCCAGTGGCTTCCTAATATCAGAAGGAAGAGCGTTCCAGACGGCCGCGAAAGCGCATCTCTCAATCTCCCCCTCTTGTTCATCTCTCCTTTCATTCCACTAATTTTTATCTCTTTGACTTTGACAATTGTTTTTTTACCCTTTTATCTGGCAACAAAATTGACACCTTTTTTTTACAAGGAGTCGTGTTTGGTTAAATAAACGCGATCTAATCCAAAAACCTTTATTATGAAGTCGTGTTTGCATTGACCACAATACCTGCGGTCGGAATGCAAACAAAAAACATAACTCTGATAATGTATGTGGCACTGTCCTTGAAATTGATTGGTCCACACCCGAGACAGCTTTCCTTAGAGCCTAGTCTCGCATGGTGTTAGACCAGATAACGCCAAAAGGCGCACAACTCAAAGACAATGCACCATCAGAGTATGAGAGCTCGGGGTAAGCATTTACACCATTGGAAACCTCATTTGCTAGTAGCTAAATATTATCATATTTTGCTACTGGCAAAGGAGGTTCTAATGGTCTCTTTGACTTTGGCGAGCCGTATTTTGGCCACTTCTGGCCTGTCGACTGTCAGTTGAAGATCCCAACGATCTCGGTGCAACAGAGAATGCACGTGAAGAGTTAAAATTGGGCCGCAAATGAGAATTATTAATTTGGTGGCTAACACGAGCTGCCACAAGCAGACCACAGACACCAGCAAATAAATTCTGCATCTAATAATAGGGTTTTTTCGCCTTTTTTCTGGCAACAAAACTGAAACCTTTTTACAAGGATTCATGTCTGCATTAACCACAATACCTGCAGTCAAAATGCAAACAAAAAACATACTATGATAATATATGCATTGGCCTTTTGGCGTCATCTGGTCGAGCACCAATTGGGTCGAGGCTCAAAAGAAAGCCGTCCCTTGGTGTGGACCAATCAGTTTCAAGGACAATGCCACATATATTATCATACTATGTTTTTTGTTTGCATTTTGACTGCAGGTATTGTGGTTAATGCAGTTACATGAATCCTTGTAAAAAAAAGGTTTCAGTTTTGTTGCCAGAAAAAAGGTGATAAACCCTATTATTAAATTTTGGTACTGGTAAAGGAGGTCTAATGATGTAAATTCTGCATCACCGCCCGCTCTTAATGAATGTTGACGCCGCAGGTCCAAGAGAGTTCCACCTTGCCATTACAATTTTGCAACAGTAAAACGCCATATCCTACGGTGCGCGATTCGCTAAAGATTGTGGGATTACACGGCGACGCGCAGGACGACGAGTTCATGGCAGACGGGGGGCTTTGTTGAGCCCGCTGCAATCCCACAAATTTAAGGCATTTGTTCTGCCGCTGCTCCTTCTGACTTCAAAAAGTGAAATTCGCCAAACGAGGATTATCCCTCCCAATTTGTATCTCATTTCTGACGGAGGGGGGTGGGAGTCATGCCAAGGAGCTGTAATGTCAGTTTAACACGTAGTAGGGTTTCGTGACCAATATCATTTGTAATTCACGTTTTTTTGGGTTAGATCGCGTAAATATATGTGTTGTTAAACCCACTTGAATAAGACACAGCCAGATCAAATCTGATCAAATCTGGCTGTCACCTCATCAAGCTAGTTGTAATTACTGGCGAAACGTCATACTCAGATTGTGTGCTGTACTAGCAACGAATTGGCATGTTCTGTTTACGGGACAAACCTTACTAATTATCTGTGTCGGGTGGTAGCGGGTTTAACGACACATTTATATTTAACCGATGTAACCCCAAAAAAACCTGTATTATGAACTGTCATGTGTTCGTTCAGCATAAAACTATACAATCTCCGACAAGCACGGTTGGCTACGTACGGTACAAAAGAAGTTCAACATACATCCGTAAACTACATGATACATTTTGATTTAAAGCTTTCGTGACTACAGTGATTCATATTCTTGGTTCTTTCGGTAAAGTCACGTTGAAGGGAAACAATAAAATAATAAAATATATATTGTTTTATATATTATATATATTTTATTATTGTATTGTTTCCCTTCAACGTGACTTTACCGAAAGAACCAAGGATACATGATACATACTACTTGATACATAACCCGAAAACAATCATTGAGCATTGCTGTGAGTTGTTATGGTCGTGATGATTATCAATTTACCCGGCCTGGTGACTGAGTGGTATGGTGAGCGGCCCACAATCAAAGGTTTGCGAGTTCCACTTCTGGTTGGGGTGTTGACTCAGCCCAACATCCCTCTGGAGACAGTAAAATGAGTACCGCATGGTGGCCAAGTAAAAAGTGGCTGCCCTGTGAAGACATTTGCTCCACTGCCATAGGAATTCCGAGTGTCCACCACTGACTCGGGGCCATAAGCAGAAGACGAACACAGCCCTCAGTGCTCATTCGAGCAGGAAATCACTTCCGACGATGTGCATCTACCGGTACGAAACGTGGATTCGGGGCAGGGCCGTGCGCCCGGGTTAAAGAGACGACCCGCTCGATCCACACGTGGACGTGTGCATCCCCACTGCTCAACGCAGCCGATAGGCACGGCCGGCTACGTATGGTGCGAAAGAAGTTCGGCATGCACACATAAACATGCAATGCACGTAATGATACGCTTCAGCAGCATCCTTCCCACGGACTCACGCGGGAGTGTTGGTGCTCATGGACATGAGGCCGGTGAGGAAGACGAGTGTCCCCACCACGGCCGCGGGAAGCAGCCAGCCAGTGTAGAAGCCTGGTGGCGACAAGCAACAACACAGATAAAGATTCCCCTCCATCCCACCCCCCCCCCCCCCCCGGATAGCCTTTAACGGACTGTTGGGGCAAGTGCTGTTCGCGAGTGGCACCTATAAAGGCCGGCGTGGCACACGGAGTGGGCGGTTGATGGTTAGCAAGCACCACGCCCGGCCGCCTTTGTCTCTCTAGTGGCGAAGTTTACACATTTGAGACTGATTCGACCTAGGGGAGGCCCAGGACCGGTTCAGATAATCGTCACCGGTGTTGGCCGTGAGCGAAAATCGAACTCGGGTCGCCGGGTTCGTAGCGCACCGTGTTCACCGCTACACTACCACCACCGAACCACACACACACACAGAGGTTAGGGCAACACAGCACGGTATGTATGTGTGTTGTTGAACTTCGTTCGCACCGTACATAGCCAACCGTGCTACTCCGAGGTGCGGGGGAAGAACAACAAACTAAACACAAAAAAGTACTGTCAAACAGGCATGTGAGGATTGTGATAAATTTCCATGAAAGCATAACCAAGGTGGCCCAAAAGTCAGGATATATATTTATTATGACACTTGCATTAAAACATTTTTATTTTTTAAAGTCAAAATTGTACATTTTTATTGTTTATTATTTAAGTCAATATTTTTTCCTGTCATCATTACTCGCATCTATTTTTCGTATTCGTTTTCAGATGACATTTAAAATAATGGAAATAACCATATTGTGTCCTGACCTTTGGGCCACCCTGTTATAAGCAGAATTAAATTTTCTCTCCACACGTTAGAAAAATAAAACTTTCGATTCCATCGGCCTATTGGCTTTGAGAGACCCAATAATTCCCAGCAGAATTTATTTCAAACAAGCGGATGGACCTGACCACGCATTGACGCTCATCTGGAAGTCGTGATTCAATTTGAGAACCCTTTTGTTCTCATATTCTTGGTTCTTTCGGTAAAGTCACCACATAGAAGGGAAACAATAAAATAACAAATAATAATACAAATATAAAACAATACAATTCTCACGACGTTTCGACTGCAACACAAGCAATCACCATCAGGTGTGAAAACCACAGCAAGAAAATTAGAATGTTATTGTGTCATATATGGCTTATTTATTATTTATTTAATGTTTCCCTTCTACGTGGTGACTTTATCGAAAGAACCAAGAATATGAATCCCTGCAGTCACGAAAGCTTGGAATCAAAATTCCTTTGGTTCTCGTTTGGTTTCCACCGCGTGTTATTTGTGCCGCCAAAGAGCATTGCAGATGTGCTACTGGGCATCTGTGAGAAAGAGCTTCATAGCTTGTCGGATTCTCGCTCTTCTACCGTCGTGACTAACTTCTGTCGTGTTTGTGCCGCATCATTCGCGATGCTTTTACCTAAATGTAATATCAATGATACGGATTTAATGATTCGCATTTGATAAAGATCAGAATGGCAATTAAATGCTCATTGCATGTTGACCTGAATATAAATAGGAGGGTAAATATTTCAAGATTTTGCAGCGATTGAGCGTTTAAATGCGACTGTGTCACGAAAATAATTTACGTAACAATTCGGAAACAATTTGCATGAACAGTGAATATTTCTACATGCACGGTTTCATTCGTGCATCGTCAGTGTATAAATCTACATTACTCTTTGTTTTTTTCGGTAAAGTCACGTATAAATAAGAAATAATAAAATAACATAATAGCATATGACGTTTCGGTTGCAACACAAGCAGCCATCATCTGGTGCAGAAGAGCTAAATTTACGAGAGAGAGAGGAAACATAACCCCAGATGTATATACAGACACCCAAGTAGGGGGGAACTAACACAGATACAACAGGGGACACAGAGAGAGAAGCATACCAAACAATCAGGGTTTAGCAAAATTTGGAAACCATATAAAGCAACACAGACAGTCGGTCAAAACACAATTAACGCATAGTCCGGTTGATCACGCTATTTCAAAGATTGCTAAATTGCAAGTTAAGTATGAAATTTAAAATACAGACCGCGTACACACACACATAGACATCCAAGTAGAGCGAACCAGCACAGACACGCACACAGTGAAGTCGCCTTAAATAGGCAGAGAAGGTAAGGCTGAGAGACAATGGGACAAAATTAGCATGAGGTATGCATGGAGCAAAGTGGGGTGCGGCAGCACACACTAGGAAGCAACAAGGCCCACACACAGGCAGAGACAGCACAGAGACACAAATCCAAGCCAAGACACAAAGGCAGATACACAAGCAAAACGTCGTACGCTATTATGTTATTTTATTATTTCTTATTTATACGTGACTTTACCGAAAAAAACAAAGAGTAATTCCTCCAGTCACGAAAGCTTCGAATCAAGTCTAAATCTACATTAGTCTACGAATCACGTTGTACGCGTAATATTAAGCCTCCGAAATAAGGCAATGCACAACGCACTAACCAGATACACACAACATATGAATGAATTAATTCAAGACACACCACGATTTAAAAAAAACTATCAGCCATTAAAATCGCTTTAATTTATGATCGATTGCATGCAGCCTTGCGCTCTATCACATTTTTATATGTTCATTTATATGTTGGGTACGTTTTTTCCTCACCAATTATTTATGCCTTTCCCATTGGTTACAAGAGTGTGTTTACTGACCTTAATGAGAATATATATACAGTACGTACATGTAGAAACCATTTACTCTGTTTGCTTGAGAGCATTAAAGTTGAATGCTTCCCAGTAGGCTTCGATCAAACAAGACAACCTAGAACTGGCTTCAACTTTGTCGAGCCTGTTAAGCAACAAACCAAAAGACTCATTTGCCTTCATAATTGCATTAGCATCATCCATGATCAATCCACCTCCCCAACTCTTCGCCGTCTCTCATGGTTCTCCGACAAATAATAAATGCACCCGGCACCTGCACACGAGTTGATGTCATTGCTCCATCTCCTCGGTGGTCTGGCTCTCAATTTGCGTTCTATTCCATAACATTTGGCAGTACACACAATATTTCAAAAAAAATTATCTTCTCAAGTAATTTTATAACCTCATGTACAAATGAGTGTTACATTGATGCGGTAAACTAAGCCAGCAACATGGCCATGAAAAGACAACGGCCGCTTTTACATTTTACCAACATTTTCAATGTCACCAGAGAGTATTTGTCATTGTGCTACATTTGAATGTCGTATTCTAATAGAATATAACTTGCATTGTTAACCGGCAATATTAAAAATGCTACGTGAAAATAACATATTTGCCGCTGGTCTTGCGGCATGTGCCAGGGAGCAAATAATCTGTCGGTGTGACTGAGTGACGAGCGAGCGGGACATCAACTGACACTAGCAATGGTACAGGTGGTGGCCCGGTTTGGTGGTTAATGTTAATGGATGTGTCAGGGCACTGAGCCAGCACTGACGACATCTAAAGCCAAACATCAGGTGACAGGCCGAGGATAGATTCGTTTTTATACTTGTAGGAACGAAGTTGTAAACTGAGTGTACCAGCCTGCAATAGATTAATGTGTCCGTCCGTCCGTCCCCTTTCAAAGTGAAATGTCGTGCTGTTGGGTGTAAAATCAGCAATAGACAGCGCAGAGACTTGTCCTACCAGCCCACCCTGCAGGGACCTGTTTACGCCCTCCGATGTCTTTTCGGGCTGGATGATGTTCAACGTTTCACTCCACGTGGTGGGAGCTTCAGGTGGAACTGATGCAACCATCTTCTTGGTTCTCTCGGTAAAAGTCACGTAGAATGAGAATAAAACAATTCAACAAAATAAGACAATAAAATTCTCACGACGTTTCGGCCACAACACAAGTAGCTATTGCAATGCTACGTTCTCCTGTTTGATATGTAAACTCCTTTGTCAAGGCGATCTGCTCCTCCTACCACCCAGCTTAAAAGACGCTGCGAATCTTATCAGCGTTCACTGAAGCGCTGTCGTCCCGACAGTTCTGTTCCTTCACCTGAAGAAGGCTACTTGTGTTGTGTGTCCGAAACGTCGTGAGAATTTTATTGTTATTTTATTCTCATTCTACGTGACTTTACCGAAAGAACCAAAGAAGATGAATCCTTGCAGTCACGAAAGCTTTAAACTGATGTAACCAGTTGAACAAAAAGTTTAATTAAAATCTTCGTCACAAATGACCACGCAAAAATGCCTCCCCCGCATCGCTGAACGTCACGTCATTGCTCATGTGCATCGTCGAGTCAGCTGTAAGGGATACAACCTGGCATGTCACAATATCCTTCAGGGTCTCCTGAAGGTTGTAGGATGAAGGCCAATAACTATTCCACTGTATGCGTGGCCACGTCTATAATTGGTTCAGGAATGGTGTAAATCAGTACTTTGTTTTTTTCCTTGATGTTCCACACGTGACGGCTCATCAATTCGTCAATTAAAAAAAATATGTTTAACGCTCACGATACGCACATCAAATTGTGTGTCACTATCGATTATTCTACAATGTATTCCGACTAAATGCTGATGTTACATGGAGGCTATTGGAGCAGACGTAAGCTGTACGCGAGACAGAAATAAATTAGAATCAATACAAACGAGACGGGGTGGGGGTGGGGGGAAATAGGTAAAAATGTATCGATTTCTGAATCAAATTGTGACCCTAAATCGTGACGATTCATCGCATCACTGGAAGGGGTGAATTTTACACGCATACTTGGCACTGATCACCGACAACCAGTGGACAATTACAATAAAAAAAGCAAATATGTATACAACTCTCAAATGTGCTGTATACAAATTTAAGCACATCAGGTATGACACTATTACACAGAATCGCGAGTAACGGCACTAATTGTGAGAATTAGGAATTTTCTGTGAGTAACTGCCCTTAATATGAGAGATGAGGTCACGTGAGGAGCCCTAGGGGGAGGGTTCGTGGCTGAGAGGGCACAGGAATTGGATCCCCGACCCTGACGCCTGCTGGATATTTGGAGTTTGTGGTGTCCTTCTCCCTGTGGTTGTGTGGCTCTATCTCAGGGACCTCCAGTTTTCCCTCCACATTTCGAATCAGCATCACACATTCGGAGCATTTGGCTGCTATAAATGTCCACGTGATAAGCCACTTCGTTGAGCTGTCGTTTGTGATTGCTAGGCCGCTTCTGAAGAAGAGCTACATATCTCAGTGGGCCTTACCTGGTAAAATAAAAATGTGTTTGCTGGGGGGGGGGTGCCTTACCTGGTAAAATAAAAATGTGTTGCTGGGGGGGCCTTACCTGGTAAAATAAAAATGTGTTGCTGGGGGGGGGGGGGGAGCAGGACACAGTGGGGAGCAGGGAAAATTGTAGATGGCGAGCGGCAACAGCTTCACACAATCCTGAGTTAGCTTCGCTCTCGTATAATGGCCAACTTTAATGCTGGGGTTGCCACCTCCGGTGCAAGTTATACCAGGACGCAATAATAATGATAACTCATGATACCGGAGCAGAGGAGAACTATGTCTAAAAGCTAGGACCCATATTGTAAAGAGAGGATAACCCCAGCCCGGATCATCCGAATATTTACCAGCATTGTTTCAGGCGAGCCTGACTCCGCTGGTGGGACACTGCGACTCAAAACCGGCCTGGGACTGGCTTGTGTTGTGAGTCGATGCTGCTAAAATTTTGTACTCTGGGTTGTGTAAAAAATACTTTCTTTTTGTTTACGTCGAGAGACGAATATAGATCGGAGGCGCATTTCCGCTTAATGTATTTTGTGCCACGTAAACGCAGAGTCTTTGGAGTTAGAATTCTTACGCAACCGACAACAACAACAAAAACCGGGACGCTGAATGTCACGGGAAAGACTCACACTTCCCATGGGAAGATGCCTCAACAAGAGGGAGATGTGGGGAAAGCCAAGACAGGTGGCAACCCCACTTACATTTTCATGTGTGCGTGTTAAACGCGTTTGCAGGTGACAGCTGGGTAATTGTTACCGCATCTGCTGATTGTTTGCGTTTTAAAAGTGCACACGTACCCAGCCAGGAGAAGTAGATGGCGATCTTTTCGCCGAAATAGGATCGGATGTGGTCCAGCGGTTGGTACTTGTACCAGCAGCCCCAGCGTGCCCAGTACAAGAACAGGATCTGGCGTGGGTTGAGCTGCTCGGGGGACGTGGCATGGTTTGGCTTCTCGTAGACGCCCTGAGCAACCGGGGGAGAAGTCAGGGGTGTCGTGCCATGGCTGTATAAACAATGCCAGTAAATGCGTTTACCAATTTTACGAACCATTCAAATACAAATTACCTCGTTCCACGCTGCACGTGCCCGATGATTGTTCAGCACGTCGTACGTGCCGCGCTAATAAATTAACGCTCTCTGCGTTTGTAGAGAGTGAAGAGTGAGATCTCAGTGTGCGTGTGTGAGTGTACACATTTCCACGTGACGCGAATCCTGGTTGTTGGTTGACTCAGTCCATCATCCCTATGGGGGGGGGTCGCTAAAATTAGTACCACTTTGTGGGGAAGTCAACAGTTGGTTATCTTACGGGTAGACTCACCCGCGTCAAAGCAATGTGGTATTTCCACCGCTGGCTCAGGGCTGTTGACAGGAGATGAGAACCTCCTGAACTCTCACCTGAGCAGGAAATCACTAATGCTATTCGGCCCTCGGTTCGGAAGAGGTCACCCATCGCTGACCTCGTGCAGGGGGAAGGCTGCGCTGTAGACGTCCTCGCTAAGCAGTCGGTCGATGCCAATTTCCGCTCTCTTGCGCTTGCCATAGGCCGTCCGCGCCAGGATCTCGTACATCTGCCGAAAGGGCCGCATGGCAAGGGCGATTATATCGCCACCTTACTGCTGCGATAGTTTATAATACAATAAATCAACAAGGTGACCTATTTATAGATTTGCACGGTTGGCTACGTGTTGCGCGAAAGAAGTTCAACATACATGTGCATACATACGTGTCCATACAAAGACCCCCCGCCCCCCCCCCCCCCCCCCCCAGTATAGCCTTTAACAGACTGTTGGGGCAAGTGCTGATAGCGAGCACCTATGAAGGCCGGCACGGCACACGAGGGGGGTTGGTGGCCAGCACAATGCCCGACCGTCTTTGTCTCCCCAGTGGCGATGTTTACTACACACCGCACCAGGTACTCATTTGAGGCTAAGTGGACCCAGGGGAGGCCCCAAGTTCAGTTCAGATAATCATCACTGGCGTTGGCCCTTGAGAGCGGGACTCGAACCCCGAGTTGCCGGGTTCGTAGCGCAGCGCGCTGACCGCTACATCACTGCAATACTTTGCTCACCTCGTCAAGGAGAACAAACCACCACACAAACCGCGGTCATCCTCGCAGCAGTCTTTTTCTAGCCATTGTATCGGGCGCTTCTGCGGCCGCCTGGAACGCCCCCTCCTTCCCGATATTCCGAAGCCGCTGGAGTTATGCACTTTTTACATCTAGATTTGCAACTAATTTCTTGAGAGCTACGCTTTTTGTGTTTAGTGTGTTGTACTTCCCCACACCTCCGATTAGCACGGTTAGCTACGTACAGCGTGAAAGAAGTTCAACATACTTACATTGAAATAACCTTGAGACTGACCGAGGCTTTCCCGGATGAATGAAATGCATTCATATTATAGTAGCAGCTAAGCAAAATTCACTTCGATTCCCTTAACTTCAGAGGTACAATGCGATTTAGGTTCATTATCACTTTCGCGAATAGAAGTCTGGGGGAGCTGTCCTAATTTCTGAACAGCTGTTTACTCATGTTTATAAATGAATGCAGTTTCAACTCATTTGTAATCCCATTATGCCCACCGACAAGTCCAATTAAGCCACTCTCCATGGGGGGGGGGGGGGGGGGCATGCATAGCAGCGGCACACCGAGAGCTGTCTCCACTCACAAACACGCGCTCCGACAGCGGCAGCACCACCACAGAATCATCTCTCGCGCGCCTCGAGAACTGCACTGGTTGACATTTCAGCTCCTTTTACCCATCACCACGGGCCATGATTTATCTGCTGCTGGAGGAAAAGACTCCCCAAGGCATCGCCATCTCGCGCGGTGTTGAGACTCAACGCCTTCACCTCCCCCACCCCCTCAACAGCCGATTATATTGCTCCCTCGCTGTAGGGAGAGATCCCCCTCTCCTAGGGTGTGTGCAATACTCCCAATTTAACGTGCGCGTGCGTGCGTGCTGTGATGAACGGAGTTTGCTCATTACGTCCGTGCTGTCCAATGTCGTGCCTGCGCTGGAAGTTGACGCGAAGGGGTTTGTTTGTTCGTCACGAGATCGTCCCGGGAGTGAGTGCACTTTAGGAATCAGGGGAGGACATGCAGTGGCGAAGGACGTAGGGCAACGCGCTTTCGCTCCTCTAGCTGTGCCCATTTTTTTTGTTATCGGGTCTCAGTGCCGGATGAAGCTCGTGCGGGGCCTGTAGCATATGTTATAAAGGGGCCCTAAATAAACATAAATATGAAAACACAAAATGTTTTACTTTCGAAGTAAATGAATCGTATTTTTTCCTTTGCTGTACAGCCAGGTAGTACGACAAATCGCTAACTTTAAACACCCAGTTGCTCATAAAAGTTGAAGGCGGTATAGTACTATAGTAATAGAGCAAGTGCAGAATCCCTGAAAACCGGGATTGATAGCTTGAAAGCATTTAGCGCGGGGCCCTTAAAAGTGCGGGGCCCGTAGCTACTACTACAAATGTTGCTACTTTTGCTACTAGGATAATCCGGTACTGATCGGTCCTCTACCCATCCTCAATTAACCTCTTCAAGCGACGCTGCCCTTTGCCCCTCTCCCGAATGTAGTTTTACTAACAGGGCAAGTCGCTGGATGAGGAATGGTGGCCGAGACTACCGATGGAGCGGCGGCCGGACGGCATAAGACGTCCACCGCCGAACTAAAGGCAAAAACAAGGTGAAGCGATGGGCTCAATCCCCGTGCAGGCCCTGGACGTATTTGAATCACGGTGGCTTATTTTTCTCGCGGAATATTTCTCGGATCGCTTTGTAGACTGGAGTGCGTGTGTTGAACTTCTTCGGCACCGTACGTGGCCAACCGTGCTAATCGGAGGTGCCGGGGGAAGGACAACAAAAATAATGTCGCAAAAAAGGGTGCTGGCACGTGACTAGAAGGAGCCGCAGCCAGAGCGAGGGGTATACTGGACGTGGTGTGCCGGGTGAGGAAATATTGTCTGGGTCGCTGGCACTGGGACAGACCCAGCTCTGGTTAGCATTGCAAAATAATGAGAGATGGATGGTGAGGGCATGGGGAGGTCTTCATCCAGCAGTGGATATACAAGGCACGGCACATAAACGTGTGTACATATTTACAGCGGAGAAATGGGAATCGAAAAGGGGGGGGGGGGATTAACCCTTGCTATGCGAAACTTTAAGTAAAAAAAAACGGTTCAACTAGCAGAATATATTTTACAATGGAGCGTAACACGTCGATAAAATAGGGTGAGGTAAGAGGTAACACTCAAAAGCACTTATATCCATATTGTACAAAGCTACTCAGTCAATGTCCTATTCTCAAGACGTATATCCATCAATACAGGAGCATTTACAGACGCCACGGTTGTCTTGAATGTAAAAAAAAAACCCCGTTAATACCGTATAATATAAAATATCACCTTTTAAAATTTCCACTTACAATGCGTTGACGCTGAGTGTTGGTGAAATACGTGTCGTGATTCTCACTCCCTAGGAACCTGAGTGAGACACAGAGCGTTGGCGCAGCCCATCAACAGTCACTTAGAGAGCGGAATTGCGAACGCAAAGTGTGAGATCCGTGGCTTCTGTCCTTCGAATTGAGTGCAAAGGGGGCTGCGAGGTTGCCAGGAGATGGCAGAAGAGCCTTTTTATTTTGAACTGACACTTAAAAAAATAAACTTCATACGAATCCCTCGGACTGTGCACACAACCGATTCATTACATCCTGAGTTCCATTACTTCCCAATCAGGACAGAAACATTTGCTTCTAACCACCATTAAACCAAGAACGCTGCAGTTGTTTTGGGCACATCAATAGATCCAAAAATGGTCCCCGTTAGTTAGTTTGCCCAACCCGAGCTGCACAGACCATGGCAGTAGATGCGGACACCTGATGCACGAATGGAAACTTAAAACATCTCCAGTAGTGCGCGACTGTGGTCATCCGGCGGAGAGATCGCATCAAGGTAATAACGACGCAATGGCCGATCCACAAATGCGAAGGAGACATCGCAGCGATGCACTCCGCTACTGATGTCGTGGTTATCTGGGCTTGACCACCTGAATGTGAAATTGTAAGTTGCTCTGCGTCTACATCAGCAGCCATACGAAAGAAGAAGAAGAAGACTGATGAGCACCTACCTGCTGAGCTTTGACTTGCGGAACTGGCAGGTGTAGTAACCCAGGGGGCGGTTGGGGATGTCCTCTTGCATAATGTTTGGGATTTTCAGACGCCCAAGCAACCGCTCAGACCAATTCTCAATCGTGTTTGGGCTTCCCTTGAATCGACAGGACACGGCACAGACACGAGACACGAGGCACGACGAGCCACCTACGGTTCGCACGGTTGGCTATGTGCGGTGGGAAAGAAGTTCAACTTACGTACATGCAATGCTCGTCGTTGCTTTTACTTCCGAGAAGACCACATCTCCCGGCATTCGGTAGTATTTTTACTCCCGACGGGCGGTCAAACCGTTGCATTGCTTTAAAAACCCACACAAGGCGCGCTACGAACGGGTGGATGCAGCATTGAAAACAAAGGAGAAAGACAAACCACGCGTGCTGTAGATGCAAGGCTTCCGCAATGCTTTACGACGTGCGGTTGTCCTCGGAGGTGCTTCACGAGCGATAACGACGTTCCGGTCCGAGGGGCACGGCGAGATCGCGTGGCACGTCGCACGACGTTCCAGGGGAATACCGTTGGCACTCGATTTTCATCGCTAAGTTCTTATGAGCAACCCTTTGATGAAAGTGGCCGGGTTTTCAATGGCGTAAGCCTCTGATAGCAAGACAACTTTACGCTGAAGTTTCATTAAAATTGGGTCGTCTTTACAGGGGTTGTCGTGGCCCCTTTTATAGGCACAGACAGGCAGACTGACGGACGGTCATGAACCACTTCGACTATTTTTTTTATTTGACCAGGTAAGGCCCACTGAGCTACAGTATGTAGCTCTTTTTTCAGAAGTGCTGATCACAAATTGATATCCCAACGAAGTGGCTTATCACGTGGAAATGTATAGCAGCCAAATACTTAAACACGTGATGTTTAATCTAAATGTGGAGAGAAAACCCAGAGGACCTGGAGTAAAATCTACGCCACCACGGGGAGAGAGACACACAAACTCAGATATACAGCAGGCGTCATGGTTGGGCTTTAACCAACAACCTCCTGTATACCAGGCGAAGTAATTCACATCTCATACCACCGCCACCCACTCCACCCCCTTAGATGCGGCATGGCACTGAAACAACACCACCAACATTTCAACAATAGCACCAGTGACCATGTATACACATCTCGTGTTGAAGCAAGTGGCATCATTCGTACTGTGGATCTATTAACCAAGAAGGCGCAAGTCGTCCCATGACGTCATTGGGAAAAAGAGCAGGCCATCGTGTGCCGGAATTACGGTCGAAATTTGATAAATTACTCGAAGTTTGATAAATGTGTCGTTAAACCCGCCACCACCCGACACATCCAATTAGCAAGGTTTCTCATGTAAACAGAACGTGGCCAATTCGTTACTAGTACAGCACACCGGTGTGTTGGAGAGCAAAGCCACAACATTTACAAACTGAGTACGACGTTTCGCCAGTAACTGCAACTAGCTTCATCAGGCGACAGCCAGATTTGTGGAGAAACAAACACCCCCCCCCCCCCACCACCCCCCCGTATTATGGATGATATTGGTCACGAAAGCCTATGTGATATACTCGGAAGATTCCTTACGTATGTATGTTGAACTTATATTCTTAGTTTTTTCGGTAAAGTCACGTGACTTTACCGAAAAGAATAAGAATATGAATTACTGCAGTCACGAAAGCTTTAAATCAAAATTTATGTTGAACTTCTTTCGCACCGTACGTAGAATAACGGGCCGGAGGCTGGACAGCCGTCACTGGGCGGGGGGCGGGCGGGGGGGTCCCCCCACCAGTGCAGGGTACGGTAGGGGTGGGGGGCTCCCCCCACCAGTGCAGGGTGCGGTAGGGGTGGGGGGCTCCCCCCACCAGTGCAGGGTGCGGTAGAAACAACGAATGGGTGCGGGACGATGGGGAATTCCAACCTGCAGGGGTGCACGCATGCACAGCTCCTCGGCGTAGTAGACGAGGACGTCCCAAGGGGCGCTCAGCTTCATGTAGTGGATGTTCTTCCTTTCGCTCACCGTCACCTCCTGCAGACACGCGCAGGAAAGGGCAATCGCCCTCGCCGCCGTAGCTGCCTGCCTGCCTCCTCGCGATGGTCCAGGCGGCGAGCTTGACCGTAACGTGTCTCTCTGTGTGTGTGTGTGAGATTGTTTTTTGCTTTTTGGAGAAAGTGTTCACTTGGGTTCGTGTTTTTACTCTCCGTCAACGAGCGAACCTACAGTACCTGTGCTAAATCTTGACACGGTGTCCTAATGCGAAGAAGACTAAGTGTTCACAACGACATAAGGAAGACGTTTACGACTAAGACTTCGAAGGGGAAATTTGGTTGTTTTGTCCATCCGTTTTATAATTGTTTGAAACTTTTAGGTTTTCCAGCCGGCATCAATATTCTGCTCGCATTGGTTTTTCCTCATCATTTGCAGATTTGATATTTCAGTTCCATCGCTGTGGATTTTTTTTTGGGAAGACCATGCAGAGGTCATAACTGCAGTGAACTCCGGAGTTGAAGGCCAACAAAAAAGACGTGACTGTCATTTTCAGTGGCTTCAAGAAAAAAAAATCTCACGCACTGCGTCACATTCGCCGAAGACGACAGGGAAAAGGACGCTGAATCATGATCTCACTGGGTGCAGGAGCTCTCCTTCATGGCCGTGAGAGAAAGGGAAAATTCCGCTTGACTCCTCGTAATATTTGCGCGTGTACTGTCAATGGGCTATCAAGATAAATATTGGGCCTCGGTAGATAATGCTTGGTTGGGGGTACCCGTCGTGTATAATTTAGAAATAAATTTGTTCTAAAACTGGGCGTTTTGGGCTACGTTATAGTTATACAGTTGTATTCCCTGTCTCCCCCCCACCCCCCCCCTCACGCCTTCGATTAGCACGGTTGGCTACGTATGGTGCGAGAGAAGTTCAACATACATACTCTCATCAGGCCCGTGTACAGTAGGTAGGAATGTTGTTATTATTTGTGGCAAATGACCTTTATTTTTTTTTATATAAACCTATAGAAGGGTCCCCACTGAGTTTGACTGATTTAGTGCTTAGCGGGTGGTTTGGGGCTGTGCCCTGTGAGGACGATTGAGAAAGAAAACGGGGTCAGGCAGCAGGCAATGGAATTGCCAAAAATAACAAAAAACCACCACCACGGTTTAAACACTTGAAAGGCCTCTCTGTAGTGTTGTTGAGGCTGTTTGAACTCTGGATAACAAAAAATAAAAATAAACAATATCTGTGAATTCATAGTACGAGATCAGTAGCATTTATTGAAAATGTTCATGAAATATGCAACACCAGTCGTTTGTTTCCAGGCCAGTAGAAACTGTGAAATTGGATTTTAACGAGAAAATAATGATTAATGAATCTATCTGTATTTCATCAAAGCAATGTTGTGCAGAGAGGATAACGGCAATGATTTTGGATGTGACCATTCGGTTTTGAGCTTTAAAATAACGCGATGAAAATTTCAGTAACATTTTTTTTCAAATAAATAATGAACATGGAACAATTTACAGCCCTTTGTCAATCCACTGCTAGATGAAAGCCTCACCACATTATGCTGATCACGATGGTTGTTTGACCATACTTCACCGTGCTGTTCAGTGCGAATTGAAGAAACGGATGAGGGAGACCCAGGGCCGGTTCAGGTGTCACTCGCCACAGATATTAGCCCTGACCCAAAATCTAATTCTGGTTGCCGGGTTCATCGGGAAATTGTACGAACCAGCATGCCTCGTTTTTGCCCCAAAACAATAAAACATATTCGTAGCTGGCCTACATTTACATTTCGATTGCAAACGTACCTGGGACATACATACACAAAGCCACATCCGGTTGGCTATGTACGATGCGAATGAAGTTCAGCATCCATTCATACATCCATCCACCTCCTGTCATTTGCAATGAAAACTATATTGCCATGTATATGCACTTTGGGACACGTAAAAGGGAATGGCCATCGCCTGAATATAGTGCAGTGTTAAATAAAATGAAGTCCTCTTTTAAGACGATGCATATTTGCTTTCAACTGGGCTGCATACAGGGCGCAGGATAGGCAAGTTATTTTCGACACACGCGCAACGTTCCCATCTTTGCAGCTGCTCCTGGCATCTTTGCCATTCACGATGATGATCCTAACACAAATTTTACTGACCGCGATCTTACCCAAAAACATAAATTATTAATCGTAATAATGGTGAAGGAAAGGCTCTTCTTAACTGTTCCATGTAATAGCCCACCTCTTTCTGTCATACGAATTGGCGATGGGGGTGAGTGGCCTCACCTCCTCCATGAGTAAGCCCGACTTCTCCAGGTTGCTCACGAACTTGGTACGCCACCGTCCTTGCTTGTCCTGGCCACCGCCGCGCTCCATCTGCTTCTCGATGTCCTGCCGCTCCATCTCGTGGTACCGCCGGCTCCCCCTTCGCTTCCTCGCCTCACCCACCTTCTCCTCCCACACCAAGATAAAATCTGCGGCGGGGAGGTGAGAGCGTCGCAGTGGTTCGGCAAAGGGTTGGCGTTTCATCACTCGAGGCTATCGTGAAGACGACGTTTCGCAGACGGCTACAAACCTGACCCTGGGCGGCGATGCTGTTGTGTGGGGTTTACCTTATTAAATGATTTGCGAGTGCTTTTAACGAACTTCCAAAATGTGGACCGTGATGGCGGCACACATGGCCTACTCTGAGAGGACTGATGGGGCCGATGATGAGGCTGAAGGGACTGATGAGGCAGAGCGAGCTCGTGTGTGATCGAGACGATTCGTCCATGAGCCAGGGGTGCCACGGTGGCAAGATGTTAACTCCCTCGCCTGGTATGCAGGAGATCGTGGGGTCGATCCAAATCCTGACGTCAGTATATTTGGAGTTTGCGTGTCTCTCTCCCCGTGGTTGCGTGGATTTTTTTCCGGGTCCCACGGTTTTTCCCTCCACATTTAGAAACACGTGTTTAGATTATTTGGATGCCATATATTTCCACATGATGAGGCATTTCGTTGAGCTATCATTTGTGGCAAGATCGCTTCTGTAAAAGAAGTATATAGCTTAGTAGGCCTTACCTGGCATGTTTAACTTTTCATTACCACGTGAAGTAGCATGACTTCAGTGCATTATGCGATGACCATTTGAAATTAGTGGGTTCCCAAGTAATTGAATTTTGTTATTAACCATCTAACTAAACCAGTACTGAATTCTGATTCGGCCCATGGACTAGATGATGGCGCTGACGGGGCTGATGGGGCTGAGAGAACACGACACCAGCCACACGGGGTTAACGGAGGACGTGGCAAATTTATTGCCAAGGGAGGAGGCGGCAGTGATGAGAACGGAGGTCGTACGAGGTTCGAGGGCCATTAGAGGGCAAGGCAATGGGAGCGGTGGCTGTTGGTGGAGATTCGGGTAAAATGTAGCGATATAATAATACAAATGTGACTATGGAGTGTGAAAATTATAACGAATGCACACACACACTTCCTGCAAGTAGTGTTCTGTTAATTAATTACCGGAATAATCGAATGAAAGCCAGGAATGGAAGAATAATTAACAAGATTTACGTAAAAAGGCCTTGGAGTTGTCCATTTTATCATTTTATGTAGAGCACTTATAAACTCAGCACAATTTAACTGCAATACTGCATATGTGGGATTCCTGTCGTGTGCTGGCATGGTTATCACGCTGGACTTCCAATCCAGAGGTCACCTATTCAGTGAGAATGTATGTATGTTGAACTTATTTGGCACTGTACATAGCCAACCGTGTTCATCGGAGTGTGCGGGGAAACGACAACAAACCAAACACAAAAATCATATTCTAAAGAAATTACTTTTCAATGTTAATTTAAAAGTGCACAGCTCCAGTGGCTTCCTAATATCGGAAGGAAGAGCATTCCAGACGGCCGCAGAAGCTCATCCGCAGGCGCGCGATATGCGGTGACCGTCTTTGTTCGATGCGAGCCAAAAGCCGCTGCGAGGATGACCAGAGTTCGAATGGTCGTTGATGCTCCTTGTCGAGATCACGGCGTTGTGGTTAATTTGTGGCAAGTACTTTGTGTGTAATGAATGTCATCTTATAATGCATTCATTCGGCAACCGACAGCCAATGCAGCTCAGCGAGCCTTGGATGGACATGGTCGGATCTTGCAGCAGTTAAAACAACGGGCACGTTTCTTAAATCCGCCACCTCTAACCACCCAGCAAATGTACATTTCTTAATTTCGTGTCCAATCAGACCAACTTAGATCAACGACGACCAATTGTGGGGGGCAGAGGGGTTAGGGGATGGGGGCGTCACAGGCTCACGCGCGCGTCACGGTCAGTAGCGGCAATCACGCCGTCGCCTGTGCACAGCTCCCTCCTCTGACAGAGAGGACACACCGGAGCCGACTGAGCGATGAAGCATCGTTCGCTCTCCGCCGCATATGCAGTTCGCGTTCCGGGGAGGGGGGGGGGGATAGTGGCCTGTTTCAGACGGCCCCCCACGCCCGCTGAGGTTCGCTCTGCGGTGGTGGCCGCTGCAGTGCTGGTGTCACCACATTCGCCCGTGGTTCTTCCGACCCCCTCGTGGACGGAGTTGCCTTTTTGCTCGCAAAACCTCAACCTTAGCAGCCGCCAGTGTCGCCCGAAGCCGTGCGTTCCACATTCGGAGCTGCGTGCTCTCCGGAGATGAACCAAGAGGTTTCCGTGGGGCTGTGTTAAATTCCCCGTGCGACTCGAGGCTACTATCAGCGAGTAAAGGATTTGATTATAAACGAAACTATTTTTTTTTTATTTCACCAGGTAAGGCCCACTGAGCTATTTAGGTATTTTTCAGAAGCTACCTGGCAATCAAAAATTATATCTAAACGAAGTAGCTTAACGTGTGGACATTTATAGCAGCCAAATACTCTAAACGCATTTTAGAAACCCGGAGGACCCGGATAAAAATCCACATATCACGGGAAGAGCATGCAAACTCCAAATGTACAGGCGTAAAGAGGCAGGATCGAACCCACGACCCCCTGCTTTCCAGGCGAAGTAGTTAACATCTCGCCAACATGGCAGGCTATCTTACTGGTAGCAGACAGAGGCGGAGCCAGGGGGTGACAGGTTAGACAATTGTCACCCCCAAAAAAAAATAAAAAATCGAAAATCTGAAACATTCTGCGTATAAGTGTACGACGACACTCGGTCTGGTGGACTCCGTGCAACTGCATTGTCAGAGTGTGTCGCCAAACCGATGGCGTCAAGTTCAACAGCCTGACTCTCTAATCATTCTTGAAATTAAAATGTGTTCAATGTCACCCCGGGCTGAAAATCCTGGCTCCGCCCCTGGTAGCAGATATGTGAATTGATTCTACTGGCAAGATAAATGTGATCTGAGTGTACTGACAGCAGCTATGGAATTTGAGTCTACTGGCAGAAGCTACTTGATTTCATTATACTGGCAGCTATATGATTTGATTCTTCTAGCAGCAGCTATGGAATTTGAGGCTACTGGCAGTAGATATATGCTGGTAGAGTGGATGCCTTGGGTCCGTAGTCTGGCGCGACCGTTTTGTGTGGCTGGCCACAATTCAGTGTGATATGTCTACACAGCGGTCAATCAGCAGGTCACGTGTTGTGGGGTATAATGTGTGGGAACTCCGAACTTTTTCCAGCACGTCTGGCCAGTGTGAAAGAGTAGGCCAAAATACCCAATCTAGAGCTCCCTCTAGAGTGGAGGCCCTTCTGCCAGCAGAGGCATGAGCGAACAAGTTGCAGGGCTGCACTTGTGCAGTCCGAACCTGCGACCTTTATACTGAAACTCCAGTGTGCCAATGTAGACGTCATCGCCAAGAAAATCAAGTAAGGGCAACGGTTATTTGTTTAGTTAATGGTTCCGCTCGTGTGTACACTAGGATACTACGCCATACACCTGAATTCATGTACCCATCATCGGTTCACTTACCAATTTTTGTCCTCCCATCGTGGAAGTAGTTTCCCTTGGGCGGCTGCTGTGGCGTGCCCGTGGAATCCATCGGATGCTCTTCCCCCCCATCCTGCAATGAAGGGAATGGTAAAATCCTCCCAAGGGACGTACTTATGTTCCGCTTGTGACGAGCCCGAGGCACGCAGGACTGACCAACGCGCCCGTATACTCAACATTCATTTAATGGGAATGGTGGTGCTTTGAGATCAGAGGATTTTGATGAGCTGAAATGTGCACGAATTTCCATGCAACGTCGTAGCAGCACATTCTGCGGATTTTAAGACACTCCAGAAAGTAAAAAAGCACCCCAATTTTCACAAATATGGTCGCACACACACGCACACTCACCCATTGGGTTATGGGACGCATTCACAACTTGTGTTTTAAAATACGAAGGAAAACAGTGCGTCTTATAATCCCGAGAATAGGGTCATCATTTACAGACCTTCATCAATCCACTGTTGGATGAAGGCCTCCTCATTGCTGGTTATGGGGATTGTTTTCCAATACTTGACTGTTGGTCAGTGTGCATTGGGAAGTCGGAGGGGGTTGGTTACAGGACTGGGTCAGATGTCACTTGCCACTTATATTCGCTGTGACCGGGAGTATAATTCAGGGCGCAGTACCATTCCCGTACATCCAAGAGTCCCCAACCTCTACACTATGGGCGCCCCGCTAGATTGGCTAATGCCAACAAAAAAAAATCTAATCTGTAAATTACGAGACAACCCCATCATCATCGTGACAGAACAAACAGCGCAGGCTGGGAAAGCCATGAGTTTCAAACAGCACACAGAAACGTGCACATAAAAGCTCTGAGTGTATTGTTTGCAGAGGCTCGACTTTGCAGCAGTTATCAATGGTGACTCTACAGTGCTGATGAGTCCTAATAATGACGAAACCAGTCTGTGGTTGTCTCTTTCTTGCTGCCATCTGTTGGTCGGTCATATTTGCTCAAACTTCTTTGACGGTGACTTAAGTAAGACAGGAGGGATGACATTGCAGTTCATCAGGGACTGTTGATGGTTTTTGTAACAATGCACAAATGCCCGAGTGCTCTTCGTCCATGTCTCTGTGTGTTTTGTGAAACTTTTTTTCTCTCCTAATATATTCATAATAAAGGGTTTTTTTGGGTTAGATCTCGTAAGTGTAAATGTTGTGTCGTAACCCTCCACCACCTGACACAGCCAATTAGTAAGGGATTTGTCACGTAAACACAACGCCAACTAGTTGCTACTTCAGCCCACTGGTGTGTTGGAGACTACACAACATTTACACAACACTTACACGATCTAACCCAAAAGCCTTTATTATGAATAATATTGGTCGCGAAAGCCAACGTGTTCAACTGTATTTTCCGGTCGGTACTGTTTATGTTTTCCTCTTATGAATGAGGTGTCTCTTGGTTTACAGATTTAATGTGTGAACAGCATTTAGCTTTAGAATACATTTGATCCCAATTCATGAAATAACATTTTACAGCGCCCACACGCACTGTTGGCAACGATTAATTATACTAATTGGCAAGCATACGAATTATCTTAATTGCGCTATCAAATGAACGTGCACTTTTCCCATCTGATTTCTGGAAGCCTTACAATTAAACACTCGTGACAATTACCACCCTCTAACTTGCATATCGTTTGCAAATAATGCGACTAATAAGGCAACGGATTGCAAATGGGTCATATCACGGCATCTGTGGGACTTCACGTTGGCTACTGCCACCACTTACCGTTGAAGAGTTCAAACAAGCAAATAATGTGCCCTCTGCTGAGACATTGTAATCGCACGCAAGTGCGTAGCTCGCTTTGTCAATCCGCCGCTGGATGAGGGCCTATCCGCGCATCTCGGCTTGGTGGAAGTATGTTTGACCATACTTCACCAAGTTGGTCAGTGCGGTTTCGTGGAGGGGGCTTGGTGGAAGGGGGCATGGGGGGTGGGGATGGATATTGTTGCATTGCCCTCTACTGCCCACGAACATATACTACACCTCTGCCAATTACGCATGGTTGTTACCCAAGCAAGCTCTGTCCAGCAGGCTTAAAAAACCCTGCTTAGCCGCCGATATTAAATGGGATCGGGCGAATATCCGCGGTTTGGTCACCGGCTGTAAACAACATCGCGCTTGTTTCGTCATTCTGTGGAATTTACCGAGATGTGCTGAGAAGACGCGAGAGAACAAGATACACAAAAATTCACATTTCCACGCATTCTGTTTATATGTTGAACTTCTTTCGCGCCGTACGGAGCCAACCGTGCTTCGTTCACACACGCGTCCACACATTCTCACACACATACACGCGTCCAACAATTCTGACACACATACACACAAAGTAATGTCCACCCAATCTCGCACACATCCACGCACACACATTCTCGAACGTATCCACACACACACACGTCCACACAATCTCACACACATACACACAAATATTCGCGTATCCACACACATTCACACACACACACAATCTCGCACACATCCACGCACACATATCCTCATACGTATCCACACACACACACGTCCACATGGACATACACATCGACATTTACATCCTCAAAAATATCCACACACACACACATCCTTACACGAATCCAAAACAAATCCAAACATATCCACTTTCTCACGTATCCACACATTATCACACATAACCACACATTATCACACATCCACACACACACATAGCCATACATTTTCACACGAACATCTGCACACACTTCCTATAACATATGCACGCAAAAACAAATCATATACACACACAGCCTCAAACAAAGACAAATATCAGATACACACATCCACAAAGCTACACCCCGTATATCCTGCTATGAACAGCACTTGCCCCAACAGTCTATGCAGGCTATCACAGTATCACGCATCCACAAAGACAAGACAAAGATTCCCCCGCATAGCCTTGACAGACTGCAGGGGCAAGTGCTGTTAGCGAGCAGGACCTGTGAAGGTCGGCACGGCACACGAGGCGGTGGGGTGTCCAGCACCACGCCCGGCCGCCTTTGTCTCCCAAGAGGAGACATTTACACACCGCACCAGGTACCCAATTGAGGCCGGGTTCAGATAATCGTCACCCGGTGGTGGTGACCGTGAGCGGGAATCGACCGGGTTCGTAGCGCAGCGCTAAACCACGCTACGCTAACCGCTGTCCCACCGCTCGCAATTAAAAGCCCAGCAGCGGTAAGCAGCAAAGCATCGGGCCAGGAGAACTCGCACCCTCCGCTAACGTCACAGCGAATTAAATAGAGGACGCACTTACTTTTCGGTAGGCATTCGCCGCCCGGTAGCGCATATTTGCGTGTTGTATCTCTCTCTCTGTGTGTGTCTCCGTGTCTGCCCAGCTAGTTCGCTAGCCCGGGCGTTCAGACAGTCGGACAAAAGCAAACCAAAACGGCGCTCGAGGGATGAATGGACGGAGGAGGGAGGCTGCCTTCTCCGATCAGCAGTTAACGAGCGCTGCTCTGCGCAAAAAAAAAAATACTCGGAGCATCATCGCATAGAGGAGAGAGGGAGCGGGCTAAGAATCTGCCAGTCTCGATTTCGTGTACACGCTCCCTTAGTTGAAATCCACGAGGTACCCCCCTCCACCCCCCCAACACACATAACACAACCGCAAGCCCTCCCCGGCCCGGCTTACCGACTACAGAGCGCAGGGTGGCCTTAACAGCAGCGGAGGAATGTTGTAGCAGCGTTGAGGCATCTCGGCCGCCGCCGTTACCGCCGTCGGTGATGCATATTCATTCGAACGCGCATGCACAACCCCCAACGCTCACGCGCACGCACGCACGCTCACACTCGTGCGCACGTTCGCTGCATGTGCGCGCGTGCGCGTGTCGCTGCTGCTGCTCGCTTGCGTAACTACGGCCGGAATCTCCAAGTGAGCCCACCTACTCGCACACATAACCCACCCCAATCCCCATCTCTCTCCTCCTCCTCCTGCACCGATCTACCCCCATCCCTTTAACCAACCCACCCACCCACCTACTCCATCCATCCTCCCCGATGCGCAAAAAGCCCACCGAGAGCGTTACTCACGGCTGCTTACTGCTGCTGTAGGTTAAAATTTGCCAGGACGCACTGCGGAACGCGGGCAAGCTGTCTTACGAAGCTGGGGGAAACGAGCAGCTAGCTCATGTCCCGGCACATACGTGGGCGATTGTGGAATTCACGGGTTACTTGTGTCAATGCGGGATTCGTTTCAGCCGGTAGCAGTCTGGAACGCTCTCGCGGGAGTTATGTTGGCTTGTCTTGTATTTGTGTTCTTCTTTATTGTACGTTATTTTCGGATAACATGCTCATAGGATCACAGGAATATGATACAGTAATATAGGATTATTACGAATAGGCGTAACGTATACTGGTGCTGTAGTGCTCGTGCCTTAAGCCAATAATCAATACTCCAAGCAAGCCTCTCAGTGTCAGAAAATATCGTGGAGACATTCATCTTTAATAATAATTAATATGTAGCATATGCATACAGCCGTTTGTCAGTAGACTACTGGATGGTCTCTTCACGTCGTGTTGGTCATGGGGGTTGTTAGACCATACTTCACCACGCTGGTCCCAGGACAAGTTCGAGGTTCGGATATCACTCGCCACTGATGTTCGCCGTGCCCAGTAATTGAAGCTGGGTTCTTAGCGCGGTGTGCTAACCACTACACGGACCATTACAGTATGATACATATTTTAATGATGAAACATAATGGCATAGATTTACCCAGGAAAGCTTCAACGACTCCCAAGTCATTTTCAGGAGGACCCCGCTATATATACACACATACACTGGAATGTTTGCTCAATTTCATTTCATGAGTGTTTGGCTTCATGTGTGAAAAAACCCAGAACGACAGGAGAGAAAATGATCTCTCACACAATCAAGCTGACACTATCCGTCCTAATTACAACCCTGATGACAATTTGTTAATAGGTTTTTCGATTGTTGCTTTTGTGTGCGTGTTATCGACTTGTATTATATACATAATTAACAGTTACACAACGCCCACTTGGTAAAATTATCGTTTTGCAGGCCGTTGCAATGCACTGACGGAGATGCTTTACAACATCTTTGGGAGCTGGTGGCGGCGTGGTTGTTAGAGCCATCACATTACAATCCCCGTCTACCTTAGTTCGATGCGGGACCTCGGCTAACATCCGTGGCGAGTGATATGTGAAGCGGTCAAACCCGCACTCCGCCAAGCGTGGTGAAGTATGTTCAAATAAATCCCATGACACCCAACACGGCCATGAACTTCGTGGCGAATTTACAGAGGGCTGGTTCTAGAAATATATTTTAAATGTCAGCAATGTACGACCGCCTCTCCTGCCTTCACCAACCCTCACTAACCGAGCCCCATGACCGACAGTGACGTGAGGAGGCCCATTATCCAGGGGTGGATTGAGAAGAGGGCCCCTGAATTATGGCCAAGTATCATACGGAGGTATGGGCTTTCACGAAGTTGTTTCTCGTTGCAAAGGCGTGCGCGCGGCACGTTCGAGTTTGGAGGCGAGCAGACTTCCTATGAAAGAAGTGAATAGCTCAGTGGGCTTCACCTGGTTGAATAAAAATAGTTTAGTTTGAGTCTTTGTGTGATTTGCTTACTTTTCTTATGGTATGCTCTCCTACATATGTACAGTATGTATGTTGAATTTCTTTCGCACCGTACGTAGCCAACGGTGCTCACTGTGTTTTTGTATTGTTTGTTCTTGTAACGTTCTGATCCGCCCCTACTGGACGCCTGTGGAAAAGAGCTTTGTAGTTCATCGGATTCCTCCAAGTATAAATATTCTGATTCTGCTGTTAATGGAGCTGCGAGATAGCCTGCAGGACACGGGAGCACAGCAGAGGACTATTGACCCAATATGAGGGTCCTTCTTGATTTTAAGCTTTCGTGACTGCAGGAGTCCATACTCTTTGGTTCTATCGGTAAAGTCACATAGTTAGAAATAAAATAAAAAAATCACGACGTTTCGATTGCAACACAAGCAATCTTCATCAGATGTGACAACCACAGCAATAAAAAAATGCTGGTGGAGTTTCTGCGGGTAAGTACCCTGGTTTCGGTTACCAAACACGGATTAAATAATGGGATTGGTCACGCATCACAATGCAGAAACCTCATGAAGAGAGGCTTAAGAGTTGGTGAGGTTTTCCTGAATTAAGGTTCATTATAATTTGTTCATGTTAATCGCCACATATTCAACTGTCTCGTAATACTGGAACAAGATATTGATAAATTGTACTGCAGAAGGATGACGATCGTCCTCTAGGATGCCATTAATATTCTCTCCGGATTCTTCCCAGATTTCAAACAATCAAATGGAATTGGCTAATTATCCCAATAAAGGGGGATGCTTATTACGTTTTTGTTTTTAAACATTGCAAAATACTCCGAAATGGAACTGGCTAAATATCTCAATGCAGCATCATCCTGAAAACGTCATACTACTCACTGAATGAATTCCTGGAATATATTTTTAAACATAAATTTGACTTGGGTATGTATAGATATTTGCCATGTCAATGCACATGCTTGCGTTGCTTTCTTTACACAACACTTCAAAGATCAATGTTATTACAGCTGTGATGTACGTGGATCATACATAATTAAAAGCAAACCGTACAGTAACACGAAACATTGCAAACAGATTAGGCCAATATTGCAGAATACCATCTAGACCATTACGATCACTTAAAACACAACTCGGCGACATATTGCCTAAATATATAAGATGCCACGAAACGTGTAGATGCCAGATATGCATATCTGTGCAGGAACGTCAGTGAAACAAATTAAAGGGAATGTAAAAATATTTTCTGATTCAATACTTATATGTAAAAACCAACACATCAGCAGATTGCGTTTTTTTTCTTCTCTTGGTGCCGCTATTTTATTCGCTGAAGCAGCAGTTGTGAGCTTAAAGAGAGCCCCACGGCGTTAAAGGTGGGTGGGATCTTGCCTCTACCGTCCAGAAATAGTCTGCGGTGACTGTGATAAACTGTCACTGGCTGGTTTCAAGACTGCCGAGAGGACGCAATTGTTTTAACGTCTGAGATTAAAACACATGGCACGAGCGGTAATGTTCTCCGTGATTAAACATCTCGGTACACCCCCCGTAACGGTGCTAGATTGTTACATCGACGCAGCTGTCATACACTCTTGAATATTGTTTTACTGATTCATATGGCTCCAAGGTAGCTCTTAGCCATATAACAACACGAGGCTGTCCAGTGATCATGTTTTGCCCAAGAGACTCAACTTGAAACAGTTTTTTCTTACGTTGAAACCATTGCTCGTGGGAAAGAGTGATCTCAAAGGCCCAAAGGTCGAGAGATCAAACCATATTATGTGGGGAAACAAAAACATACATTGAAGTTGATGGTGTATACGTATAAAATATTTGCAATTGCAGAAATGTACAAAACCATGTAAACCATTTTACTCTATTAGCACTCGTAACTAATCATCACACGCGTGGGTTGTGCGTTCTATCGCACGATTTAAATAAAATAAAACGTGTAATCTATGAGTATGATATCGATCTCGGTTTCCTTATCACATTTCTAGAATAATTTTTCACATTTCGATATTTCTTAAGATTTCCCTTCAACGTGATACATTGGGTATTGATAGGTTCTGACCTGATCATAACTGTTATCAGTATTTTCAATTTTTTATTCGCATTCCTTTTCACATTTAATTGTGACGTACATTTCCTAATGTTAAATGAGCTATTTTGACATTTTACTTTTCAATATTAAACACTCCATAGATTCCCTGGCACGTGGACATTTTGCCATGTGACTTTTTACACGTGATTTTGTTTTGTATTATTACCTGCATTCATCCTAAGGATACTGTCCTAATACGCTCACATATGAAAGGTACACATTCATTCAAATTAAATCATATTCTACCTGAAAATTATTTTCAATACGCAGCCAAATCAGATTCTACGTAAATTATGCGTAATTGTTCACAAGTCGGTATATAACACTGACAATTCCCACTTTGATATGGTAAAATACAACATTCTATCAAACACAATTTTGATTTGTTGAAATAGTAGTGCCTGAAATTACGTATGTTCGTTCAGCTGTTGCTCTCCACACGATAGCACAGGCTATATACATTCAGGGCCACTTACTTTGCTCGACTGTTTTACAACTACCCATGCAAGATGCCAAAACACTCTACTGTTATTCACCGTGGTGACATCAGTCCTAGCTTGTAAATGTGTTACAAAGTGTCAATTCTAATCAAATTTAAAACGAATACAACGAATTCAATTACAGATATGTAACTGGCACAGATACACACGAGTGATGTTATGGATTTAGGAAGTTATATTATTTTCAACCATTAAGCTATTTTGACGGTTCCTCAAAATTCGAGTCTCTGAGCTGCATCCCCTGAAGCCTCCCGAGTTAACCTGTCCTTGCATAAACACTTAAGTGGATCCCGTGCAGAATGAGATAACGAAGCAAACTGTGCAGACTCACGTATCGGTGGCGCAATGCAGCCCCGTACGATTCGCTGGAGCAAGGAGACCGCGCACTGCCCCCAAATGGGATGAGCAATTGCGTGTCA